CTCCTTTTATATATTTTTGTTTAAAAATACAACGGCAGCTGGGGCTCGTGTGTACCATGATGTCATTTTGACAAACCCAGCTTCCTTCGAGGGGCAATAACAGTGCCATTTAAGAGTTCTCGCAATTGTGCCCCTGTCAAGAATGAGGTGACACCACGAGCTTGCTGTACTGGACTCGGCTGCTTCTCTTCACCAATCTCGATTTGTTCTCCCAATCCGATCGTACAGAGGAACCGGCATTGCATTTTCCGAGCTGCAAGGGGACACGTGTGTATGTATGAATTCTGCAACTTCTTTCGCACCGTACATCGCCAACCGCCCTAATCGGAGGTGCGGGGGAAGGACAACAAACTTAACGCAAAAGCAATTGTAAAGAAATGAGTTTTCGATCTAGATGATTTACACATACATAGCTCCAAGTGGCTTCCTAATATCGGAAGGGAAGAGCGTTCCAGACGGCCGCAAGAAGCGCATCTGAAGGCGCGCCGCGAAGCGGTGACCGTCTTTGTTCGATGGCTAAAAACAGATGGCCATGTATGTGGGGTTTTTAAAACTTGAGATTTAATCACAAGTCTTAGAGACGCCTGCTCAACAATCCAGTTAATAAACACAATTTTGGTTTGTAGACTGTGGTTTCCACATAATTACTGGTCAGACAAGGCAACCTCGTAAAACACGCCAATGAAAAACAGCTACATAGATCAATGGGCCTAACCCAAATAAACTGGCTGATTTTCGTGGGCATGAAGCAACAGGTTATTCACTCACCGTATGCATTCAGTTTTTTTTTGTTTCTCCAAAAGATGACGACTCATTTGCACCTCAGAGCGAGTCCATCATCTGACACCAGCGACCCACCCAACCTCGCCAAAGACTATTTCAAGGCTCTCCCTGTAAACCCAACCAAAACACGTGGCAAAAAAACACCCCCCCACCACCACCACTGCCACCCCAACGTAATTTGAACGCTGCAACTAAGGTGGGAGATTTTCGCAATCGCACGACCCAAACGTGAACCGAGCAGTATCTCAGAGTGCCTGTCGCCTCGCGTTTGCAACCGATGTAGGGAACTGACCTAATGAACGTCTGTTTCACCTGATAGATGATGGCCACCACAGAGGCCACCGTGGCTTGGCAAGCCAAAGCCACGCGGTCGCATTTAAACCAAGTACATTTGAAACTGAAAATCTAAATAATTTTCTTTGGTTTCAAGATAATTTCACGGAGGCATTAGGGAATATGATCTGCTGCAATCGACAACAGTGTGTGTGCGTGTGTGAGCCAGGTTAACACGAAGGCGTTTGCAACCAAGTGATCATGATTTATTTTTGTTTAGGCCGGATTGCGCGAGTAAATGCCATCACACCGCTGATTTAAGGCTCAAGACGGGAGATTTTAAAAATTCTGGCCATCGCCTGATGATGCTGGGTGGTGCGACTACCTGCGAAACATCATGCAACATTGCTAAATGTATGTGGATTGCTCTCCCAAACTTACCGGTGTGCTGAAGCAATAAATCATCGTCGCGTTTGTTCCTCACGTGACAACTTTATTTGGCTCTGTTGGGTGGAGGAGGGTGCACGATACACATTGGCATTTTACTCATTCGACGTGACCCAGAAATCTATTTTGAACCAGTGTATTAGCAGTTACCCCGTTTTTTTCCTGTTTCATCTAAAACAACGGACCCGATCACCCATCCTTAATCCATGTTCCAATTTGTAGCATCTCCTGAACAGAAATCAAACGTGAATTGGTTATTGTATCGTTTGAAATGGTGGCAAAGAGTGGAAGTCGATGTGCAAGTGTTTGTGCTATTTTCCCACAATGAGGGTTCGGGTGAAGAGATATGGCACGGATTAGTTTTCAATCGAGGTTTATAGCACCCAGCAGTATTATAACTTTTTTGACGTATTTTAATTTCGTCATTATCTTAATTAGTTTTTTTTTTATTGGCTGGCAGGAGTGTGCACCTTGCGAATACTTCCCAAGGGAGACGAATGCTGGATGCAAATCCAGCTCTCCGTGACAAAGCTGCAATAGCGCAGCATTATAGCCATGCCACATGCACGTGACCAGAGTGACTGTGGTTTACAAGCCATTAATGAGCACATGACACAAACCGTGCCACGATGTTATTGACCATTCCCAACAAGAGTCGGTCAGCAGCGCCCATCATCCACAACGATACACTCGTACACACGAGAGGTGGCTGGGTGGATCAAAGGGCAGAATGCCGAGATTGGCATCGCTCATATCGTGGGTTTAAATCGCAGGCAGTCGACTGCGATTAGACCGGATTCTCAAGCGTGACGAGTTTATGGCCTCTGCCCGTTCACCAATAACTGCACAGACCACCGCCCCCCCCCCCCCCCCCCCCCCATTTTATTTGGTTCTGCACGAAATCTGGCTGAATTGCAGCTCGGAGAATTAAAATATCGGTTTGACTGTCACGCGATGAACGCCGCTCTTGGTGGCAGAGCGGGTCGGGAAAGTGCTTACCCCCTCTTGATTTGAATCTTGATTTGAAGCTGAAAGGGGATGGATATCTCAGAGGTGGCTCTGCGTTCTCCACTTCCGTGGGCCATTCTCCGACGCGCCGGATGGCGCTGCTCTGCGCGAGATTCGGAGGGATTCTCTTCGCCGCATGACGCGACGCCAACTCTGCGTTTGCATTTGCCAACTGCAAGGGTAACAAGATGTGTCACACGGGTTTTTATTTTTGTACGACCCTTCTCAAACTCCACAACCTCAAGTGAGCAGAGCCACCGCCATCCCACAATGTTATTGGATGTAAACGGTGCTGTATTTCAGTGCTTGATGGTACTTATATAACTATAACTCTTGAATTCATTGATGTTTTTTCTCTTAACGAACAACGTAGCACAGACGTACAAACTGTACTTTCTAATAAAATATGGATTTGAAAAAAAAACACAAATGCTGCTTGAGCCTGTTTGTGCGGAGCGTTCATTTCCCTGCGTTGCGAACAAATGACGCACCCGGTCTCAAAACGTCTCCATGAAGCGAGCCATTCACGGGATACACACACACAAAACTCTCCACCCCAAGGCTCCAATTCACTCCGCATTCGCCATAAATAGACCCGCGTCAAATATCTGCCCGCATGTTTACAGAAACATGTTCCTGCATTCCACATCGCACGGCCTATTAAGCGCAGAACACAAAGATGCACCGTAGAGCCTTGAAAAGGCTGTCGGGGCAAGTGCTGCTAGCGAGTAGCACCGATGAAATCCGGAACCAGTACACGAGGAGGTGGGTGGCCAGCACCACACCCGACCGTCTTTATCTCCCCATTGGCGATGTTTTTTTTTACACCCCCACCAAGTTACAAATTTGATGCCGAGACGACCTAGGGGAGGCCCAGGACCGGCTGAGACAATCGTCACTGGATAATGCCACGAGCGTGAATCGAACTCGGGTCACCGGGTTTGTAGCGCAGTGCGCTGACCGCTCACGCGATGATCGCCACTCTCAGAGCGGGTAGGGAAAGTGCTGCCTACTGCCCCCTCTCAGTCTGTAGACAAGCCGTTGCTGTGTATTAAACACGCACACGCAATATCCTAACGCACGTGGTCACATTTAATAGTTCACGTACACGTGAGAACGCATTTTTTTTGTAAGCAGCAAAATCATACCGTGTTGCTGACTTGTGAGAACGCCAATTTATCAAAGTCGTTGTTTTGCAGTGAATCTATCAACAATTGGAAGAGGTCATCCTAATCTTCAATGACGGTTTTGGGGGGGGGGGGTGTCTGATGGCAAGGTCAAGCCCTGCAATATTGGCACCTTGGCTACGTATGGTGCGAAAGAAGTTCAACATACCTGCAAACTGTACATGCTCACGCCATCCATAAAACAAGTTGTTTTTGTTTGTTCGCGTAAGTATAAATGTGTCATGAAACCCGCCACCACCCGACACAGCCAATTAGTAAGATTTGTCACGTAAAGAGCGTGAGAGCCAGATCACAAATCTGTCTGTCGCCTGATGAAGCTGGTTGTAATTACTGGCGAAACGTCGTACTCAGATTGTAAATGTTGTGGATTTGGCTCTCCAACACACCAGTGTTGCTGTACTAGTACCGAATTGGTAAAGCTTTCGTGACTGCAGGGATTCATCTTCTTGTTTCTTTCGGTAAAGTCACGTAGATGGGAAATAATAAAATAATAAAAATAAAACATAATAAAATAATTCTCACAACAAACTCCCCGCGTGCGGGAACGAGCCACGCGATTCGGCAGCGCATTTAGGGCTGTAAAATATTGGCCACCGAGTAGCGCGAACAAAACACCGCAGATGCCGGCTCAAGATATAAAAGACGCGAATCATTAAAGGCAGGGCCCGTTCCGCGGTTTGAAGCCGAGTCTACCCCCGTGGTTTATCAGAGGACGCGTCACAGTTGCAAGCGCCTCTTTTTGTTTGTTACACAATTGCAAGGGGACTCACCACCAATCTAATTGCCCGTGGCATCGTTTCGTTGCAAGCGCCCATTTATTTCCGCTCATTATTGCAGAGACGGGTGAGTCCCATCGCGTTTGATGTGGGATGCAGCAAAACAACAAACAAACCAGCACCGTCAGCACATCTTGGAGTCTGTAAAACCGTCTGCGGGTTCAGAACCAGAAGTTTTTGCAAGCGCAGAATGGATCGTAAAGATGTCCTCCTTTATGAATGATAATTGTGGAGCGTGGGCTCCAATGTAATTTCAACAACAAAAACCACACACACGTATCTTGCGATGGGTGACACATGGTGTTCTTTATCAATAATCATATATAGTTATGAACAACAGCGGATGCAGTCTTAAATCGCCAACCCGCATCCTTTCATACAAAACTATAGGATTTACAATACATGTCATTTATCGCGGGGCAATTAATCAACGCAACGCACGTATTGCCACGTGTGGCGTTGCAGCCACCCCCATGAGCAATTGCAAAACCACGTTGCGTCAGTTATTCTTTTTTTACTTTTAACGAACTGCCCAGAATAGTCCAGGAGGTAAAGTATCAAGGACCAAACTCTGCAAATAAATACAACCGGTATCAAATGACACGTTGCCAACAGGACGATAAAAAAAATGTCTCGCGTTCAACAACACGCCGAAACACGAGCGCCACTGGAGCGGCTTTCCAGCGACCCCCACCACCCCCTACCCCCGATATATAAAAACAAACTCTGATGTCAGCCACATCCAGCCTCCCCCCTCCACCACCTCGCCCAAATGCTCGTGGACTCGGCCTGAAATGAATAACTGGAACGCCACTGAAAGTAGCGCAACGCGAACAAAGCAAATCTGAGCAGAACGACTGAATCCACGCCACAATGGAACGTGCGTCTCGGTCGAGACGAGGAATCCTCATTAGGCAGTGGCGCATGAAACAATGTGTGTCCATTGAAAAAATGGCTAATTAGTTGTCGACTCGTAAACAGCACTTGTGCACAAGTGTGTTAAAGGTCTGTGCGTGCGTATCTAAAAAGATCCCCCGTATAGCCTTAACAGACTGTAGGGGCAAGTGCTGTTAGCGAGCACCTATGAAGGCCAGAACGGTACACGAGTGGGTGGGTGGCCAGCACCACGCCCGACCGCCTTTGTCTCCCCAGTGGCGATGTTTACACACCGCACCAGGTACTCATTTAAGGCCGAGTCGACCTAGGGGAGGCCCAGCACCGGATCAGATAATCGTCACTGGTGTTGGCCGTGAGCGGGAATCGAACCCGGGTCGCCAGGTTCGTAGCGCAGCGCGCTAACCGCTACACTACCGCTCTATACACATACACACGCACATTGTGTCAACAGCGGCAGTGTGGTGGTTGGCACGAGTTTGATTCCTGCTCAAGGCCAACATGAGCCGTGCTCCAATCTGAATCGATCCTGGGCCACCACCAACTGGGTCGACCCGGCTTCGAGTGGCCGATGCAGTGTGTACGCATTGGCACTGGGTAGACAAAGGTGGCTGGGAGTTGTGCTGGCCACGCCAACCCCCTCTTGTGCTTCCTAGGTGCTTGCGAACAGCAATTGCCCCAACAGCCTGTGGAGGCTACACAGGGGGGGGGGGGTCCCTGTCTTTATATACACAATGCGTAGACATAAAGGTAAGCGTGTCTTGCCGAGCAATTAACAAAAAAAACCTAAAATGTGGAACCAGACATGCTTACTTTAACCCGTATTATAGCATTTATCCAAAAAAACCAAAGTGTAGAACTAAACACGCTTCCTTTAAACCGTATTGCATAGTATTTTAACTACAATGTGGAACCAGACACGCTTAATGCAAGTCTTGAAGAGGGGGGGGAGAGGAAGAAGCCTTAGCGTGGAAAGAATCCCCGCGAAATGCCGTAGCCTCGAGACGTCACCGCGATGGAAAATGACTCTCGCATCTTATCTCCCCGAATTGTTCGCGTTGCCAATGCGGCTGCCCGAGGGACCTGGGGAGGGGGGGGGGGCCCACACTATCGCGACACGGCTCTTTCATTGAATTCCCATTTAAAACTTTGCGGGGGGGCTGTGGGGGCAGAGGCAGACGCGTTATAATGTTTATTGTGCGAGGATGCAGCTCTATTGGGAATATCATTCTTGGTCAGCGAAGCGGTCGGTCGCTGTCGGCGAGAACAAAGCGCCCGTTCGCTGGGGACGGTGCGGTGCCGCACGTAGATCGCGGGTTGGTTTTAAAACCCGCGATCTATGGATTTTGTCAACGACACATTCGATGCAAGAGGTGGGGTGGTTGGGGGAGGCAATTAGTAAGCGTAGAGTGGCGCAGTGGTAACGATTGTCAAAGTCCTGGGTTCGATATCTGACGTGGGTGCCTCTCAGCGTGGAGTTTGTACGTTCTCGCTCTCTCTGGCTCTGCCCCTGCATGGGTTTCCTCCGGGTTCTCAGACTTCCACCCAGAGATAAAAATAAAAAAGGATGCCATGCAACTGGGATTGGCCAAACATCAAACTCCAAATATACCGCAGGCTTCAAGGTCGAGATCGAACCCACGACCTCCTGTATACCAGGCGAGGTATTAAACATCTCGCCACCTTGGATCGCCTGAAGCCGACGATGATATCGCGTTGTACATCATTGACCGTGTAAGAAATTCCAACTGCACTGGGGTGATTGCGATTTCAATTGTAATCAAGGAAACACAAACAGCGCCGCGCATTCCCCCGTTGTCGCGGTGTGGGGAGCGTTGCCTTACTCCGCAACCCTTGTGAAGAAGCGGCTTTTGGCCGACCGTTTCCAGTGTCAACATTAAACCGCCGCATACTGTGGCGGTCGGCACGGGAGGGGCGTGCGGGCGGGCGCTTGTGCTCCCACAACAACCTCATCCGCAAGCCGCAAGCCAAGGGCAAACATTTGCCCCTGGGATTAGACTCCCGCGTGCGATGGGACGGCCAGCAGTGGAGAGGATTGATGGCGGGGCGCGAGACAAAGGGTAGAATACATCTCACTGCGCTTGGCCAAGACCTTGCTTGCATTGGCTAGGCAGTGAGCACGCGCGCGCACACACACACACACACGCACTTTTGACAATAATTAAATTTCTTAAAATATTTAATTTGTATTCCTTTTCAAGGAACACAAGGGTGAGGCGGTGATGTGGAGGTCTGTAGCGCACTGTGCTAGAGGACCCATCGGCCCGAGTTAGAATCCGGGCCATGACTCATATCAGTGTGGAGTGGCATCTGAACCGGTCCTGGGAGGATGACCCTTTCCGCAAACGTGCACGGACCTGCGTGAAAGTATGGTCAAACAATCCCCATTGCTGAAAAGGCATGAGGAGGCCTTTCATCCAGCACTGAACGGGCAAAGGGCTGCATATATACACAAAGAAAAGGAACACAGAATCTTGCGTACCCTTAATGTTGCCAATATGTTTATCACTGGGTGGTTATCAGAGATGGGACGTCCCCTAGTGGGCAAGAGCATGAGACGGAATAAACCAACAGTTGCGGGAGAGCACCGGGCGTGGTTGGGCGATCTGTAGCGGCGGCGTTGTCAAGCGCAGCAGGTCGACGTCGCATTGGGAGGTTGTGAGGGAGGAGAGGAAGGGTGTGGGGGGGGCGACGCCGGTTAGGTCTTGGGCTCTGCGACTGCGGCAGCCTCCGGGTTCTGGGTGGCATCTCGCACGAGTGGGATGATGCAGATGGCGTTCTTTGCCTCCTTCATCCTCCACCAGCGGCCGAGCCTGCGCACGGCGGACGCACGGATGGCGTGTGGTCACAACGCGGGCGGGAGAAACGCGCCGACAACAACAGAGGAGGCCGTGCACCAATAATAATAAAAAGATGGGTGGTGCGCGCACAAAGTTCACGTCGAGGTTACTTGGTTAGAAGGTCATAATAATTGACACTTACAAAGCGTGTGTCACCCAGAGGTCGCAAGACGCTGCACAGAGCTAAAGGCAAGTAAACAACTCGCGCAATTCTAAAACCTAATATAAGCACGCAGGCTTCATGATTTAACCACGGATACAAATAGCCCCAAGCCCACACTCCCAAAACACATAACCAAATTAATCATGAGAAAAGGCCTTTAAGAAAAGAAATTCATAACACGGGATTTAAATAAACCGAGAGACTTGACAGATCGAATTTTCGATGGAAGTGAATTCCACAGCTTGGGGGCAACACGGGAAAAAGATTTGCATCACTGAGATTAAACCATTTCCCATTCCGAAGACATACTGTACATCGTCACTTCTTTATCGGTACCCTCTTCAGGTCGGGAAAAAACATATCGTGGCTCCTACAAGGCCATGGGGGAGGGGCGTGTGGCAGTTTGGCGCCAGCTATCATAGAGTGCGGTCAAGTCACTACAGTTCCCTGCGGTGAGTACAATGTATTTAAAAATAACAGCGCTATTAAGCCTCTCTCAATAAAATTAACGATGAACCTTTCGCGCGTTACGAGATTCAGCGGTGAATGGGACGACCCACCCTACAAGTTGCAGACGTCTCGGAACGGGGAAAAGGAAAAGTGGCTGGCAAAAAGTGTATTCCCAGAGCCTGCGTGTACAGCTCTACATAATTAATGCACCGCGGATTCTAACGCAAGCCGAGCTGTAGTCCTGTGGGCGGAGGTCACTTTTCTCACGGCAGGTCTCAGACCCCGGCAGGAATATAAATATCAAAACAAGTACGCGATGAGTGTTACACCCTGCGATGATTTTAAAAGTAAACACAGGGGGAGCTGCGGTGGAGGCGCGGTTACCCGAGTTCAATTCCTGGCCGCGGTTAACGTCAGCAGTGGGAGAGATTCATGATAAAGGTTTTTGGGTGAGATCGCGTAAGTATAAATGTGTCGTAACCCTCCACCACCCGACACAGCAAGTAAGGTTTGTCACGTAAACAACGCGCCAGTTACTAATTCAGCCCACCGGTGTGTTGGAGAGTAAATCCACAATATTTACAATTTGAATACGATGTTTCGCTGGTAATTACATCCAGCATCACTGGGTGATTTGCCAGAACAGTGAAAGCCATCCAACTGCTTCCGGTCTTAGAGCAGCAGGGTGACATCATCACTGAACCCATCAGGTGCAGAGATCAGAAGCGAAGGGGGGGGTTGTTATAATTATATGATAGATTAGTAATGAGTTAATTAGCATGTGTTTCCTCTATACGGAATTGTATTTGTAAAACGCATTACTTAATAATACGCTTCCAGGCCGCACTAAACCTGTAGCTGTCAGAGGGGAGAGATGGTTGAACCCGTTCCCTGAGACACTGCCGAGTTCACTTCAGCAGTAAATGAGTCCCCCTGGTGCAGTGTGTGAAACACTGCTTCTTCTTTCGTATGCCCGACGTAGATGCAGAGCAACAGCTACAATCACATTGAGGTGGTCATGCCAGATAATCGCGTCAGGAGTGACGGAGTGTAATCGCTGCAATGTCTGCTTCGTATTTGTGGATTGGGGCACTGCGTCGTATTACATTGTACGGTCTCTGTGTTCTGCATGACTAGAGTCGCACACTCCTGGAGAGTTTAAAATTTTCCATTTGTGCATCGGGTAGCCATCCGCATCTGCTACCACGATTTGTGCAGTGGATGCGGTGTTTTGGGTGGACCATGGGCTTCGTGGGAAGCCAGGGACCTTGAGCGCTGGGGGTCTTTCACGAGGTGGCGTTTGTTTGCGAGCTCTTTGGAACTCCATTCAGCTCGTATCGCTGAGAAGGCTAAGCGCATGGGCACGTGAACACTCAGCGCTGGGCACACTAAAGCAGCGGGAGGGGCGTGGCGCTGCGCACATGCGAGACTGCGTGCGGTGGCGAACGTGCGCGTACCTGTGCTCTTGTCCTACGCCGGCCACCAGAAAGGAGCCGCAGCTGGAGAAAGCGAGGACGTTGATGAAACCGCTCTGCGAGGAAAGAGGCAAGGAGCAAGATGCCATGGGATGCGCGTGAGCGTGCGCGCGTGTCATAACGCGCGCCCTGTAACACGGCCGCCGTCGTGCAAGCAGGTACGGCCCGCCACACAGATGACGGAGGTGAAGCCTTGCGAACGCTTTTGAAAAGATAACTCGAATATCACCCCCACCAACCGCCCAAAACTATTTTTTTGTCCTCCGATAAAAAAAAAAATATATATATAAATCAATATATAACAATGCCACAATAGCACTGCAAATGTATACTTCGGAAAGCGGCCTATCAATCCAGTACATGGTCCACAATACGATCCTTCGGCAAGTCATTATGAAAATTAACCACGGTCTATCCACTGCTGGATGAAGGTCTCCCCCCATCCACAGTTTTAGAAACTATGGCTTATTTATACGGATAAGGCCATTCGTTTGGCGCGTGCACAAAACTCGTTGTGCCATCACCATCCCAACATGGATGAAGAAGTGGGATTGTAAGAGTACGTACAGCATTTTGAGCATCTTTCCCCGATCACGATGGGCTGATGAATTATGTCGATACAAATTCCAAGTCCTAATTGTTAGGGATATGATGCCCCAATTATCAAGGCCGCATTCATTATCATACCGACGATTACCAACATCCCTCGAGCGTACGTCTGGAATTGTCCTCGTTTACAAACCCGCTTTGCTTACCAGCGGCACGGCGAACAGCGGCTCCAGCGACTTGAAGCTTGCTCCACATTTCCACAGTCGTATGTGCCCGTCGTGCGAGCCTGCAGCAACACAGAGACACGGGTGTGAGACACAGGATATCTCTATACCACAGTAATATGCAACTTTTGGAAATCCAAACCTTCTGCCACGCAGCGCGCTTGCTGCAATATCGGCTGTTCTAAGCAACGTCTCGAAAGCCCTTCCCATGTAATATGTTCGGCCGCTTTGGCAGGCAGCTTCTTGGGGGGTCGCTGTGGTGAGATGTTAACTCCCTCGCCTGGTACGCAGAAGGTTGTGGGTTTGATCCCCGACCCTGGACGTCTGTATATTTGAAATTAAAATTTTCTCCTCGTGGTCACGTCGATTTTTCTCCGGGTTCTCTGGTTTTCCCCTCCACATTCAGAATCAACGCGCGTTTAGATTATTTGGCCGCTATAAATTTCCACGTGATAAGCCACATTGTTGAGGTATCATTACCTGTGGCTAGGTTGCTTCTGACAAAAAGCTATATGGCTCAGTGGGCCTTACCTGGTAAAATAAAAAAGTTTAGTTTAGTTTAGCTCAATAGGCCTCTCCCAAAATATACTGACTGACTGAACAGAGGCCTACGCAGGCCCAGTTTTCCTGCCGCACCTCGACCCAACCTCTAGTCAAGCCGTTGACGACTTTACAGATGAAAAAACACAAACACGCACATTCACACCGAAAAGGTGACAGGGCTGACGGCAGGCCGAACGCGGTAAAAACCAACTCTGCGCACAAAGCAAACGCCAACGGCGATTCTGAATCACAGAATACGATTAGGCAATTAGCAAAAACACATTCGGATCGCGCAGATTTCACAGTTAATTAGATGTGGCGTTAACCTCTACATTTTATCCGCATAATTAAAAGCAATAATCCCCTCTTGCACCTCGTTACGGAACAGGCCGACGCTCTTGCGCTGCCGTTCTGCATTGTTGCGTGGGATGGTGGTGCTAGATTTGCATACTAAATTAGGTCGTTTGCACGCAAGGGCCAAATTAAAAACCTGCCGTCTAGTACAACGGGTTCCCAACACAGCCCGGCGGCTCGCGGTAGACAGAGAGCGGCTGGCAACGGGAAGGTTACGAGTTCAATTCCTGTTTTGGTTGCTGCCGCAGTCCGGCAAATCCTCTGGGGGTCACTACCCACGAGGACCGCTTTGTGCTACGGGTAGACTCGCCTATGCCAAAGTAATGTTCAATTTCCACGAATGGCTCAGGTTCGTATACAGGGGATGAGCACCATCTCAAGCAATCACTTCACTTGTTGCGTGCCCAATATTAAAAACCCATTGTCTTGTTGCAATGGGCTCCCGCCATCAGAACGTGGCAACAGCGGAGCCAGCCTTATTAGCGCCAACGCTCGCGGAGGGATTGTTACATCGTTTGCAGCGGCTGCTTGCGACTGCCTGCAATCCACCAGTGGCCGCTGCATTCACCGTGACGTGACAGAATGAATTGATTCTCCGATTGAATCCTGACCCCGAATCGCCACTATCGATCGAGCGTCGTGGGAGGGTTGGGAATCGTTACTCATCTGCGATTCGTAAACGCAAAATAAAGAAGGCAGACAATGCACACTGCATACTTCCCCTGTACCCTTCACATTCCAAATTTTTTTTTTTTACATCTCATCAGGCAAACAGGACGGTATTCTGAGAATTATTTTTTTTTGTACACATCCATCGCAAACAGTACGGTATTCTGAAAGTTCTTTTTTTCCCAGCAACATCGCTTTAATAGAAGCAATCTATGGACCAGTTTCGAAATTCAACAATGTTTTTTTTTACTAAATTATAAAATATTTTTTTTGTCCTTTACATGTTATTTTGTATAAATACAGAATGTATTTTTGTTCTTGTTAACACCTATCCTCACTTATCGGACCCTTGCGTGTCTCCCCTGTGAGATCAATTGTTTTAATGTTCCGTCATTGACAACATACGGCCCCCTCTTAGCCAATCAACTGCTGGATGAGGCCCTCTCCACACCAAGCAGGTCCTGGGGGCCGTTTGACCATACTTCCCCAAGCTGGTCAGTGGGAGATGAAGGCAGGAATAAGAGATATGGGATCATACAAGTATAGTACAACAACGGATTTTGCCGAGCGGCTTTCTGCTGCCCACCAAACGCAACCCCCACAGCAGCTGACAGCAGATGTCATAATCATTATTACTCGCACTCATCAGGCACCTTTCAAAATGTCTCAAGGTGCCAAAGCATCGTGGCTGCCAATCCAAGTACTATCCAGGCTCAACCCAGCTTTGCTTCCGAGACGTGACGAGGACGGGCGCGTTCCGGGCAATTTGGTCACGGGTAAATACGCCCGTCGCCTGGTTAAAACTGCAGCTCTCGCGCGCACACACGTGTGTGCGTGTGTTTTTGTTTAGACTCTGTGCACGCGCACGAGTTGGGCGAGTGGTGGCGTGGCGGCGAGCGCACTGCGCTCCACAAAGCCCGGCCGCCTGGGTTCAAACCCTGGCCAAGGCCAACATCAGTGGCGAGCGATTTGTATGAACCGGTCTTGGGCCTCCCTTTAGGCCGACTCGGCCTTAAATGCGTACCAGGTGCGGCGTGCAAACACCAGCAGCGCAGAGACAAAAGCAGCCCGGGCGTAGCCTTCATAGTCGCTCGCTTAACTGCAATTGCCCCAACAGAGTCCGAGCAGGCCACACGCTGCTGGGAGGGGGGGGACCTCTTTGCGTCCGTGTCCATGCACGGTGCACGAGTTATAGCAGGGCCCACCTGAGGCCACCAGGTCGCTGTTGAGCATGGCGGCCACCGAGGTGATCCACTGCGGCTGCTCCAAGCCGGGCTCGCCCAGCATGCCGTGCGCTTTCTGCACAGTGGCCAGCGGCCTTTTCTTGTGTAGGCCCCAGATCGCCAGCGAGCTGTGCGGAGAGAGACAGAGAGCGTGGAGCACGTTAAAAGCATTTACACAATTTGTATCCCCCAATGTGCTATCAGCATCGGAACGCCCGCAAAACAGCGCGACCCTTCGTGCTGTGGAATGGCCGCCGATCGGATTTTGGTTCCCAGCCACGGCTGCAATGTGATGGAGTGTCATTAACGACGACAACAACCGCCGCCGCCGCCATTCGCCACTAAGTGGCGTTGGCGTCACCACGGTGCCTGTGGTAGGCCAGGTGCACTTTGAGGCCACGTGAAGTGTCGAAGGTTCGGTGACAGGTCACGGAACAGACCAAGGTGCCATGGGTTGACTGAGATGACTGGCAGGAGCACCAATCCTCATCACTGCCATGCTGTGGGAAGACCTTTCAGCAGTGATTTGACAAGAGGCTGCAAATTATTACTACAGGTGATGCCTGATAATGAAAATAACAATGATTTGACTAATGTCATTTATAATTTATTACAAATTCTCTTGTCCTACCGAAATCAACCATTTGGCAAACAACACATTTATTCCAGCCATGACGCCTCAACAGCAAAACTGGCATTTAACGTTATTACAGCAGTACCAGCGCTTAATGGACAAATCACTGCTTTCATGATTTGTAATCAATCGTACACTGTAATTACGCAGATTAGACTGCATGTTTTAACGCTCGTTGTTCATTCATCCCTGCGCCATCGATTCGCATGCAGCCGGCACCATCACTGCCTCGCCACACGGCCGGCTTCCAACTCATCTTGGGCTAACGAAAGACGCGTGCGTGCGCGTGGGTTTAGGAAGAAAAAAAACGCGAAATTCATCGCGTAGCGGCGTACAATGGGGGTGAGAAGACGTAGAGAATGTGCCGTCCGCTTTCACTGCCGCCAAGGATTACTTGACGACGACGCGTTTGCCGTCACGTGGGCACCGGGGTCGCCGACCCGCGATGAGCGAGGAGCGGCGAAGTAAATTGAGTAACTTAAAAAGGCACGACACGAGCGCGGTTTAAACCGAAGGCTGGACAAATCCACCCACGCACGAGCGATAGAGAACGGCGCTCCCTGGCGACGAGTAGTATAAATGCGTGGGCTTGATGCGGCTATTTGAAGTTTGCGTGTCTCTCTCTCCCCGTGATCGTGTGTATTTTTCTCCGGGTCCTCCGGTTTTTCCCTCCACATTTGGAAACATGCGTTTAGAACATAAATTTCCACGTTAAGAGCCACTTCGTTGCGCTATCATTTGTGATAGCCAGGTGGCTTCTGAAAAAGAGCTACAAAGCTCAGTGGGCCTGATCTGGTAAATTAAAAAGTCAAGTTTAGTTTCTCTGCACCAAGTCACAGCGAGCAACCTTCCCGCATCAGCCACGCCACAGACCCGTGCACACGGCACGGCGGCAAAACGTGGACAGAGGCACTCACCCGTCGTCCGCTCCAGACACCATGTGCTCCTCGTTGATCAGCTGAATGCAGTCGATGGATCCCCTGCGGGCAGACGACAAGAAGGTGACTTGTTTAGCCTCGTGCCCTCTTTGCACGAATACGCTCCACAAACCGGGTTTCGGAAATTGAGAAATACTGCCCTGAAAGACGATAATCCAAGTCTAACATCCTTAAATAATAAACAACCTATCACTCGGTGTTAAACATTCAGGACTCCGTTTCTCATAAAACACTCCGGCAATTAAAGTGCTTGGCACCAATAACAGTTCCAATGAGAAAAGAAAGGCCAAATTTGATCCAAAAGTGTCTTGTTCATCTTTACAGGGCTCACTGTTTTACAACCAAAAACTTTCTGTCGATAATGATTGCATAATTTATCACCCATTTGTCAATCCAATGCTGGATTGAAAGGCTTCCCCCAGATCTTTGACCATACTTAACCTTGCTGGTACATGCGGGTTGGTGAAGGGGGGTGGGGCAGCATTGTTTCAGATAGAGCTCCCCACTGATGTTAACTTTGATCGGGAATAGAACTCAGATCGCCAGGTCCCATAGCACAGTGCGGTAACCACTGTACCACCGTGCCACCAATTTAACTGTAGATATCGCATCTATGTGACTAATTAGGCAGATAACTTTTCGACAGTGGAAGCGCTTGTATATGATTCATGTGCCCACTCTAAGTTAACAGAACGCAGAATATCTCTGTACTGATCTATCACTGCAAGCAGCACTGATCTCGAGCTCAATTAAGCCTGGGACCACACGAACAACAATAATTATCTGGAACGTTTCTGCAGCCTTGGAAATTAGCCCCATTACAACAATAAACCTCCCCCCACCCGCATTGAGCATTTATGTGGCCGCCTTGACGTCAAAACGCCGGGGTTCAATGTCGGGTCAATACCCGGGGGCCGAGATGAGCGCAGAGATGCATTTCCCACCGGGGCCTTTTGTTCAAAAAAATATGTCCAACGTGGTCACTCTTGACGACCTGCATTGAATCCAGTCCTTCATTTGTTTCGCTTCCCCCCCCCCTCCCCGAGCCCCAAGCACCACCTTTAAAAAATCCAGGGTTTCATCGTTCCCACTGCACGATAATAAATTAAAAACAGCCACAGCAGTGCGATGACCGGCAACTCTCGATAATGTGGGATAATGGCAGGGTAGGAACTGCCGGTATAAAACCAAAACACGGATAATGCTAAACATGCATATTCAGCGTTTAATAAAACATGTATCCATCGCTTACATACGCAGGGAACGAGGGGCGAGGGCGTAGAATGCGTCTTCCATTTTAATTTTGTCCTGACGTAACCGCTTTAACTTGCCGACGTGTTTGCGATCATGTGGGAACCGAGACCCGTCGACGAGTGAGGAACAGCTAAATAATTGAAAGGGCGCCACAGTGGCGAGATGATAACTCCCTCGCTTGGTTTACAGGAGGTCGTGGGTTCGAGCCCAACCTTGACACCTGTCGGTTTGGAGTTTGCGTGTCTTTCTCCTTGTGGTCGCGTGGATTTTTCTCCGGATCCTCCGTTTTTTTCCCTCCACATTTAGAATCAACATGAATTTAGAGTGTTTGGCTGCTATTAATTTCCACATAAGCCACTTCGTTGAGCTATCATTTGTGACCAGGTCACTTCTGAAAAAAATCTATATAGCTCAGTGGGCCTTTAGCTGGTAAAAAGTTGAATAGAAAAAGTTGAGTTGTAACTCATTATTATTCACAAGCACGGTTACGACGCATCCCATACAAATCCCGCCTGTGGCCAATCGTGAGTTACGTGGATTTCAGGAACCTCTTCCTCGTTTATAAACGGTGGCCTCTCTACTGTAGCATGGGAGGTGCGCGCTATACTTGACTGCCGATTGTCAAAACACTCTGGGCAAATAAAAATCCACGCACAACATAAACCCAACATAAACTCCGAGCGTTGCAGCCTCATCCTTTGGGAAAGCGGAGCTGTCAAATTAAAATCTTACGGAGCAGAGATATTTTTTTTCCACTTCCAGAAATCGATAGTACTCATAAACCAGCGCAGCTATGGCTGGGGGTGCGCTAATTCAGTTTGCGAGATATATATTTAATTATTTCGATGGGAGTCACGCGGCATTTCTTCCACGAGAACTCAAATGTTAGGGGCCAATTTTACAAGTGATGGGTTCAGACAGCGGACCCAACGAATCGCACTCAAGGTCAGTCCGCGGCAATGAAAATGACCGCGTTGAACTGGCACGAGCGTCGCGTCCCATCTTCACCTGGGGTCTGCAGTCGGCATTACACGCGACAGCGACCGACGACGACGGCGGTGCTCACCACAGGGGAAGCAACCCCATCCTTCGGCCCAACAGGAGGCGAAGCGCTACGACGGGACGCGAGGCGATTCACCGTCGCCGAGGGTCGATAACTCGTCCCAAAACAAAAAAAGATTCACGATACACGAATAGAGCTCACGTGTGTTTGTGAGAATCGTATGTCGCACGAAACAACAACAATATAGCGGCGGCTTCCTCAGGTCTTCATGCAGCAGTGGATAATCGTGGCTGCCATTGCTGCCCACGATGCTGCCATTGTTGAATGGAACGGCGGAGCGGTGGCGGCGCGGTTGTAAACGCACCGTGATACAAATCGGGCGAATCGAGGGTACGATGTTTGGCTACGCGTGACACCATCAGTGGCGAGTAAAATCTAAACCGCCCCCGCACAACCCCTCCCAGCTATTTTTTTTCTTGAAAAGTTTCAGACTTGAGTTGAGAGCAAACTCATTCTCATTCAACGATCCACATCCCCCCCCACCGTGCAGATTCCATGACCTTCCATGATTCAGGGTCATTAAATAAAATAAAAGGATCTTCTGTTTGGGTCTCAGTTTTAAGAGTCCCCCATATGGATCACTTCTCGTGTGCAGTCACCTTCGCGCCGTTATTCTTGCACGCAAAGTTTTTCGTGCACCGATTCATTGATAATAAATTCCTGCACGCGTGCATCGTGGGTCTAAGAATCGATTTTAATTCACGTGGCCGCGTGCAGTGTTTACACGCAGTACTTCAACGGAGCTGGCTCAAATCATTCCCCCCGATAATTCCATTCACTTTTTGTTGCGTCACGTGAGCTCTTCAGATCCTGAATGATATTTCACCGGCTAAGTAAAAAGCACAACATGCATTCTGCACGCTCCACCAAATCGGCTTCTCGTGCTCTTGCACTAAAAGCCTTCATGCGCTGGCGGACTATGAAAGAAGAACAAAACCAATCTGTCTGCGTAAAGAGAAATGATACAACAGCGTAGGTCGTTGCTGTTCTGCTACACGGCTCCCCCCAAAGCATCTTGGGCTTTGTACGGCTGTGTCGTTCGCCATAAAAAATTCGGATTCCGATTCATAACGTCCTGAAGTGGGTGCCAACAAGTGCGGCACAACGTCGGGCATCATTTGCGGTACAATCGCGAAAATACATCGGAGGGAAATTGTACAAATTCCCACACGCGCGATACACAAGACGCGCGAAGAATCAGCCCGAGGCATCGGCGGCCGCCACCCCTGCGGGCCCCCCCGGCAGGACACGACGCCGAGACTCCGTGCGCATCGCGCGCACGATCATCCTCGGTGCGCCGGGGCCACCACCCCGGCAAACAATGCCAACAACCTTTACGGCGCCCGCTAAATTATTCAACGCTCTCGCGGGCGGCCGCCAGCTCGTCGTGCAATATTAATCCACGGCAAGGGGGCCACCGCACGACGCCGGGGCCCGGCGCCTCACCAGGTGTGAACCGCTGGCTTTGCCGACCCCCTCGCGGCACGTAGCCGCGATTGGCAATCTCTCCGAGGTCTGAGGCCAAAACGTATTTTTGCACGCAACTCTGCCGGGTGTATGCACGCCTGTTGAACACCGTACGTAAGCCAACCGTGCCAATCGGATGGCTCGGCAGGTGGAGCGAGCGGCTCCCAATCGGAAAGGTTGCGAATTTAAAACCTCGTTGGGAATTGCGTGGAAGTCAACGGCAGATGTCCTAGGGATGCACTTTCCCTCGCCATAGGAATGCGGAATTTCCGCCACACGAGCACCGCCTCAATTTTCAGTTGAGCAGGAGATGACTTGACTCTGGTGACGTTATGAGACATGCAAGGCAGATGAGGCAGGACTGATCTTACGGTCACAAAAGCACCCATCGCCGTCTCGAAATCACCTTCGGCTACGTGCTGTATTTGTTCTCTTATTTGTTTGCAGGCTGAATGCACCTTTCCTGTCCGGCGTGTTCGTCATCATTTGCGCAAAGGGCTGGGGATGGGTTTCATAGGAATGGGTGTGGGTGGAGAGACGGCGAAAGGTACGGGAGGGGACAATGGTAACAAAGCATCAAACGCCGCTTGCGATGTTATTACTTATCACTGCGGAGAATTTTCCTTTGCCGGATTGTTTCCAGACCGATACGCACGCCCTTGAATTTTTTTTTTTACACAATTGTTGTCAAATTTAGGAGTCCCAGTATTCTGAAGGTAACGTGCCACGGTTTTTTATTTTTAAAAATGTAAAATAATAATACCGCCCTTTTATTTTCCCAGGGAAATCTCACTGGATCTCAGACACTTTTGTTGTGGACCGGGTTCTGCATTGGGAAGCTTGACCCAATCGCGAGCAAGTGTTCGTCACGAGGCACGCAAACCCGAGGCAGCGGCAGGAAAACCCCACGGAGTCGAGAGGGCGACGCTCAAAGCCACAGCAAAAATAAAGATTACAATAATCCATCGTTGCAATGCCATCCTCTGGCCACTTCACAGGCCAAGCCTCCAATAACGGCCTTTATAATTCCCATGCAGTGTTCCGTCCAAAGTGCTAAGCAGGCTCAACAGCTTGTTTAGCTTCCAAGATGTGACAAGATCGGGCGGAATTATCAGCGAATTGGTCGGAAGGTACTTGCAGGCGAAGAACGATCCAAAGCCTGACATCAAAACCGTAGCCCAGCCACTATATAATTCATGCATCCTCACGTTCAAAAATACTCCAAGTGTAAACTGGCTCGCCATAAAATAACATATTCCTTCACTTTGTAACCTTAACAAAGGAATATTCAATCTCGATTGCGACGAAGATTCGTGTCTGCACAGCGCGGCTGCACGACGAGCCGCTCGAAATACCGCAAGCTGTGGCCGTGCACGCGCGCCTGAATGTCAGCGCTTGAAACAACAACAAAAAACAACAAACGTGTTTCATTACAGCGGCACGAGCGAGCAGGTGCGATGATGTCGCTCAAAGCCGAGCGGAACTGACAGCGACGGACGAGAGGCGCAGGCTGTCCATCCCGCGACGCGGAGACGCCAGAAATGCCACGGCTCTAGCGATCGCAGCGTGCACGTGGGCGCGAGGGGAGAGGGATGGGGGAGGCGGGTGCGAGACAGTTCCCCCCCACCCCGCCAATGGATGTCACCTTCCTCCCCATTGCACGCTGGTGGACGAGGGCCTCCCAAATACTGTGCGGGTCACGGGGGTTGAGAAACACTTCAACCACGATGGTCGGTGTGCGGGTTTGGTGAGGGCGGGGAGCATAGAAGTACAGTGTAACTGGATTTTTTTCTGCAGGGAGCGTAGATTGCAAGAACAGAGGAGCACAGCTTCTGAGATGTGAGCTTCCAAAGGTGTCCCAAGCGAGGTGTACGGCGCAATGATATGACCAACGCCTTTGCCGCCACATTAGGCATCGATCCATGTCCCAAGGCATAATTCCGTTATTTTTCAAATAAAATTCAGCCAGAACGGTGCCGGCAGCGGTGCAGAAGCAGATGCCCGAGTGCACGGTGGGATTTTTTTTCACGGCACGTCGCATTAAATTTATCTTAATTAAACATAAAAAAAGAGGGCAGCCCTCCCCCCCCCCTCCAGACATAATGCGATTTGCAGCGATTGTACTCGCGAGCAAAAGACACGCCCCAAGGCTAAACAGAGGGCACTCTCACCTCCTGTGTTTTTTGCCCCCACCCCAGCAGGACGGGGTTCACGAGGAGAGGACACAGAAGCGGCGGTACTCAGGGTGTTTGCGATGCAGGCTCGGGTGCGGTTCAAATCGCTCGTCGATTTCACCGTCAATTGTGACCCAAATTTACCGACGATCCCTCTTCTCTCCTACTGAGGGCAGCTTTGTTGGCAGCGGTGGTCGTGATGGGATAAGGAGGCGGGGCATGTCAATCATTACAATAAAATTCCACTCCTCTGCTGCCTTAATATCCAGTGCTTCTGATATCCGGAGCTCTGATTGATCCGCATGACCTCTGTGCTATTTGTCAAGGCATTATTCCTATTTTCCTCGTTTATAATGCAGATAACAGATGTGGTGGAGAGAGTCATCCCATTAGACTGTGAAGCTGCGAGGTGAACAGCAGAGGGCAGTGCATAAAAACGCAACAAGGGCGACCTCCTGTACGCCAGGCGAGGTCGTTAAAATCTCGCCAACGCGGCACACTGATACACGAGAGACGATGCTTGCACGTTGAACTTCTTTCGCATCGTGCGTAGCCAACCGTGCTAATCAGAGGTACGGGGGAAGAGAGAGAGCAAGGAGACAGACGGTGGGGCGGGGAGGGCCGGGGGGGGGGGGGGGGGCGGTTGCCCAACTCACGCGTGGCCGTGGAACACGAGCTGCGACTCCTCGAGGATCTTCCAGACGCGCACCGAGCGGTCGCGCCCGCCTGCCGTCACGCATCGCTCCCGCGCCAGGCAGTCGAGGCCCATGATGGCATCCTGGTGCCCGAAGCTGCGACGGGGAGGGGCGGGGGGTGTCCGACATGCTTAGACAGTGGCGATGTTATCTGCCTCGCCTGGTATACAGGAAGTTGTGGGTTCAATGTCGACCCTGACGCCTGCTCTATATTTGGTTGCGTGGATTCATCATCGCCGGGTCCCCCGGTTTTTCCCTCCACATTTAGAAAATTGCGTTTCGATTATTTGGCTGCGACAAATGTCCACGCGAGAAGCCACTCCCCGTTGAGCTATCGTTTGTGACAGCCGGGTCGCTTCTGAAAAAGACCGAAATAGCTCAGTGGGCCTTACCTAGTAAAATAAAAAAGAAATGTTTAGCAGTTTTTTGGTTTTGTGACGGGCGTTCAACCAGCCGCAACGTCGCCGACTGGGACGGGGTACGGAATCGGACGAAAAACTGATGACGTACATGTACGCCATAGGAACGGCAAAGGGTTAAAATGCAGATAAGATGATGCACAGAAAGCGCCCGCCCCCCTCCCGCTGTCGAGGCGGCTAAGAGAATTGCCGCTGCAGCTCCGCGAACGCTCGCAGCTGTCGTGTGGAGGTGCGTCCCCGCGGGCCGGTCTACTCACAGCGTTTCCACGTAGGCCCTCTCATCCACGTTCCACACCTTGACGGAGCGGTCGTGCGACGCGCTGTACAGCTGGTGGGTCCCCTTTCGGAAACACAGGCCCTGCGGATGACGGCGGCAATAAGTAGATCAGCGCGTGAACCAACTCCCGAACCCGTCTTAGAAATCCAGCAGTCGCTGCAGCCTTACCGATCTGCCCCGATCACGTGTGCCGGCTCGGGGCGCTTGCGACCACAATCGTGAGCACATTATCCCCGAACGCCCCAATGTTGTCACATCGCGGACACAAAGCAGGGGATGAGCGTGATTAGTACTTGGATGGCAGACAGCTTCAGCGCACATTATGTTCACCCATAGTTGTTTTTTTTGTTAAGCCACCTAACAATCGGGTCAAATTTACACCGTGAAACTCTCCCACCACCCGACGCAGCCAAAACCAATTAAAGCTGTCACGCTCGCCGGTAAGTGCGAGAATTATTTGCGGCAAGTGTGATAATTATTTGCGGCGCGACCAAATTTAGCAAATTAGATACGACGTTCCGCACCGAAACTGCGCCGAGCATTCTGAGGTCAGATCCGAGGAAGTCAAGCGATACGTTCCAATAGGCTCGGGCCACAAGGTAACCCAGGGCATGGCAACATAGTGACGTATTCTAGAATATGAGTAAATTCCCTTACGTGTTTGGGTTCTATCCCGTTATTTGGGTTCGCCTCCCGAGTGCCAAAGCACTTGTTCATGGATTTGGCCAAACATCCTCATGCAGCACTCTTGAGACTGGGCGAGGCCCTCGTGGCTATTGGGCGTTGTCGTTATGGTAATTAAACAGGATTCATACAACACCGCTAATCGTAACACTGAGCCATGCATAGCAGGTTGCTATGACAACAAATGAAATTTAACGATTAAAAAAACTCCCAAAACAAATTAATTCGAGCATATTTAATTACAACAGCATTAAAACTGGGAGCCCCATGGCCTGTACGAAATGAGCGCCTTGATGAAAGCGTTTAAAAAAAACCATCGTCTGACAATTGGAAGGCTCTTCCTTCTAATATTAGGAAGTTACTGGAGCTGTGCACTTTTAAGTCACCCAGTTTTAAAACTAATTTCGTTCCAGCTGCTTTTGTGTTTAGTTTGTTGTCCCTTACCCCCGCACCTCCGATTAGCACGGTTGGCTACGTACGGTGCGAAACACGTTCAACGTACGTACGTAGGTACAATTTCCTCGGTGCATTGTGGCACTAACACGGTTGCACCAGCCACACCCTCGCTCGCGTTTAGCGGCGACTGCAGCCGCTTCATTTGTATTTGAACGGACGGCACCGGCAGACAGGGCAAAGCGTGGGCCTTGGTTGGATCGTGAGGACCGCACTTCGGCACCGAGTGAAGCAAAGCTCGGGCAGTGCCGGGCCATCGCAGCCACAGCGACGGTTTACCACCACCAGACGGCGCCACGGGCCCACCGTGCAGCACGGAGATTGCGTTGTCAACTCAAACGTAATGGTACGGGGGTGGAGGAGGCAGCAAACAAATATCGACTCGTCGGTGGACGATTAGCACCCAAGCCTGGCAGTTTTTGTCTCCCTCGTGGCGATGCTTTCGCACGGCATCAAGTACTCATTTGAGGCAGAGTCGACCTAGGGGAGGCCCAGGACCAACTCAAATATACGCCACCGCTATTGGTCGTGAGCGGGAATCGAACCCGGGTCGCCGAGTTTGTAGTGCAGCGCGCTAACCGAGACACTCCCGCTCTCCGCAGGACACACACATACGAACACACGAAGACACACACACGAACACACGAAGACACACACACACACGAAGACGTACCGACACGGCGTCGCGATGCCCCTTGAATGTGTGCAGCAGCTGCATCGTGGCCGGGTTCCACAACAGGATGAGTTTGTCCCTGTCGCCCGTTGCCTGACAAGAGTGCACAAACGCACGTGCGCTTTCAGTCATTGGTCATCAGTCATCAAAGTTGGCACAGTAGGGGGCACAGGCGGTGCATCGGCAAGTCATCTCCGTCAGCCGACCCATGGCACCTGGGTCTGTCCCATGACCTGCCAGCGGGCGTTCGATGCTTCACGTAGCCTTAACGTGCACATAGCCTGGCACAAGCGCTGTGGTGATGTCATCGCCACTGAGTGGCGAATGGCCATTGTTGTTTCAGTCATTATCACGTGGCCCACAGCGGTTTAGTTCCCATAGATATGCCTACCGCTCAGTAGATTTGATACCAGGCAGGATGGTGATAAATATTGACGGATATATAATAATGGATATGTAGCACATATAGAGGAGCTATGCTATAGGTAGACCATGAGGCTTTGTGAAACTCCCAAACCTGCTGATCTGCGAGGTGACCAGGAGATAGCAGTAGAGCAAGAGGGTTCCTCGCCCAAATGTCAGGGGCCTTGGGCATTATCCCCTGGTATGCATCCATTGCCTCCCACGAACAAAAACACTCGACCATAGTGAGCGATGGCGTGTGTGTGTGTGCGTGTGTGCAATGCGCTACGAAACCGTCGATTTCCGCTCACGGCCAACTTCAGTGAGAAATAATTGAACGGATCCTGGGCCTCCCTTACAAGTCTACTCAACCTTAAACGAGTACCCCCAAGTGCGTTGCGTGGTGCTGGCCACCCACCCACCCCATGTGTCTTGTCGGCCTTCATCGGTGCTCGCTAACGGCATTTGCCCCAACAGTCTGTAAAGGCTATAAACGGGGGATCTCTGTCTTTGTGTGTACGTGTACATACCAGGTATTTGCCATCAGAGGAAATGGCCATGCAGAGGATGTGCGCTGCGTGGCCGTCGACACCACTCTTGTTGTCCTTCTTCTTGAGGCCCGGCACGGAGAGCACCCGGCGCCCTGACTCCACATCCCCTGCGCGCGTCACGACCCGGACATCGAGACAGCGGCTATTACCTGCCTGTGGACATCTGGTTGTGGACACACGGCTAAGGATACCCGGCTGAGGCTGCCAGGCAGGACTAAAGCCAGGATTGCCTCTGCTTGAGCTCTGGTCGGAGTGTCCTCGCATGTTATCTGTTGAGGGTTCCCTTGTGAAAATGTTTCTCACAAGCTGGGCCACCTGATCGTACAGAGGCCCTAACCCATTGGTGTCTGCTCCAGTGTATAATGTGGAGTCATGTGTTTGGCCGATTTATGACGGGAGGGAGCTCCGAAGCAAATTAATTCTGCGGGGCACCAGTCACGCCACGTTTGGCAAGAGAGTGGCCTGTGGCTGTTGGTACTGCGACTGTACGGGACCCAGTTAATGCTGTGGGGAACAGCGGTTTTCTTGTTGCTGGCAACTCAGCATTTTGCAACCTTTGGGCCGATGTTCAGTAACCGTGCTGCGAGATGTTAACTACCTCGCCTGATATACAGGAGGTCGTGGGTTCCATCTCGGCCCCGACGGCGCCTGTATACTTGGAGTTTGCATGTTCTCCTCGTGGCCGCATGGATTTTCCCCCGGTTTTTCCCTCCACATTTAGAATCAACATCACGCGTTTAGAATATTTGGCTGCAATAAATTTCCACACAATAAGCCACTTGATCGAGCTATCATTTTCGACGCCAGGTCGCTTCTGAAATAGAGCGAAATAGCTCAGTGGGCTTTACCTGGTAAAATAAAAATAATTAATAGTAGGTTTTTACCCTTTAAACTGGTACAAAACTGACACCTTTATACAAGGCATCATGTTTGCAATAACCACAACACAAGCAGTCAAAATGCAAACAAAAAGAAACAACTCTGATGATAATAATATGCACTGTCCTTGAAGTTGATTGGTCCACACCCGAGACAGCTTTCCTTAGAGCCTAGTCTCCATTGGTGTTGGACCAGATGACGCCAAAAGGCGTACAACTCAAAAACAGCGCACTATCAGAGTATTATATTTTGCCAGTTTAAAGAGTAAAAACCTACTATTATATTTTGCCACTGGTAAAGGAGGTCTCAGTGTAAAAATAATCTGTTTTCGAAAAAAAACATGTCGAGTCTTGAGTGTCCATTCTTCTTAATGCAAACCATAATCAAGTTGTACTATATTATAGCAAATTCGATTAATCGGGAGCAATAACCGACGGCTCCCGTGGGCACGGCGGCCCCACCGCACGGTGCCGGGGTGGCGGCGGCTTACACTTGATGAGCGTGCAGTCCTTGGAGGCGGAGAAGATGTGCTTGCTGTCGGGAGATATCACGAGGCACATGATGGGCAGCTGGTGTCCGCGCAGCACGCGCACCGCGCCGGGGTCGGGCAAGCGCAGCTAGTGGAGCACGCGGAGAAGCACACACACACCGAGTATGTACGTACATGGAACCGTTTACATTCTACGCATATGTATGTGCGCAAGTTGAACTTCAACCAACCGCGCTGATCTGAGTTGCGGGGGGGGGGGAGGAGGGGGAAGGACAACGAACTAAACACAAAAAGCAGCTCGAAATAAATTACTTTTCAATTTGGATTTAAAAGTGAACAGCTCCCGGTGGCTTTATAATATTGGAAGGAAGAGCATCTCCAGACGGCCGCAGAAGAGGATTTCTGAAAGTGTGCGTCGCTGTGAACGTCTTTGTTCGATGGCAAGCCCAACAGCCGCCACCCTACTGCGGAAGACCGGAGTTCACATGATGATTTATGCTCCTTGATGAGAAAACGCAGAGCACGTGCAGAGCTTAAGGGGTCAGCCACACAAGAGGGTGAGCTTCTGTCTCGTTCTTCTTTGGATGCTCTCTGCTTAAACAGGTCAGGTTCCTGGTTCAAGTTCCCTCCAACCTTCTAGATTTGAAGCTTTCGTGACTGCAAGGATTCATACTCTTAGGTTTTTTCGGTAAAGTCACGTAGGCAAAAATAAATAAATGATTAATTATAGAAATATTTTTTTTTTACCTACGTGCCTTTACCGAAAAAACCTAAGAGTATTTTCCCTCCATCCTGTCTGGCTGTACGCTTTCCTTCTCACTCTGTCACGCACCCCCCTCCCCTGACGTTCTTCCAAGTTGCAGAGCAGCTCCTTTCCAACCCCTTAGGTCTCGTCCCCAGCATCCATTCGCCCAAGTTTAAGTTAGCCGCATTATATATGTGAAATCGCACAAACCGAAACCGCATAAGGTGAGGCAAACCTGTACAGGGTAAAATAAAGACGTTATAGGTGATAAGCGTGAATGCGAACAGCGAGTTTGTTGAGGCAAGTTAGAACAAAATGCACAAACCTCTTTTGCGATTTGTCGCTGAAGAGTGCCACTTTGCTCCATCTGAAAACACAAACATCCACCCTTAGCTCAAACGTCGACCGGTACACAAAAACATGCGCAGCTCGTCACTGTTACACACACAGCAAAGGTTTCCTGGCATGTGCTCATGCTTTGTTTAATTGATACATTTTTTTCAAATATATATTTTTTCCTCATTGTGCTCTGAGCACCATGCCACGAGACCAAGTATCCATTTTGAGCTCTTGCAAAGCAAGGACACCCATTCGTGTTCGAGATTGGCCCACATAGACGGGTATTAAAACAACTACTTTTTATTTTACCAGGTAAGGCCCACCGAGCTATATCTCTTTTTCAGAAGCGACCTGACCGCAAAGATAGCTCAACGAAGTGGCGGCTTATCATGTGGAAATTTATAGCAAAGCTACCTCGCAGAGCTCCCTCTGAGCTACCTCTGAGGTCTCTTCAAGTGACCACTGTGCAGTCATTGCCGACTGGACTGTGACCATTAACTCTCTCCATTAAAAGTACAACTAATGAACCGAAATTCAGTTACGAATCTTAAGAACCCAGTTTCATCACAGAAGGCTGCCCCGACTTAGAACCCAGGGTCTCAGCAGAGCCAGCTCATGCTGTCCACTCCCGAGCCGCTCGCCCATGCATCGTCAAAGGACATTTACCAGCTCGTCCTGCAGCCGGTCCGCGATGACGTCGTGACGGAAAGCTCGGTCATCAGCCTTATGCTCCTCTGCACGCGCACGGACACACACACACGTGAGATTCAGCAGTGAACGGGACCCCACCCTGCAAGTCGCGGGTGTCAAGGAACGGGAAAGGGTTGAGGTGTTCTTGTACATTTGCAGCCAGCGAGGGGTGTATATCTGCAAGTGGTCACAGCGGGTGACAGGGTACCTTCTGTCCGCAGCTGCTCCAGATACAGCTTGGTCAAGCGCAACTTCTTCTCCTGAGCCGTCTCCTCCACCTCCAAGTCATTCTCCTCCTCCTTTTTTGCCCGCTCGCCATCGCTGCGCACGCAGCACGCCGAGACGTCGCTTACTACACCGCGGCTGGGGAAGCTACGGTCTGCGGCTGCATTTCACGCGGCCCGCAGCCATGGGGCCTATCACCTCTCAGCGGCTCGCTAAAAAATGGTTTGTAACCAACCTTGCGGACCTCCGATTAGCAAGGTTGGTTACGTATACGTACAGTGCGAAAAAAGTTCTACATACAATATCCACTTATAACTGCATCTTAGCCGCCCTAATTGGGACGAGGAGAAAATTATCCATCTGGTAACAGTTTCTAATTTGAGTGCACGCAGCAGGGTTGTGTGACTGAAAAGGCCACTTTATACTACGAAGACGCACGTGTTATTTTTCAATAAACGTCAAGGGTGCGTTTCAAAGTGCCTCTTGCCAAGGGTCCTCTTCGGACACGAGTCAGGAAATAGTCCCCCACCACCCCTGCGCTACTACACCATTGTAGCAAATGCGTGCAAGTCGCACAGTGATTTTAAAATTAGATGGTAACACTTTGCTTCTTATTTGAACAGAATGATTCAATTAAAATGCATTCTCATACTCGACAACATTGAGCAATTTATGTCGAAGAATTAACTATTTTCAGTCAATGCCATTTTTACGCAATCGTTGCACATTGTACAAATGATACCTACCAACAGATCACATACAAGGCAGGCAATACAAACACAATAAATAAAATTATTAATTCTTAAAACAAAATCATGATCCTGAATACTGACAATGCAGGAATCATATAGAGTGCATCTTTACAGTACTCCGGTACTGTTAAATTAAGGAAGGTATCGAGTCGTACAAGAACACATTTCTATGCATCATGGTGTCCACGTGTTATTCTAACATATACTACCGACACCGTAAACATACCTCTCTTTTTCGGAATCGCTCGAGATCTCATCGTCTCTCGGGATGTTTTGTTTTCTTTTCGCCTTTATGGCCGATGTTTTGTCATCGGCACCCTGAAAACGCAAAACGGGTCGCAGCATGAATACGACAGACAGCTGCAATGTATATTTGTTTCCTCTCGATTTAAAGCTTTCGTGACTGCAGGGATTCATCTTCTTGGTTCTTTTGGTAAAGTCACGATGGTGCGGCCACTACGCAAGCAGCCGTCCTCACCTGAGGACGGCTGCTTGCGTTGTGGCCGAAACGTCGTGAGAATTATTTTATTATGTTTTATTTTTATTATTTTATTCCTTCCCTTCTACGTGACTTTACCGAAAGAACCAAGAAGTTGTTTCCTCTCCTTGCGAGTTCCATCACTGCGTGATCCACAAACCCCGCGCCTTGGTGGGCTTCTGTGCAATCCTCCCATCCATCGTAATTCATTGCAAGGCGCGCGGGCCACTTGCGGCCTTTTAGTGCAGCCCCCGACAATACAGCAACACGTGACAACACATCCCATCAATTTTAACACGCGAACAATAGTATCCATAATAGAGGTGTTTTTTGGGTTAGATCGCGTGAATATGTGTCGTTAAACCCGCCACCACCCGACAGCAAATGATTAAGGTTTGTCACGTAAACAAAACATGCTATCAAACCCCAATGGTTTCAAATGTTGTGGCGGCTCCCACACTGATGATGATGATGTCTTAACGGCGAAAGTGCCCGCCTCCCGCCACCGATTAAAATTGGTGAAGAACCACTGCCACCAGTCCCAGTTTGAGAACACAGGGACATCTCACGATGTTCCTTGTCACCTTTAAGGTGGCCTTCATCACGTCGACGCTAGCTGCAAGTCGGCACGTACGGCGCTCGTGTTAAAACTATAGGTGCGCATTGAGGCCACGGCGCAGTGGTTAAGTTTCACTGGCAGGAAGGTTCGGAGGCAGTCACATATGTTACGCGTTAACAGGCGAGGGCGAATGGCAGGCGCATTACTTGAAGCTACCCACCGTGGCAACCACACACTCGCAATGACAAAGATCCCCCCCCGTATAGCCTAAACAGACTGTTGGGGCAAGTGCTGTTAGCGAGCACCTATGAAGGCCGGAACGGTACACACACACACTACCTCACATTCACACTGCCTGGCTCATACTCCCCAACCACACACTTACTTCTACAATTACAAATTTATTAAATTCACTCTCATGAAAAGCAACACTTTCATTCATCGGCAGGAATGTATGCAGAGTACATGAATACATCAATATTTACTTTATGTGCCAATATCTCCCTCAACAAAGTAGGCATCAGTGCAAGTTACAACAGAACGGGAAGAGAACGGGACTATTGCGGGCCAATTACTGTGAGCGATCGATCATACTTTCTCATATACTACTAACTCAAGTTACAGCGAATTACACTCGCTCTCAAATCATACCCATTGACACACACAAACTGACTCTCACATCGCTTGTTTTCTCTTTATGCAACGGTGTTGATGCTATTGACGAATCTGTTGAGTTTTTGTGTTAATCGCGTTTGTTCACCACTGCCAACGCAGCAGCAGCGCACGCGGTCACTTCCACGCGCTCACTCAAAATTACACTCACGACGCTTTTCACTCGTACTTTAAACGCACTCTTTACGCTCACGCTCATCGTACACATTCCAGTACGTACTCGGCACACAGTCTCTCTCGCACTGTCTCAGACACGTGTTCACTACCCCGACTCCAACGGCCTAGACCAGGGGTCGGCAACCTACGGCTCCGGAGCCGCATGCGGCTCTTTACGGGCTGCTTCTTGACGATGAGTACAGTATACTCAGATGCATTGCGGCTCTTGAAATACTGAATTTTGTACCGAATTGGAAAGAAATGGCTCTTCTTGTTATTTTGGTTGCCGACCCCTGGTCTAGACGAACCCGCAAGCCCACATCACCAGCACCACCACCACCATCATCACCACTGCAGCTGTACCTTCCTCTTGTTGCCTCTGACGGAACCGTTAGTCCGCTCCCTGTCCACCACCTTCTTCTTGATGAAGAAGGACATTGCGCTGCGATGGGAAGCGGCAACGAGAACGACGGGAAACAGCAAACTTCTACTGCGACTTCACTAACGCCGGGACCCACGAACGAACACGTGGAGGAGGGGAAACCACGTGGTTCCGGGTTAACCCTGACCCCAATCCCCCCCCCCCCCCCCGCGAACGACGGCGAGCGGCGAGGGTCGAAAGCGACGCTCGGGGCCGCGTGCAAACGGAAACGCGTTTTGTAAATACAGAAGCGACTTCCCAGACCGACCCACCGCACCCCCCTGCCCCCCCCTCCCCTCCGCCTAACGTTTGAGTTTGTTATCGCAGGCACGGGCAGGCAGGGAGATGGGCCTGTTGGCGAGTGGGTGAATTAGGTAAATTGGCATAGGGGGCCGTCCATAAATGACGTCACGCGATTGTGGACGATTTTTGACCCCCCCCCCCCTCGTCATACGGCGTCACAAAAAGTCAGACCCCCCCCCTTCAAATATGACGTCACAAAGCTTTGCCCCCCCCCCCAAAACCATATTTCCATTTTTAAAATAAAACATGCTTCAAATCGCTTTAAACTATTGTCATTGTAGTGCGTATTTAATGTGGCGCTGCACTCTGATGTTGTAGGAGTGTCGTTATAACAATTAGTGTTGTTATAACAATAATATATTTATTTAAAGTTGCGCATTTTGACGTGACGTCACATTTCTCTTATAAATCTCACCATTCATCCTAAAGTCCCATCACAAGGGAGAAACACAAACAGGCAAAAAATATTGGACTATACAAAAACATATTCTTGGGTCTTTCGGGAAAGTCACGTAGATAGGTTCAAAGAAAATAACAAAAAACTACGACGTTTCGATCGCAACACAAGCGGTCGTTTTTTGGCGATCGAAACGCCGTAGTTTATTTTTTATTTTTTGTTATTTTCTTTGAACCTATCTACGTGACTTTACCGAAAGACCCAAGAATATGAATTCCTGCAGTCACGAAAGCTTAAAGTCAAGATTTATTTTAAAAAATTGGATTAAGTTTGATCATTGGTGTCAATGATACTATAGTGACGTAAATGAGTCACTAGGGTGTTCGTGCCAGCTCCTGTTACAGGAGTGCAACTGTGTGTCTGAAGCCTCTGTCTAGCACCAGAGTAAGTACGGCATTACTCTTTGGTTCTTTCGGTAAAGTCACGTAGAAAGAAAATAAATGAAACAATGGAATACGACGTTTCGATTGCAACACAAGCAACCGTCATCAGGTAGAACTAAATTTGAGAGAGAGATAAAACACAGACACGGAGACACACAGACAGACACACAAGCAGACACATAGAGAGAGACACAACATAGACCCAATGCCTCTGTGTTGAGGCCTTAAATAGAGAGAGGGGGGTTGGGCAGAGAGAGAGGTGGGTCTGCTGGGGCAGCTGATGGAGCAGAGAAATTAGCATGTCAATGAATCCACCCCGAAGCAACCGAGGGAGAGAAAATCGAATGGCCCTATGAGAGCCTGGCAAATTTTAGAGAGAGAAATAGGCAGTTTGAGAAAACAAAATTTTGCATATTTTTGGGGAAATGTAATGCAATTCAACACAGAGAGTGTGTGCCTCTGTGTTGAACACTACAATACCACTCATCATAATTATTGACTGATCTTGGATGCTGATGCTGCTTGCTTGATATGTGGATGCACACACACAGATACCTGTCAACCCCTTATCAGTGCCCTACCTCATTATAAACCAATTCCAACCTTATTGCTCAGCCCGTGCCCTTATAAATCTCAACGTTCATCCTACAAAGTCCCATCACAGGGGAGAAACACAAACAAATGTTTTTGCCCGTATTGAAACGGCTGTATGCCGTCTGGACCTGAACTCAATTTCCCTCGATAAGTGTAGTGAGTCCAACTGAGTGGCAAACGTTGTTCTTTAGAGGCAACACATTTATTCGAAGCATCAACACGTAACACACAGGGGTAACTGCCCCTTAACCCGATACAGCCTAGGGTGGTGGCCACCCAGCTAACTACACTATACGGAGGAGTTGCAGCTACGAAGGGTCTGACCCTCACTCGGGTCCCGACCACGTGTTGATGCCTGCAGAGCTTCCAGCTGGGAGGACGTAGAACTTCCAGCTTGTAGGACGTAGAGCTTCAGCTTGTAGGACGTGGAGCTTCAGCTTGTAGGACGTAGAGCTTCAGCTTGTAGGACGTAGAGCTTCCGCTTGTAGGACGTAAAGCTTCCAGCTTGTAGGACGTAGAGCTTCAGCTTGTAGGACGTAGAGCTTCCAGCTTGTAGGACGTAAAGCTTCCAGCTTGTAGGACGTAGAGCTTCAGCTTGTAGGACGTAGAGCTTCCAGCTTGTAGGACGTATAGCTTCAGCTTGTAGGACGTAGAGCTTCCAGCTTGTAGGACGTAGAGCTTCAGCTTGTAGACGTATAGCTTCAGCTTGTAGGACGTAGAGCTTCAGCTTGTAGGACGTAGAGCTTCAGCTTGTAGGACGTAGAGCTTCCAGCTTGTAGGACGTAGAGCTTCAGCTTGTAGGACGTAGAGCTTCAGCTTGTAGGACGGTAGCTTCAGCTTGTAGAATGCAGCGATCCCGTCCCTCTCAGGGACCCGCCTTATATCCCCCCATGGGTCGGTGCTGCTCCACCCCTGGCCCCGCCCACCTTCTGGAGCCTTCTAGCTCCCTCTCGATCCCTCTCGAGAGCTCTCCCCAGACACGTGATCACCCCCTAGTCCACCCACATGGGGGCCTCTCTGTGGACACTCCAGATCACGTGTCCGTGGGGTCAACCAAATGGCCCTCTTGAGCCGGCACCATACAGTGCCATCCCTGATGTCACTACACAAGTATACGGGATAAACCGTATGGGTTGACAGGTATGGATAGGTGTACGTGGCTGTGCGTATCTAGGTAGGGACGTGGGTGGATATCGGTAAGTTTTGCGAGTAGACGAGTGGGTAAATAGGTCGTTGGGGAGGTACGTGGGTATATCGGTTGGTGAACGGATAAATAGGGAGGCGAGTTAACTAGGTAGGTGAGTGGGTGTGTAGGTAGACGGGTGAGTAGGGGGGTGGGTGGTTGGATAATTTGAGTCACCATTATCTATCCTCAATGCGAACACTGACTTTTTTCTGGATCGTGGAACCAATTTTAATTTGTAACGAAGCCCACCTGTTCACTCACTGGGAACGGAGTGCTGAGTCTCACCATGGGGACGCACCAGCCCCACACTGCAATCCAATGGCTATGCTCATGTTGCTCCTAAGGGTTCCCGGATGCTTATAATTGTCTGAAGTCTCCACAAAAGCACTATTTGAGAGATCACGGGCAAGATAATTAAGCATCATTAAACGACGTTATATTAGAAAGTCGTAAAAATTGCAATTATTACATTGCCTGATGGGAACAAATCACGAGAGATTGCTGTCAGTACGTGGAAGCTATTCCTAATGTAGTCAAAATACTGCCATGCTCAATACACTGCTGCCCATGGGCGTTTACTCTTCAGACGCAGTGGTGTGCTTTTTAAAATCCTTTATATTAAGTTCGCTTGCTTGCTTGCGTGCTTACGACCGTGCAAATTATTTTGGTCGTTTTTTAACCCACTTCCCGTGATCCAATCGAGCTGACATTTTCCACACAGACTCGTTGTGCGAGACAATTAATGTTTGTGAACATTTTTTTGCAAAATTTTACACTTTTAAGGATTTTTTTAAAATATTTAATTACCAATTGCTTAATGCTGCCAGGCAATCTGACCCATAGGTGGCAGCCATCTCAAGCCAGAGGACGAGAGGACTCTAGCCGCCACGCATATAAAGGATTTATAGTGAAAAACTTTGTTTTTACGGGTTAATTTTTTCCTTTCATAAATCATGAACACTGGCAATTAATTACAGCAACAGCCAGGAAATGTCCTAGTCTGCCACTGCTTGGCGAAACGACCTCTACTGGAGAACCCATCGAGGAGCCATGTGACCTGTACGTGTGTGTATGTTGAACCTCTTTCGCACCGGAAGTGTGGGGGAATGACAACAAACAACAGGCAGTTCTAAAGAAATCAGTTTTCAATATATTTGAAAGTTGCGCAGATCTCAGTGGGCCCACACTAATATCGGAAGGAAGATCGTTCCGGACGGCCGCAGAAGTGCATCTGAAAGCGCGCGATGCAGTGATCGTCTTCGTTCGATGGCCAGCCAAAAAGCCGCTGCGAGGATGACCGGCGTTTGCAAGCACTTGTGTGTGTGAGAGATGAGTGCGACCCTTATGATGTATTCGTTCGGCAAACGGATGCCAATGCAGCTCGATGAGCACTGGACGGACACAGTCGGACCTTGCAGTACCTGTCACGACACGGTGCCTACTCTTCAATGCTCGCCAGGCGTTTTTTTTTAAAGGAGTGGGAGTACCCCCCCACACGTTACCGTTGCCATGGACGGCTGTCTGGAACCGACTCGGGTGCTCAAATTGCCCTTAAATCCAGTTGAAGGACAACTGGAACAGTGGCGTATAGTTGTTGTTTTTTTACCATTTTATCTGGCAACAAAACTGACACCTTTTTTTTACAAGGAGTCATGTTTGCATAGACCACAATACCTGCAGTCATAATGCAAACAAAAAACACAACTCTGATAATGTATGCACTGTCCTTGAAGTTGATTGGTCCACACCCGAGACAGCTTTTCTTAGAGCCTAGTCTCACAATGGTGTTGGACCAGATGACACCAAAAGGCGCACAACTCAAAGACAATGCACCGTCAGTAGTATGAGAGCTCGGGGTAAGCATTTACACCATTGGAAGCTCATTTGGCAGTAAAAAAATATGATCATTGGCTTTTTACCCTTTTATCTGGCAACAAAACTGACACCTTTTTTTATAAGGAGTCATGTTTGCATAGACCACAATACCTGCAGTCATAATGCAAACAAAGAACAGAACTCTGATAATGTATGCACTGTCCTTGAAGTTAGACTGCAGATATTGTGGTCTATGCAAACATGACTCCTTGTCTAAAAAGGTGTCAGTTTTGTTGCCAGATAAAAGGGTAAAAAACCAATTATCTTATTTTTTACTGGCAAATGAGGTTCCAATGGTGGCGTATAGTCGCTATGCTTGTGTGAGTTGCAGAGTTCACACGTGGATTGGACGTGTCTTTCCTCGAGATATTTCCGAGTAAAACTTTCCCAGAAATACTTGCACGTAAAAGGTCAAGACCACGCTGGTGACAAATTGAAATATTTGATGTAAAATTATGATGGTTATCGCTGCTTTCAACATTTTTTATTGACATGTTTGGGTGATGCATTTCCACTCCCCGAATGCTAACGTGGAAAAGCATGTGAAGCAAAATTTGGCCTGCACAATTTGGGACCCAGTCCAATTTTTTTGCCAGATTTAGTTGATAAAAAAAAAGATGTACAAGCAGTAACCAGGGGGAGGGGGGGGGGGTTAACGGGGCAAGGCACCCCCTGCCCCCATGCTTGTTATGCTACTGGCTGAACATATAGAAATGTTTCGATTTAAAGCTTTCGTGACTGCAGGAATTCATCTTCTTGGTTCTTTCGGTAAAGTCACGTAGAACGGAAATAATAAAATAAAAAAAAATTAAACATAATAAAATAAAAATGTAATATATTATGCTTTATTATTTTATTAGTTTATTATTTTATTCTTTTCCTTCTACGTGACTTTACTGAAAGAACCAAGAAGACATATAGAAATAGTTTGATGTAAATGATCAAGGGACACAGACAAGTTTCCGTCAGTATAAACACATGCAGTATAAACATATTTATTTACCGTTTCATGGAATACATTTAAAAGACGTATTTCAGTCACAGTCACTATGCTGTACAAACATTTTACAAAATGTTTTAATCACAATAAAATCATTACTCTCAAAAAATAACATTCCGAATTAAGCATTTACAGAGTTTGTTTTATTGGAACAAAACCATTGCATTATAAACCACATTGTTTAACCATACCATTACCTATAGGTTTCAAGGCAGTCATTCAGACCAATGAAGAGGAGAGCCATTCGACACACTGAAAAGCAACTGTGAAACTATAATCGTAGTAGTGCAATGATGGCTGATAGAGTCTTAGCAATACGTTATCTTATATACAGCGGAGAACAAGTTTTCCTTTTGGCATGACAACCCAACACGACTGCCTCCGAAGAATTCGCGATCTGACGTGACTATGTTAGCTCCGTCCATCACTGGCAATAAAGATACTGCACAACATTGCGTTTTCCAACCCCTTAATTTCATCAGTGTTGGTGCGAGCGGCTGGAAGGCTGTCACTCACGTGGTTTTGTGATCGTGATTTTAAAGTCTGGCTGTAAATACCCAACGATGCAAACGTTTAAAATTCGCCCGTACAATCACCACCTATCCACGCGATTCGCTAAACAATCTAAAAGTCAAAAAATGAGCGCGACTTTTAAAGGGCACAATGTCGAGTGTCGAGAACCATGCGCTCTTTATTTGGTGCCTGCTGGTTCACTCCTGTAGGGAATTTAACGCTCTGCAATAAGGATCGTGGAACTGAGCAGCAACGAGAGAAAATATATTAAGGGGAGGTTGGGGCAGGTGTATTGACAATGCAGCACTCACTCCCATGCCGTGGCATTGCTGTTCTTTCCCGGAACGTGAGGTTCCTCAGCGGTGGCGTGAGATGGAGGTCATCAATGGACTTCAAACTGCACGAATGCAATTTGCTGCTCACCTAAGTAAATAAATGCATAGCATTCACTTAGAGCTCGAGAGGTGATGTTCTTAATGGGCGGGGAGTGGGGGGGGAGGGACTTGACAATGCATTGTCTAGGAAGCTCTCATCAGATTTTAAGGGAAGCACCTGCCGAGGTTCAAGTAAAGACGCTCTGTCGTCGTCGCTTGGACTAATCCACCAAGCGACTATGCCATGGCGCACGCTGGCACGCTGCATTCGGTTTGGGCGTTCCAATTCGTCGAGGCAATGCGGTGGGAATGACGCGGTGAGCCGATTTGAATTATGAGCGGGTCGACAAAGTGGGTCTCTCTCGTGCGACTTGCACGAGGGAACCTTTTTACGGGAAGATGCAACTCTAAAATAAATAAAGCGTACGCAAGTTTTGCGTCCGGAGGGGCTTGTCTGACAAGGGGTTCTGTAGCTTTGTTGGTGGGAAACGAACTTTAAATCGAATCTGTTTCCCTCGTGGGCACAAAAGCGTGCTTCTTCAGAGTCAACTTAAATTCCTTCAGTTTTTTTCTTGTCTCACACATGAAGCTTCAAATGTACACGGTTTCATTTTTGATAGCACTTTTCATCTACAGCATCCCATCAGGATGCTTTACAGTGATCAAAACAAGAATAATTTAAAATCCATTTCCCTATCAATCCAGCAAAAAAAGACTCAAACACGTTCTTAAATTTGATTACAAAAAGATAGATTGTGCCAGCAGGCAATCCTGCTTCCCCAACAGGAGTTAGAATTGAGTTCTACGAGGCAAGGAACATCATTTTTCGTTGGACAATTCAGGACACGGAGGTCGAGATCGTACCTGAAACAGCTGTTTTTGTTTGGTTGTGACGGCCGTAACTGGATCTCCAACATCGTTACCAAGGGACACTAAAGCATATACCGCATATATAATGGATATGTAATGATGCATCGATTCAGAGAGATTTACGATCATGATACTAAATTGTAATCTTGCGCGTACGGATCATTTACATACAATTCAAATACGTTGTGTATAATTGGTTAGCGTCAGTTTTATTGGCGATCAATTGAGCTTAAAACCAAAAATTATCGAATTGAATCACGACCCTGATTCATCAAATTGCGAGGGGAACCAAATCGTTACGGGGCCTAATTATCATTGATTGTAATACTTATCTAAGGGCTTAATTTATCGCACAACATGGAGTAAAAACACAGGCCAAGATAGACAGGAGGCCATAACATCCGACAATTCCGTAGAAAGTTTGATACGCAGCTTAGGGTAATGCCTAGGTTGCTTCAAAATGATCTACCACCAAGTATTTGCAACTGCAGTACAATCATCGGGCGCAAACGCTTGGGATGTCCAGCGAAACGTTTCAAACACATTTGCAATGTTGTGGGGTAGTACACTTTTTTAACCATACTTGATTCGCTTTTTACAGCGCTCTATTTTGCATTCACTGTTTTCTTGTGTTTAACGCTCAATCTCATTATTCAATCATCATTATCATCATATCGTTTTTAAATAAGCACTTTAAAACGTGTTTTCAAACAATATAATTGTCAAACTATTTGATTTGAGAAGTCAAAGTATTATTCTCAATAGCGACTTACCAAATCATCATATACCTGTACATAAAACAGACTATCAAACCATGCCAACTCACAGCTTCACATTCAAGAAAGTCTATTACAAAAAATCACTACTATGAAAATACGACAGATGATGGCAAAATGATTCGGCAATAGCGTGCATTTGCATCACTTGACGGCTGGGAGCGGATGCAAGGCTATTTCAGTTAATCAGCAGCATAGGGGTAACAATTACCAGGTGTGTCGGAGGCCAATATGCCTTTTCCATTGGCACATCTGAGCCAAGCCAGTGTGGGGCCTTCACGGTACAGTCAGTTTTCCACGGTCTTTCTGCCAAGCCGAACCAGAACCACACCGTAAATACACAGGCCTGGCTCCGTGTCAAGCAGGGCCAGGGCTAATAATGCGTTCATTGCGTGTGCCACCTACACGTTATCTACGTGCATCTCCATTATTTCACTGTGTGTGGCATCAGCGGCACGCAATGGAAAAACAACCGGGCGGCCACCTAACCCACACTGGGCTGGCTCGGCAGGCACCCGGCACGGCTCGGTTGCACAGTGGAAAAATATATTTTAAAGGTCTGAGGAAGGAGGGGGGTTGGTGAAGAGGTGTGAGTCATTAATGAGGCCAATGCTGTCGGCTGTGTTTTATTTAAATGCCCATGCCACTTTGGCTGCTCAAACAAAGGGAGTCGACCAATAAAGAATGTTCTCAATGCAGTAGACGATTATAGGGTTTCAGGAGGGACCGATATGGGATGTTTGGCCAATTTGAGTAGTTCAACTTACACGATATAATTAATTTACCCGGTAAAGCCTCGTTAAGGTCTCACAGCTGGTCATAAGAATTATTTCCATTTTGGACGTTTGGTCAATAATTTTTTTTTCAGTTTTTCACGTGACAGGAAACCGTATTGCTTAAAAAAAGCCACGCATATGAGGGAATAACGCTCAAAGTCCACAGACAGATCAAGTAACCAACTTCCTACAGGCATCCTCTGCTGCTGCTGATTTGCTGGTGGGTGCCTCAACCACAGTGTGGCTTCAACTCGACATGATTCACCACCGCGACTCCACGAATTGCGCTTGGGGTTCGTGCTAAACAATGCAATGAGCAAAACATGGGCCCCGACAGATTGGACTCACCTCGTCACTGGCACCAGGAGTAATAAAACAAGGAGGCGGCGAGGGGTGTGGGGACCCTTCGGATGATCTGTTCAGAGAGGGAGCTGCCTGGCTCCTTACAAACAACCCCAGCCAAAGTCACGATAATAAATATGCAGACTGCCTCGGCTCTTTGCAGCCCAAAAAGTTTTCCGTAAAGCTGACAAACGTGCCCACTGCCGCAGCGCGTGTTGGTAAACTATTTGACGCCGGCGCAAGTTAGTGGGCAGATGCTGAATCGGTGGCGTAGCTGTCGAGTGGTTCAGGTGGTGCAAACGGTGCCCGGAAGGGCGGGGAAGAGAGCACGGACCGGAAGAGCCCAGGCACGGGGCTACAAAGGAGGGAGGCAAAGTGGACACGTGCCCCCGTATTTCACTCCTTGCACGAGGGGCACCATGCCAACCCGTGCTACGCCACGGCGCTTGGCCTAAACGTTATGGCAAAAAGTGGGGGGCCTTCAAAAGCAAGCCCCGCTGGTGTGTCGGTGCTCCGTCTGCCATTGACGGTAAAATGCGCGCCAATAAATAAATGCAGCCTGAAAATGTTACACTTCACAAAGGGCTTTAAAAAATACACAGCCCAAACCAAAAACGTAGCTTATAATGTAGAGTACAGCAATACAAATCAGCTTTTAAATTGATGAGTGAGGCAGTAAGGCTCTTTTCGTTGAGTTACGTATATTATCTACATTAGATATGCCAAATAAAATGATACGTTCCTAAGGTGTCAATACGCTTATATATGCAATAATAAGCAAGGCATTAAACAATCAAAAGGTTGCTGAGCAAAATATAGTATTTTTTTTCTTTTCTCCCATTTTCAGTAACCACAAGCAAGCAGAATTGAATTAAAACAGGCCAACCCATCCACGTACGACTAAATTTAAGATTGGCACAATAAAATCTTTACTTGAAACGGTGTAAGATATAGAGAGCTTTTGAAAGTAACCATGCGAACAGGTCACGGACTAAAAACTGCCACGCAGAGTTGTTTTTTTAAAGCACACACAATATTGCACGAAGGCAGATAAGGCAAAATCGAGTCTCACGAAGAACTACCGGTAAAAAAATCACACCACTCGCTTGTCAATCGACATATCGATATTAATTGAAGCGGCACAACGCCCAATGTTGTGCCGAAAATCGATAGATAGCATTTTACTTCCTGCCGAAGAGCCAAATAAATTCGAATGACAGTAACGAGTAAAGTGATTTCAGAAAGTTTATACAGCTCGTTATTTAAACGTGACGACATGCCAAATGTAAATAACAAAATAAATAAGCAGACAATACATCTGTCATCTATCCATCTCTTCAGATAAAAATGTTTTAAAGTATTTCTTACACAACCCATCAGCGACACGGGCATTCTGGGGAGTGCATCATTTCACCAGCATTTATTCAAGGCAAGCGAACCCTGGACCGAATTGAACATCAAGCGTCTCATCAACGGTCAGGCTTGCTTGAAACAATGCTGCTGAAACTGCCGGTGTTACAGGCAAGACCCCCCCCCCCCCCTCCCTTCAGGATTATGGGTCTTAGTTCGATGCAAAATTTTACAATAAAAACTGAAAACAATAAAAGACATATGAAGGAGACATTGCTTATTTATTTTGTTTATATCCTGCCAAATGTAAAAATCAGTGCGATACGCATCTCAAATACGCGGGATTCTTTTGCGTGGCTTTCTCGGTGCACCAACCTTCCACGAGCTAACCCCATTTTATTCATAAATAATCCCATCGATTGCACTCCTTATTGTGTACTTCACACATTCATAATCTTCAAAATAGATTACAAATAAAAGGGCCAGTTTGTGACTCTCCCAAAAGGAACAGCTAAAATTGCAGCAAATCAGCAGCGTACACGTCGCCTCTCTCATCCACAAAAATGTACATCAACAAAATGGCTTCTGTTGTTGTTTTTATGAAAACCGAGATGTGCGCGGGTGTGTTTTTTTTTTTAAACACAGGAGATACGAGTTGGCTTCCTTCTGTCAGCCAGCACTGCGAGGAGTGAGCCCCAGCATTAAGATATCTCTCTCTCCCTCTGCTCGCTTTGTAGAAACCCCGCCGCGCAGAACCGCGTTTCCGAAGAGAGCATCGCTTCGAAGAGTGGCGCTAATGATGCCCCCGTGCCCACAAAGTGTTATTAATAGACTCTCTGCGGCGAGTGGCAACAATAATAAAAATTCAGCAGGAAAATAAAAACACCAACAAGCAATCTCACCGAGGGATCCATTTCAAAGCAACGTTTGCAGGAAATAATTCCACTCATTCTCCCAAGGCAGGCCATATGAAAAAATAATGCGCAAGTTAAAGAGGTAACATTTCAAAGATGAGATTCGTATGTAGACGGGAAATGTAAAGGAGAAGCCACAGTCGTAACGCTATGCGTGCATGAGCGATGTTTGTCGCACAGTTCGTGGAAATCAAAGGATTTATTTAACGGCAAAAAAATGGCTTCTGGTGTTGTGAAATGTAATTAACATCACTAATTATTCAGCACAAAAGCAATTCAGTGCTTATCTTACATTAATGAGTTACTACTAAATTAACGTGCACTTTCCTGGAGGGGAGACTGTGCTACAAATTAGTGAAAGACACCAAGATGTGTCCCATAGAACGTGGGGTTGGGGGGGTGGGGAGCCTATTAATTACGATACCAGACTAGCCATCCACTGAAGCGATTAATTGAATGTAAATAATTAATTATTGTTGAATTACCATAATCCCTTGTTGGCCAACCAGTTGGCCATTTCTCGAACATCCCCAAAGCAGCTGTGAAGGGGGAGAGTGTGTGGCCAATTTTACGACACGTGGTCACGTGATCGCGAAGCCAAACAAAATCTCGTAACACAAAACAAAAACACTGACGGGCAACTTGGCTTTTTCGTACAGAAACGTCGATTCGTTCAGAAAAATTTCCGTGCAGGCAAAAACAAAATCTCCACGCATTTGACAAGCAACCAAATCTGTACGCCGATCAAATTGTCCGTTTTAATGGCCGGTCTCACAACGTAAAGTAATAGGCTTTAAAAACACCCCACTCGGCGCACGTGCAGACGTGTGCATGTAGCAACAATCCTCAAACACACACGCGCGTAAGTTGATGCTAATTGCTCAGAATGGTTTGGCAAAATTAGAAAAACTGAAGTTTCCATCGAGGTTTTTTTTTATATAAAATAAATTTCAATCGGATGATGGAAAAAAAAGGGAAAAAAAATCCGCCGTATTTTAAAACTGACGCAGACTCCTCGGCGTGGCGCACTAAACGCCCGTCGCACTCGTCCGGCAAACACGCGCTCACGAGAAGCCAATGCAAAAAGAAAAAGATATCGAACGTTGACAAAATATGCTGCAGAATGCAATGAAATCGACGGAAGAAAAAAATCACATTGTCCAATGCTGGGAACAAGGTGACGGCACTGTTCAAAAAGCCCTCTCGAGCTAAATTCGGGTCGGGGTCACATCACGGACAAAGCAGCCACGTGGTGAAGCGAGGACATCAATGGTCTCCGACTGATCGAGGGGGAGGGGAGAGGGGAGGTGTTCAGCGGGCGTTGGTGGCAGTGCGCGACGAGAGACTCACAATTCAAGGAACTGCCCTCCAATGGGCAATTAAGCACGTGCCAAAACAACACAGCCAAACAAAGGCATGCAGGCGCTTTAGACTCACGCGTGTACACACGTACACAACAGCCACGCGCACGCTTCAAATGCACGCACGCTCTCAGGCACGCCTGCACGCCAACGCACACCCTTTTTTTTTTTCGCGAGAACCATCGCGGGAACACCTCGGCTCATTGCGAGCCACTTCCGTCGGCCAGGCAAGCGCTGACAAAACACACACGCAGCAGCGCGTCAACAGCTGGGAGCGTCAATCCTGGGTTAAGGATGGGAGTGGGGGGGGGGGAGATTTTTTCCGGGGGGGACCACTGTGGCTCTGTGTTGACAGCAGAGTCCTCACGAAGGGCAGAAGTGGATGGGGCTGAACAGCCAGAGCGCCACCACTTGCAGACCGACCAGCGCCAGGAAACTTGGCTGCAGCATCGAGCCTCGGCCACAGTCCGACGTGTCCTCCTGCAAAACACCAACAAACAAATCCCAGCACCACGACCACCCCGACACACACGGTGACCATTGGTGACGCTCCGTGGATTACTCGAAGCTCTAAGCATGCATGTCTACGCTAAGGTAGGCATCCTGCTGAATGTAGTTTTCGCACGACGCACAGACGCTGAGTGCTTTGCAAATCCTATTCGTCAGGTGTCCCCCATGGCAGCCAATGTCCTCCAGCAGGTAGTTGTGGTACTACGAACCCAGCAGCTTGGGTTTAATTCCCAGTAATGGTGCACTGCAGTCACCAGTGATATCTGAATTCATCCTGGGCCTCCCCTATATTGATTCAGCCTTAAATGAGTACCTGGAGCAGTGTATAAATATCAGCACTGGGGAGGCAAATGTGGTTGGGCTTGCCGCTTGCCATACCACCTACCTCGCGCATGCCGGTTTACACCTTGAATGACTATGGGAGGAATCTTTTGCCACACTCCTACAGTCTGGTTTGTGATCCAGTCAAGTGGGCTGGATCCGGATGCCCTCCCCAAGCGTCGGTTGCTCAAGCGAGCGCCAACCACGCGCCGCGTGCGCGTGCCTCACTCGTGGCCCTCATCGCTAAACTCCAGAAGAGTGTGAGAGCCTCCAGCGTTCAGAACCACGCTCGAAAATAGCCGTGATGTCACGAGGTCATCGCGGAACGGCAACGTGTTCCTGCGCAGAGGTCAACCCTCGTGGCTGCGTTTTTGTTTAAATAAAACAAAAGACGAAAATTGGTAAGAAAGAAAAGTACACACGTGTGTTTTGGTCTTGGGACAAGCGCAATGATGTCGGATTTAGAATGGGCACAGAATTTGTGCAGCGAGTCGCTAACGGTAGGCAGAGCGTTTGTTAAACACTAGCACAGAACCCGTTGCTCTGCAATTGGAAATAAGAGACGGCTGTCATTTTCATACCCTTCTCACAATCCTGTGCTCGGAGAACTAAATGGCACGTGCTTTTTTATGCAGGAATAACATAGTGAGATAACGAAGGCAGGGGGCATGGGGGGGGGCATGGCTGGAGCCCATGGAGCAGCACTTTGGGGGCACAAAACGATGCCAAATCATTCATTGAAATGGTCCGGCACCGCTTTGGTTCGATCTCATTATCATCACGGGAACGCGGCGTTTGCCTCTGCGCAGCACGGTACCAGGATGTTGTAGTCGAAGCAGGAGTCCGGGCCCTTTCTGTAGCGCGGCGCGAGCTCGCACATGTTCGGGCCGTCCGCTGTGCGGGGGGTTCGTCAAGGAAGCTGGGCAAAAAAGCACCGCAAAGCAAATAGCGAAACGGGGGAGGGTAGGTGGGGAGTCTGCCACGCAACAGAGCCACCAGAAATAGTTTAACAAGGAAAAAAGAAACACAACTGGAACATTTGAAGAACTTTGGGCCACTTCAAGTTGCATAAATCACACCAGACCATCTTTAAGAATATAATGAGTCGGTGTAAAAGGTCAAAGGCTCCGATGGCCAAATGAAGGCGACTTATCAACGACTCTAAGAGCAGCGGGGGAACCATGCAATGCTGAGCTCTCCACAGCTCGGCTTCCTTGTGGTGTAACGCATCTCCCTTTCAGGAGAATAATCTGGGGAGGTGTGAACGCTGCCAGGGGACGCAAGGTAGCAAAGGATACACCTCTGCTCAGCCTGTATAAGAGGCCTGTTGTCGCACATGGGACACATGATCTTCTCCGAGACCACGAACACCAGGTTGGAGTTGGCCAGCTTCTCCGCGAAAAAGAACCTGCGGCAGAGAGTTCAGTCGGGAATTGAAGAGCGGCACTGCGGGCGAAGCGCTTGCGGAAGTTGAGCATCCACAAATAGCGAAGCGTCGAGGAGGGGCAATGCCACAACACTCGCCAAGATCATCGACTCAAATTTATACTCCCGTTAGTTGTTTTGTCGGATGTTTCCAAATGGCTTTTTAATTTACTGGAGTGCTGCTCCTTCGAATTCATCTACAGGATTAATTTGATCGCCTATACAGGAGTCTCTTGTATTCTTGGCTCTTTCGGTAAAGTCACGTAGAAGGGAAACAATAAAATAAAAAATATATAAAACAATAAAATTCTCACGAAGTTTTGACTGCAACACAAGCAATCATCACCTGATGATGAGTGCTTGCGTTGCAGTCGAAACGTCGTGAGAATTTTATTGTTTTATATTTGTTTAATATTTCAATTATTTTATTGTTTCCCTTCGACGTGACTTTACCGAAAGAACCAAGAATATGAATCCCTGCAGTCACGAAAGCTTTAAATCAGGAGTCCCTTGGTTAACGTTTGTAATCCGTTCCACGAAAAGTACTGTAAACCGAAATAACTGTTAATCGAAATAAATGAATTGCACGAGTATGCAAGAGCTGTTTCCACTGCCAAAACATAAAGCGTCATGTAAACAAAGCCAGTCAAGGTTTAAACGCCCATAAGTGGGCATCGCTGATTGGCTGACGCATGCTCAGCCCACTTATGAGTGCTCGCATTGGCCGAAATTGGCGCCCGCGTGCATAACGTAAACATATCGTTAATCAAAATTTGAACATTAGTCGAATCCATGGGGATCCCTATGAGAGGCGAAACCGTGAACAGATGTCACTTAACTGAGGGACTACTGTAACTATATAGGTCCTTTGAAACAAATCTATCCTCCTTGCCAACAGTATAAAAATGTACACATCCTCTATATTGTTATGAATAATTGCACCTAGCATGGATTGACTGTATTTTAAGTTCAAGTAAGCTACACACGATTGATTCCTTCCGATTACAGATAGTGAGAAGACATAAAACACTACATGCAACATGTAGAGCACAGTTCAAAGCACCTGGAATGGATATTCAAGAAAATAACGATTCCATCTTGGCACAACTGTTACTCAAGTTACATGAATAATTTCAGATTCGAATAATCCGAGTTGATTTCTCCTTCTGCTCGATGGAAACCCATCGATTTGAAGCCCAATCTAACGATCGCAGCAGTTCACACTAATGTCCACGACGGACCCACCAAAGGGACAAACACGTGGGACAGGGAATAAGCAATTCACACTTCAGAGACACGTTGCATAGCTTGCAACAAAAGCATGACTGCTCTTTGTCAATCCACTGCAGGATAAAGGGACTTACCACGTCCTGTCTATTCTATGACTTGCATACGTCATAGATAAGCCATGTGTTCAGGAGCTGAATTCCAATATCAATGTCGAGGTGTGCTCGCCACAAGAGGGCTTCACGAGAGAGTTTGTGTAGTTTTGCTATTCGTCTGTTGAAGGGGCGTAGACTACAGTGGTTCACTAGATATGGTCCACAGTATCGACCATGGGGGTCGTGTTACCAGACTTAACCACCACGCTGGTCAGTGTGGATTGGTGAAGGGGTTAGGGTTGGGCCAAGGACCAGTTTGTATATTGCTCGTCACCGATGTTAGACCTGGCCAGGAATCGAATTCAGATGGCCAGATTCAGAGCGCAGTGTGCTTACCCAATGTGTTGGCGCTCTGCTTGCCATACAGATTGCTAAGTAAATGTGGTTTCTCTGTGTGCCTATGTTTTGTCTTTCTCTATGTATCTCTGTGATATCTGTCTCTACTTATATGTCTGTCTATATGTCTCTGGTTCTGTGTTTTATCTCTCTCTCAAATTTAGCATTCTCAGGAAGAACGTAATCAACCAGGTAGGGTGTTGACTGTTATGTTATCCGACTCTCTGTTGTATTACATTACATTTCTAAGTATACTAGATTTGTGTTTCTATTTCATTTATACCTGATGATGATTGCTTGTGTTGCAATCGAAACGTCGTATGCTAGTATTTAATTTATTATTTTATCTTTATACGTGACTTTACCGAAAGAACCAAAGAGTGAGTGGCAAAGAGGCCCCAGAATCTTGCCACCACGGGTGAAGTAGTACAGCACCTCCCACGCATTCAAATCGTTCGTATTATCCCTTGGGCTGCTGGGGACCCCGCATTGCTCATGCAGAGTTTAAAAAAGGAATTTTAAAAATTCAAAGCAAACCTCTGCCTGTGGCGGTAGGACACCGCGACTCGAGATTGCAGCAGAGGAAGAACAAAAAAAAGCACCTGCTGGGGGCCGACCTCCGCAGTCAGGAAGAGTGGGTTGGGAAACCGCACGTGTGGGCGCACCATCGTGAGTCAATGCCATTGCCTCCCGCGAGTTTTCTGTAGCTCGCCAGTCATTGTTTTGCGAGAGCCCAGTTTTGTTGTCCTTCCCCAGCACCTGCGATTAGCACGGCTGGCTACGTACGGTGTGGCAGAAGTTCAACACGCGTACAGGCCAAATGGCCCCTCGGGATGTTCTCCAGGTAGAGGGCCCTTCCACCAAGCAGTGGTCGGACGAGGACGTTTGCTGGCTGCTCGTGTAATTTAATTGCCAGTGTTCATGATTTATGAAAGAAAAAAACACCACTGCATCTGAAGAGGAACACCTACGGGCAACATAGAGACAAGCAGACTACTTTGAGACTGTAAGGGCTTTCTGCGTGCGTCGTCCAAGCGACCCTGAGCTTACTTTTTACCCACATCAGAAGCAGTCCCACTCTTTAGCACCGTGCGCTCCTGAAAACGATGCTGCAATTGCTGTCATAATTATGAATAGCCCTTTGGTCAATCCACTGCTGGATGAGGGCCTACGTCACACCGGCCATGTGGGTTGCGAGGGTTAATTCAACTCCACCGTGCAGTTCAATGAAGGTTGGCAAAGGCGGGTAAGCATACACGTGGCAGCATAAAATCACAGTAACAACAATGAACGTTGCTGCAGCTACCCCTTCGCCAACTACCACGAAACCCGACTATGCCTGACGACACTATTCGGGGCATTGCGGTCGCCCATCAAAGCACCGCAAATCCAGACTCAACCCTACTCGGCTCTCCGAGGTTTGACGAGGTGGGGTGCGCATTCCGGGCGATTTCGTCACTCGCGTGCAGGGGCGACTCCACGCACGGGGGGTCAACTCGTGCGCAGGTGAGCAGCTGACCTGGAGCAGTTGCCACAGTCCATGAGCTCCTGGAAGGTGGTTTTGTTGTTGGGGAAGTAGTACTGGGTCTGGAGGGTGATGCAGCTGACCTTTTCCTTGTAGTTGGCCCCATCCGCATAGCTGAACTCTGGAAGGGAAAAAAAAGTGGCATTACATTTCCGTTGCCCGTATTGCGCGAGGGTTTAAGACATAATTACTTCTGACATTTTGAATCCCACTCCGTCATCACTCCCTCCACCTCCCCCCCCCCCCCCCCGTTTGTTAATTTGTGTCTCAATATACCTGGCAGCTGTGTAATACCACAGAGCTCCCCCCTCCCTTTCTAAAGGTCTCCATGACACGAGAAGGGGATTCATGGGAATCCTTTTTGGCAGTGTTCACCAGCAACAAATTTGGCGCAACTATGGAAAATGAGGGGCAACTTGCTATGGCAGAGGCAATGGCATTGCCTTTGGGTTTATTTTCCGTCATTAAAATGTTTTAGTTTTAATGGCATGTGATGAAGGCATATGCAAGCGATACAAATTGAGTGCCTGCGGTGTGGATAATGAGGTTTATTGAAATGTTCTTTCACCAAGGGCATTGCCCTGCTAATCTACATAAAGTAGTTCAAAATGTTAATTTGTTAATCTCACGCAATGACACCGACAGCATTATGATAATATATATGGTAAAAAAAAGTTAAATATACATATAGACCACTTCATAATAAAGTCACCTATTTGTAAATGGGTCATGCGATGGCATTGGTTAGTGGTGATGGTTAGTAAATGACACTATGACCTGGCAACCGGAGTTAATTTCTGGCCAAGGATAATTCATACGAAACACCCTTTTCGTCACTAACACTGCCTCATGAGGAAAAGTAAGGGCCATTATTGCCTACAAGATCAGCCTATTATTTTTTTTGTTTCGATAAGCCAGTGTTAACGACAAACAGGGTGGAGGGGTGAGTGGTGGCACAGTGCTTAGCAGACTGCACTTTTACCCCAGCGACCCATGCTTTTTTCCCCAACCACGAAAAACATCCAGTGGTGAGTGGCTATCTCAGCCAGCCCTGGTCACCCCTTTCCACTGACCATCAACCCACACCGACCAGCATAATAAAGTATGATCTAACAACCCTCCACGACGAAAAGGCATGGAGGGAGGGCCTTCGTCCAGCAGCGGATTGACAATATCAAAACATTACTTATTCACGTGTTTAAAATTGAGCGATGAATTGTTAATACGCCTGCGGCTGGCGGCAACCAACAAGCCCAGCTGTACGGCGGCTCATGGCTCGCAGCTGTGGCCATTGACGCGACGCCAAAGGCTGCGTTATTTATCGACGAGATGGTGCAGAGACGCAGCAGCGACCGGGCGGTGCGGCGGCGGCAGCGTCGGCGTGCAGGTGACACACCTGCACTGTACCACGTCTGAAGGGTGAGCGAGTAGAACAGCTGCTGCAGCAGAGACCTGCACAGGGTAGGGAACAGGTCAGCGGGGCGCACACGTCGTTACTTATCGCCGCAGGTGTAATGGCGCGTCGATTCATTGATCACGAGTAATATTGCTTCGCTCGTGAGACGCGGGTTGAGCCACGTGCGTAAGAATGGATTAGTTTCGATTCGATGTTTGTATTGAGTTCATATGTAGTATGTAGCCACGAATGACTGATAGCATTCACCACGATGTAAAAAAGTAGAAAGCGATTTTTCACTAAATTGCCACCCTGAATCATGACAACTCATGAGAATAAAGCAAGCGAATTGGTATAATTATACCGATATACACGTGCAAAACTCAACAGGTCTGACTTTTTTTATTGATTATTTTCCCCATCAGTTTACTGAAGTACACCTAAAAAAGAACAAGTTATTTTGAAATAAATTATATAAACTAACAAAAATATAAATACACAACATTAACATTGAATGACTAATACTATTCCATAAAAACAGAGCCCACAATGTCCATTTATTATAATTATCCTTGTTAATCCAGGAAAGCCTCACCGAGTCTCAACTCTTTTTCAAGAGAGACCAGCCAAGATTTAGAAGTGTCGGAACGATGTTGCTTTGCACAATCCCAGAGGAAACCCCATGCAGAACAGCGGGAGGAGTAGTGCATACGAACCCCAGACAGAAAAGCGCCCCAAGCCGGGAAGCGAGAACGAGCCCTTCTTACGGTGAGACATGAGCTTTACCACTGCGTTGCCCTGCTGCCCTGACAGGCGATAATGGAATACTAAGTATGCTTCTAGATTTGAAGCTTTCGTGACTGCAAGGATTCATACTCTTAGGTTTTTTCGGTAAAGTCACGTAGGTAAAAAATAAAATTAATAAAAGTTAAATAAAAATCACGACGTTTCGGAGGCAACACAAGCTTCCGTCTTCAGGTGGAACCGTCACAGCACGCTTGCTGTATCATTTACTTGATACAGCAAGCGTGCTGTGACGGGAAGCTTGTATTGCCTCCGAAACGTCGTGATTTTCATTTTACTTTTATTAATTTTAATTTAATTTTTATTTCTTACCTACGTGACTTTAACGAAAAAACCTAAGAGTACTAAGTATGCTATCGCATGAGTAGCGGCGACCCCCGATGTGCATTGGTCGTAGGCTCGGTGGTGTGGTAGGGGCCTTACCAAGCAGCCGCTGAAGCCAGCCATGCGACGTTCAGCACGTCCGAAATCCTCGGCTGTGAATATAGAGGGGTCATTAAAAAAAAACATATTAATATAAAAACGCACATGTATGCGACTCCCTTTAATCATTCACAAGCACATTTTAGGCGAGAGTGAAGTTAAATAGATCCCGCACGTGGATTAACTGTGCTCGTGCTCGATAAAAATTAGATGAGTGACCGCAAAGGCACGATTCTGCCTGTAGACACAATGTGCCATGAATGGAAGCTGCCCTCTGTAGCCCATTACACCTTTTCTACTTCCTGTTGTCCAATCATTTTGAAATTTTGCAAACGTATTTTACATGATGAGACCTCCTTTGCCATCAGCAAGATCTAGTAATAGGTTTGTACCCTTTAATCTGGCACCAAAACAGACACCTTTATACAAGGGGTCATGTTTGCAATAACCACAACACTTGCAGTCAAAATGCATACAAAAAACACAACTCTGATAAGGCATTGTCCTTGAAGTTGTTTGGTCCACACCCTAGACGGCTTTTCTTAGAGCCTAGTCTCACATGGTGTTGGACCAGATGACGCCAAAAGGCGCACAACTCAAAGACAACGCACCATCAGAGTATGAGAGCTCGGGGTAAGCATTTACATTGAGACCTATAAGAGTCAGCTGGGTGATGCAGAGGGGTCAGAGCAATGAGCCAGTAACTTTCAAGTTCTGGGTTCAAGTCTCGGTTTCAGACACCCGTACAATTAAACTGGATTCTCAAGCAAATGCAGTTTGCGGAATCAGCCTTGTCACCAATGACTGCGCCAAAAAAAAAAAACCTCACATTAAATTTGGGGTTTTCGTTTGAATTGCTTAAATGCCATCAAAGATCTGTCTCATAACAGAGTAGCATATGTGAGAAAGTGTGCCCCCTATTATATAAATAGGATTCGGCAATGCACGTATAATCTTTTTTAGAGCATTTAAATGCAACTTCTTCTCAAATAAACAGTACAAAAATACGGGGAAAATGTGCACGAGGGGGATGCAAGGGAGGTAGTTACATTAGTTAAATAACAGACGATTCAAATGACTTCATACGTAGGGGACAGCCAGTCTTAAACAGAGAAGAGAAAGATCTTGGGGCCTGTACTGAACAGGGGTAGGGAGTCGAGCAGCAGGGATGGCTGGGGCAGGGGGGGATTTCGGACCACAAGGGCAGCAGCAGAGGAATGACCTCCCATTGAAGAGCGAATCATTACATGCGTATTCATGAGGCTTACAAAGTTCTATATCTGAATGTATATGCAAAACAGCCCAATTACACATATACATGAAAATGTCAAATTCCCATGTTGCGTTCACGATTGTAAACCTCCCACTGACCGAAGCAGGAGGAGGATTTCTCCACAACTCTGGCTGTCTGCCTGATGGTGCTAGTTGTAATTACTGGCGAAACGTCGTACTCGAATTGTAAATGTTGTGGGTTTACTCTCAAACACATCGGTGTGCTGAACGAGTAACGAATTGGCACGTTTTGTTTAAGTGACAGACCATACTAATTGGATGTGTCGGGTGGTGGCGGGTTCAACCACACATTAATATTCACGTGATCTAACCCGAAACCCTCGATTATGAACTCCCACAAGGCCACACTTACGATAGCGATGGATCTGGGCGCCGCTCCCGCCTTTTGCTCTTTCTCGGGGTCGCAGGTCGACTGATAGTCGTACGACTCGACTTTGGCGAACAGAGACACGTTGTACAGAGCGCGCATCAAACTCGGGTCCACGACACCAAAGAATTCTCCGACCTGCAACACAAAGCAGACCCTTTGTCAACTTGGCACACGCGCGGATCACACTACTATTGATTTCCTGAAATGGTGTAAGTCTGTGTGCAACTGGACAACACAGAGTGGTACGAGAATTGGCGACGCAACAACATTCTACGAAAAAAGAAACGCTCCTTTTCAGAACGCAAGCTTGCGTTTCGATAGATGATAATCTGGCACGGAGAGCAAACAAAACACCTTCAATGGAACTATCAGTTGTAACTGCTGACGGGTGGCTGAATTGCAATACAATTTGTTTTCATCACCCTACTTAATTAAACATGTTCAACATTCTCTACGTTAAAACTCTAGATCCAAGAGCGGTACACGAATGAGCCTCCGTGAATACGGCCACAGTGGTGAGATTATGAAGGCACTGCCACAGCCAGTTACTGCATTTTCAGTATTCATGACAAGGGTTTTTTTTTCCCCCCCAGAAGTCAACTCGGAGTCGCGAAGGAATCCCAGACAAGCGGGAAATGCTGCATCCGCACGGCGAGCCAGCGCCAATGATAGCCCAAGTTCAGCGGTCATCTGTACACCAAGATGTTTTCAGCCTGTTACTTAGTATTTATACGTGGCAATCAACCGGAGCAAAACCCATGGTGTGCGAGGGAGAAACACTCAATCCGATACAGATGATACGAGTTCACATTCTGCTGTACCGCCTTCTCCTGGCAAGCCGGAGTAAGGCACCTCGAAGCCCACAAGAAGGGAGTTTGCGACATCCGTGCGATCCAACAACCCTCGCTGCCTCCAGTGCTGGATCACAGGCCATGTGCATAGCCACCACCGTCCGGCTGAATCCATAACCCCGTGGATTTAGACCGTCAGCCTTCACCTTTACCGAGAGCTCAAAATGTAGTGTTCCATTGGCAAGCGCAGTGATTATATAGTGCATGTGAGACAGTGAAGTGTGGGGCAGCATTTTGTGGAGGGGCAGGTCCAAAGTTTCCACCTTTTTCTCTTGGTCTTCTTGATTGGACATTATGAGGAACCCTCCATCATCCAGGATGACACACTGCAGCTCCTAAACATACCACACAAAGACAAAAAAACAAAGATTCCCCCCGTATAGCCTTAACAGACTGTTGGGGTAGGTGCTGTTATCGGCTACCGATGAAGGCTGGCACAGTACACAAGGGGGTGGGGGTGGCCAACACCATGCCAAACCGCCTTTGTCTCCCCAGCAGCACAACGCAACAGGTAATCATTTGAGGCTGAGTCGACCTAGGGGAGGCCCATGACCGGTTCAAATAATCATCGCTGGTGTTGGTGGCCGTGAGCGGGAATCAAACTTGGGTCGCTGGGTTCGTAGCGCAGCGTAGCGCTAACCGCTACAATACCACACACACATTGTAGCCTCTGAGCATACAGCACACATAATACCACAACATACAAACCGTACACAATATAAAAAACATGCCTTGCATTAATGAGGTACACCCCTATGATCCCAGCGCATAGCATATTTGAAATAGATTGAGCACATACCTTGCTGGACAGATCGCAGTCCATCTCACAGCTTCCAAGACTGTCACACTGCAAATGTCAAAACATAAAAATGGTTTACATTTAAGAACACACAAGCAACTAAAGAGATAATTGTAAACCGACGTCTTCAATTTGTGTATGCGTTGTAAACAATGGAGGTTTCACAAGGACCCCTCCAGCCACACTGGATTCGCTGCCATTCACCACGATGCTAAACAACATCGTTACTGCTTAATTAGATTACTCCATCAATAGCGGGTGTTGCGATATGCACAGATTATTTGTACACACTCACACATTTAAGAACTAGCGCTATTTTTACCGGTTCTATCTCCGTGTAAAGAATAGTGGATTTGTGCCAATCAGCTCCTCAGAATCGGTAACATGAAATAATAATTCACGTCACTGTGAAAAACACAACAGAATAAATAAACAGACAAGATGCTTCCATCATATATCTGTCCCTCCACACAGCATAGTATGTTTTACACTCCTTATAAAGCACAAGGCCTTCTGGGAGTTGACGTTTAATGAATCAATGCTGCCGAAATTATTGCATTCTCAGATGGCCTTGTGTGGTGGACGGGAGCTGTGAAACAAACGTTTTGTATACTTTATACGCAGGGAGGAATACACAAAGCATTTGCTGTGCCTGTCCCCGTTATTGTGAGAATCGGTGGGCGAGGGGGGGGCGAGTCGCTCACGTTGCTGCTGCGCTTGCTGCGGCCCTCCCCCGTGTGGTTGCTGGCCAGGAGCTTGAACTTGGCCGTCCAAACCTCCAGCTCGAGCTTGACTCCAACCACTGGGAAACGAGGAAGCCGAGTGCTCGGAGAAAACGCGTGCATACGAGGGGACGCAACGACCCAGAGCCCTACATGGTTCAACGATGTGTAGTGACATAAGAGGGGAGGGGCTGCTGGGGGCTCTGGGACCCTAGGCAACCCAGACGCGTAAGCCCCTTGGCGCCAGGCGCTGGGACCCTAGGCACCCCAGCCAGTTAAGCCCCTTGGCGCCACCAACGGGGAGGGGCTGTGTGTGCTCTGTGGGATATCTGGGGGCGGACACAACCCCACCCCTCGTTGGGGACGAGGCATAAAAGGGCAGCTCCCTGGCCGATCAGGGCCAGTTGTAGCTCAAGACCCAAGACCCAAGACCAGCAATCTGAGAACCCTGGGACGCTGTGAGGGCCAGTAGGTGGGACTCTGGAACTCCCGGCTCTACGTCCTTGTGAGGGCGAGTTCCAGAGCGTAGCCAGAGTAGTGTATCTAGGCTGTGTACCTAGGCTGTGTACCTAGGCTGTAACAGAGTATCAGGACTGTTGGAGTGTTGTTGGATTGTAATAAAGAAGTTACCTCTACAAGGGTCTCCGGAACCCATTACAGATGTATAGTAAACGATTCGAGTGTAATGTATACACCAAACACATTTGACAGCCTATTGAAAAAAAAAAGAACTGTTGAAAATGATCGTGCTTTGTATGTAATCATTAAGATAATCTCAATAAATAATCGTCAAATATTTATCCACTGCCAGATGAAGAGCTCCCCATGTTGTGTTTGTCAGCGGGGTTGTTTGGCCATACGTCACCATGCTGATAATCGCGGGATGATGAAGGGGGGGGGGGTGTCAGGACTGGTTCTGATATCACTCACCACTGATGTTAGCCGTGGCCAGGAATTAAACTCCAGTTGCTGGTTTCAACGTACAGAACGCTAATCGCTGCACCACCACTCCGACCCCCCATTTATTAGAAAGGTTATGAGACGATTATGTAGTTACTGCTTTCAATAATTTCGTACAATTATCAGCTTAGTTAAAAAATATTACAAAACATGTTTTACAGCCATCTAGAGGAAAGATCTGAATGCTTCGGTCAACTGGCCTTGAATAAACTGGGCTCCTTTATCTAGGAAACCTTCACCGAGTCCCATGACTTTTTCAGGAGAGTCCTTCCAAATTTGTTTGCGGTTAGCGGGGGGGGGGGGGCGGCCATTGCTGTTTACATTCCAATCGGTAACTTTGGAGCGACGACTGCGGCACGCAACGGCCTCCTCTTGCGAACGGGCGTCACGGGGGTCTTTAATGTCCACCACGAAGCAGACGGAGCGTATCTTTTAAAATCACCCGGATAAAAAGTCGCATCTTTCCAACTGCTTTTTTGTGTTTTAGTTTTGTTGTCCTCCCCCCCCCCCCCGCACCTCCGATTCGCACCGTTGTGCTACGTACGGTGCGAAGGAAGTTCAACATACATGCAAAGCTATTGCACACGCCGCAGGACTAACCAGGGCGGCCGCTGAATTCAAACCATGCAACCTCAAGTGGCGAACTCGCTACCGCTGGGGCCGTTGTGGGGGGGAGGGGGGGTGGCTTCGTCAGTCAAAGTGAAACACGCCCCGGGTCAAAAACACAGACGAGAGGGAGCAAGAGGCTCCTGCAGCGATAGCGCCGCGTTGAATCTGCCTGCATGCGTGCCGCCGCCAGGCAAAGCCCCCCCCCCCTCCCCTCCCCCCGAGATCCCCCTTTGTTTGAGTCGTCGAGTGCGGGGCGGAGGCGCGCACCTGCTGGCTTGAGCACCTTGCCGTCGATCTCCACCTCCACGGCTCTGCTGGCCAAGATGCTAATGTTGGAAGGGTCGTAACTGCCCCCTTTACCGACTAGTGGCAAAACGACAAGAGCGACAGCAGCAGCAACCGGTGAACAGAGGAGTTAAAACGTAAATATCATCCAGAAATACTGCGTTGCATGCATAATGTAACATTTGTCTACGACGGGTTTATTAACGCCGCACGGAGTGCGTGCTTGGCTTCAGATACCTGAAGTGGAGGTGACCTCTAAAACCAAATGTGACCGAGACAACAATTTCAGATTTCATAATTTCAAGTGTTTGTGTGTGCGCTAATTGCTATGTTAATTGCAGGATGGCACAGGTGGTGCATCTGCCAGTCATCTCAGTCAGTTAATCCATAACACATGGGTCTGTTCCGTGACCTCCTGCCTGCCAGAAAACCTTCCACTCCTCGCATGGCCTCATAGTGGCACCTAGCCTGGCACAAGTACTGCGGTGATATCACCATCACTCAGCAGTGAATCATAGCCGTTGGTTGTGATTTGGTTATGGCTATAGCTAAGAATTTCGTTAGATTACAATTTTTGTACGACTAACTCTATCTTTACCGGTACACTGAGAACAGTCCAATTAACATTTTCTAAATATTTGCAATATTTAAGGATATAATGTGCATTCGTATATTGCACGTATGTGACATAAGGATGGTTCTGATAATTAATGTGCAGGCTGTCAGTTCAGCTGTGTCTATTTTCAGCTCTGCACAAAAATCCCTTCCATCGATTCTGTCTGTCTGTTATCTGACTGCCTCAGGAGCCATGCCACCTTCACGATCTATTTCAGTTCCTCACCGCTAGAAATTCTCACGTAAATTAACCATCTCTAGTAATTATTTTAGTTTTTTTTAAACGTATAACACGAAAACCACCTCTGCCTCGGGTTCAGAATACATATTAGGAATATGCTTCAGATTTGTAGATCTGAATATGAAAGATATCAATGCTTTAAGTTTCAGAAAATATTCAGAAACAGGCGGACATGCCTCTATCAAGGAATAAAAGAGCACACATGCACAGGCAGACTTCAGTGAACACAATAAAAATGAGCATGACGTTCGAGCACAGTTATAATCTACTGATGAAAAAAAAAAACATTCTCCAGCATATAGCATATATAACAAGTATATCAAATGTGCTTCTTCCCGCAGCGCAAGATCAATTTATTGGCGTATGTTTAGAATTCTGTGGGATATAGGAGATACCCAAAGGGTGGCTCAGGGTCAGAGCACTGAGCCTGCATGCCCATGGGATCCTGGGTTCAAATCTAGGTAGCTACTTGTGATTAAGCCCAAGCTGACAAGTGTCGTGCGTTCGATGGCCTCAGCCTGGTCACCAATGACTGTACAAAACAGAAAAAAACTCATCGTGAAAATTGAGGCTTTCTGCTTCATTGGGCTAAATTTCAGCTCTCTGCAACACAACATATATTTAACCATAGCAGCGAGTGTAGGAAAGTTCAACCCATAATTGAGTGGTTAAACACGGTCGCTCGAAATGAATCTCAGAAGCAGTTCAATGCTATCTCCATCCACCCAGCTATTCTACGAGACGCAACGCGATCACTTTGTACGAGTACACTCACAGCTCAGGGAGAGTTATGAACGGATTCTTGGTCTTATGAAAATGCCCAACATTGGAATAAAATTTGGTCCAAAGACAACATATATTTTAATTTGGGAATTTCTCACGAATATTTCTGCAGCGCATGTAACAGCTGTGCCGGGTAAATCTAGGTCATGATCTGAACCCAGGATCTGAAGCGATGCTGGCCAATATTGCAGGTGGGCAGCGTTGGTGGCGCATACTAGGGAATCACGGGCTTGTAGACAAAGCCCTCATTGTCCAGGCTGCGCTTGTAGTAGCTGGCATTGTACGGCTCTGGTTCCTCGTCCCAGTCTTCAACCTCCCTGCAAACGCACACGTGCACAATCATGACGGAACTCCGCCGCCCAAACCTGCCGCGGTGAATATAGCGGCCTCGAGCAGCCGCTAGGGGCCACGCAAAACTACCGTCGTGCGGCATGCAGCAAACATTTGTGGCAACAAAACCAGTTTATACTGTGCATTTAATGCTCCCCCCCCCCCCGCCATCTCCGCCTTCACCAATCCGCAGTGGCCAACGAGGCAAGTTATGGTCGTACAACCCCCACGGGCCTGCGCATGGCGTGGGGGAGGCCCTCAACCAGCAAGCAGTGGATTGACAACAAGGGCTGCAAGCGTACGAAGCGAACGCCAGTGCCGAACGTTGCATGGAATCGGAGGGTAGGGGGGGAGGGTTAATACTCACTCGAGTGGATAAATGCGTGTGACACCCGAGTCGGTCGCGACAAAGAACGTCTTGATCCCGTGCCTGCGGAAATAAAAACGAATCTGAGTCACGGCTGCTGCCCATAGGCATCATTCGGCACGCGTGGCCCCCTGGAGCGGCAGGCGGCCTTTACTCTTGACGGTGGGAACACCGATGCGCTGGCCGCGGGAGAGGTGCAGGACCCAGGGGGTGGGGGAAACGTTTTCCCGATGGGGGGGAGGGGGCAGCGGCAGAGAATATAGACGTTCAAAACTGTATCTTTGGCAGGCCGCGCATTACAAACCTTGGTGCTGTCCGATAATAAAACAAATCGTGCGGAAAAGTTAAGTGCGTGTCAACAAGTAGAAAGCCCCTTGCAAATGACCCTCCTGAAAAGAAAGTCTTCATGCTCAAGTGATGCATTCTTGGATATTTAAATGGCATCATTATTTGATTATACATCACCGAATGTGCCAAGTACTGTCAGTGGCTTAGCTCTAAGGTAAGGGGGTGAGGAACCTTTACCCGACCTGATTCAGAGGTGAATAGGACTTTCAGACATCTTCGGAAGGTGGCCGCACAAGAACACTCCCTTGGCAGTGATAGAAGTTACGGAGCGCGTGGAAATTGTGAACACCATTACCAGATTAAATTTCATACGTAGGCTTGCACCACCAATATTGCGATTCACAATTGAGTTTATTTTGCTTTCGGTCGTGTAAATAACGTGCATTTCGGAAACCGTCCTCCACTCAGCACAACCAATTCATAAAAAGTGTTTCCAGGTTGGAAATGTCCCACTCTAGTTCCAGATTGATGCTTGCAGTGATGAAGGGAGATACCATCTGTGGGTCATTTCGTAGTTGGGGGCAGCCTCATGCGGCCAAGGTTCGTTGGAGTTAAACTCACGGGCCGAAGGTTCCCAACTCCTGATATGTAGAATGTTTTGTTGTGCCCATCTATAGAATGTGTAGCGGGGTGAATATATAGCATCTACAGTGGTGTACATTTACAATGTATAATGGTGTGTGTGTATATATATATAACATGTGAGAACTAACACAATCTACATTGAGCAAATCTAGAGAATCTACAGTGATGAATTTAGGTAACATACAGTGGTGTGAATCTATAGAATGTGCCGTACATTCTTTATTCCTTGTGTAGAACAAGTAAATACGTACGTGCTCTTGTTCAGGTCCTGCCATGCCTCCTTCGCCAACCTGTTGGTGATTTCTACATCCAGGAGGAGGTTATAAATCCACTCCTTTTCACCTGTAAAATAAACCAATAAACACCGCAAACCCATTAACCTTGATTCGTAGCATACAGCTGTGCAGTATTTGCTAGTGGTCTACAGGGCCAAACAAAGCAATCCTAGACCCATGGATTGCCATTTTGGATTTTGTGTCTTAACAATTTGCATTGATCCCTAAACACACAAAACAGCAGGCATTTAGCGATTAACTGATTAAAATAGATTATTAAGCTCGAGATGGTTGGCATTGAACCGTGCGTGCAAGAATCGATCTGATTTTTTGCAACGGTGGGACTGACAAATGTCCAAGATGATTGAAAATGATATGCGGTCACATTTAGGCTCACGAAGAAAAGAATGTGAACGAGATGGTATAAATGAGGCAAAAAATTGTCGGTTATCGAATCAAATGGTGATCCCCAAGTCACGACTTTATCCAACCACTGATGGGGGGGCGATTCGATCCAGACATTAGTATCGTCGGGAATATGATAAGGTAAGTTCTGTTTTCTTCGACGTATAAATAAATAATTTGCGTACAGGGATGATGGAAGTAAGAGCATTTTCAGAACACGATTTAAGGAAACACCATTGCGATGCTACATTTAAACAGCAATACTTCGCCATCGTGAGCAGGTTATCCTTCTACGTGAGCGACAAAGATAATACAATTTTGGTGCGTGTATTTATCATCCCTTTTTACATGAAGCTCACCGTGTACATTAAACATTTTCACGAATTTACCTTTTTTGCGAGAAGGCAGCCTGCCCTATGGACAGGGTTACCCGACACATAATAACGCTCACCTGGTACTCGTCACACATTCACTAATCGCCACTCTCAGACATGAACACTCCCCCCGGGCACACACTCGCACGCATGGCACTCACCAAACACTCACGCCCACCAACTACTCACACTTCACCACTCACCAAACACTCACCAAACACTCACGCCCACCAACTACTCACACTTCACCACTCACCAAACACTCACGCCCACCAACTACTCACACTTCACCACTCACCAAACACTCACGCCCACCAACTACTCACACTTCACCACTCACGCGAGCACTCACCACACACTCAGCGATGACAGGACAACACACCTGGGAGTGTTCAATGCTCATCAAAAAACGAACAGGGGCAATGCAACGTATTATTATTTTTGCCATACTTAACAACGTAACGACTCACAGTTGGGTGCATCTGGCGATTTGTTATCTATCTCGTCGATGAAGTTGAGGAGGAACTCAGTGTTGTTTCTCACTATTTTCATATTTTTGCAGTACTTCCTGCAGACAAGAGGGAAGAGCACAGAGGTGAGGTGGGTGCAGGGTAAACCGACGGACCGACAGCTCCAAATTAAAGAGCGCGAAACAAGTGGCCACTGTCCATGTGCGCTCTGCTGCGTGCCCCCCCCCCCCCCCCGCCATTAAACATTAGCAATTGTGAGCCTCTTACAGTGGTTGGAGAGGTTATTGAGGGAATCACAACGCACGTGGCTTGGCGTACCCACACACACACAACACATAAAAAATGGCGCGGCGAGATTATTTTGACCACGAGTTTTTGACAATTATTCTGGACAACGTCAACCACAACAAGTGCAGCAGCAGCAGCAGACAAACAGCAAATTCATCTTATAAGTCTGAATTAGTCTCGTTGATATAAAAATAAATCACGCTGGGAAATGTAGGAAAACACAACACATCGACGAGGACTGGCGGTGTTTGAGGCGGAAGGACACTCGCCAAGTCACGAGTGGACTTCAAAGTTTGACGTTCACCCTCAAAGGCCGACGCAAACGCGGACACATCGCCATCGGCATGCAGCGTCACCCCCACCCCCCCGACGTCGAGCGACCGTGGCAGCAGCAGCATGCAAGCGTCGGTGCCCACACCGCACGGCGACAGGTCGAGCAGCACAAGGCGTTGCACGTCACATCACACAAACACGGCGCATGCTTTACACGCCCCTCCCCCAACGCGCCCCCCCCCCCCCCCCGTCCTCCCACCCACCAAAAAAATCACAACAAGACGTTCACGCATGCAGTCACGAGTAAAGCCTCCCCCCCGCCCCGACCCTCTGCAAGCATGGCGTTTGAAAACAAACAAAAATCATGGTCCGCAACGGATCGAGGAAGGCGCAAGGATCATTTATGGAGGCATTCGAGAGAGAACAACCCAACACGGCATGCCACACATGGCGATGAGAGGGAGAAAAACACACACGTGGCTACCTGGGGGCTATGAATACATGTCCCCTGGTTTCAGAGTGGGAAGATGGAGGTAACATGGACGAAAAATCTGCAATAAAAAGGAACAGCATCCAAGGAACAACCATCAAGGACTGCAGAATGGTAGGGGGCTGATGCGGTGGACAGGGAATAGCCATTCTTCAAATCCGTAAACCGGCACTCTATTTTAAGCTGCATCAAGGAGCTGCTGTTGCACGTACCGTATTATACATTTTACAGCGCGCCAGCAAAGGAATGTAAATTTTAGCAACGCTTTACGAGATAACTTGTATATGCTCTACAACTGAGTTTTTAAACAAGGACCACCCCCCTCCCTCGTGGTCTCTCTCCGTGTTTAAGAGGCACTCATCAAGGGGAGCAGTGCTTCATCACGAAGCCTGGTGCCTCCGCGTTCCAAACACGGCTCTGTCCATTTGCGAGTCTCCTCTTAGTCTGTGTGAGCGCACACACCGCAGTGCTGACACAGACACATTTGACAAGATGCTGCTATCATTATGAATGTAAATGCCCGTGTATCTGCATGAGTTGCCGCCGACCCGAGTTTGATTCACGGCCACGGTTAATATTAGCGGGGATATCTGAACCGTTCCTGGACTCCCCCCCCCCCCCCCCCCAGCTGCTTCATCAATCCGCACCGACCAGCGGAGTGAAGCATGGTCAAACAACCTCCCATGGCTGATACAGGATGGGCCGGGCCTTAATCCAGCAGTGCATTGACAGAGGGCTGGATTACTATTACAATTTACGCAAAAATTGAAATCAAACGAGGCAACTTTCACGGCTTTAACTTACACACATTCCGCATGACGTCTCGAATGGCTAAACAACAGAGAATGGTTTTTACAAGATGTCGCATTAATCGCGACCTCGTAACGTGAACAGGATCATGACAAGGCGTTTTAGGATAATGAGACACGTACTCTGACTTGCCAACTGAACGGGGCAATGATGGGGATGGAGGGGGGGTGGGTATAGGGAAGGGGAATGGGTGGTGGTGGGTGGTGTGGGTAGGTGGGTGGTGTGGCTCGGGGGAGGGGGGAGGGGGGGAGGGGTTAGGGGACGCATTGCCGAAACGACGGTACCGTCGTTAGCGTTCGGCGCTGCCCTCCACCCGAGACTTACGGCACAGGGGTTCGGAGAACGAGACGAAATATGCACAGACGCCGCGTTGTAACTCGATGTGGGAAGAGAGAGAATACTGGGAGAGGTCAGTCGTGGACATATTTCGGGGAAAACACGCTACCGCTCGCTCTGGGAGGGTGACATAGGAGGGGCAGTAACAGCGAGGGTGGATGGGCAAGCAGGCTGGGAAGAGGGCAGTAGGAAAGGCACCAAATGTACAGGTTCGGGAAGACAGGGTGGGGGACTAATAGTCAAATACTTGCCCTTATTTTTGTTCAGATTGGCTGTACGAGTCCATCAGAGAGAGAGAGAGAAAGCAGAAAAGGGTTGGGAGGGGATGGGTTACAAACAATATTTTATTCAATTACGACTTGAATAAAAATATTGTGTGTGCATCATACCGCAAATACTCGCCACCAACAAACACAGTGAGTTCAGACCAGTCAGAGCCCTGCGCTTTTGGCTTGCACAGGGCCAGAAGAACAAAAGGTAAAATAAAATAACTAAATAAGTAACGAATAAAAGGGTGCAAGCTTAGAAGCAATGATTCCAAAGCTGCATCTCGCTACCGACGCTTGCAAGGTACACTACGTGACAGTGAGGCCCTATCCGAGTGTTGACAAGCTAGGTCGGGCAATGAAAGTTATTTTCCGCAAGGTAATTTTTACACATCTAACCAAGATGCAGAATGATGGGGAGAAATCTATGAGATTGTTACGTGCGCTACAAACATCTGAAAACGACAGTTTTTTTTTTAAGATCACATAAAAACAAACGATGCCTGCGATGCTTTCTATATGCCTGTAATCCAATTGTTTATTGTAAAAGGTAGCTATTTCCCAGAATCATGAGGGTCACTAATTACATTGGGAGATAATTTTATCAGATTTAAAATCCAATCTCAGCCAAGAGTTTTTTTTGCATCAACAGTCTAAAGTTAATCCATTATTTGAATAATGTGGCACAGACTTGCTACTGTTCAGCCATCTCTGCAGAATATAAAACAATATCACCCTGGGAACACAGCGCCAGCATTTAGAGTTATTCCCAATCAATGGACAGCATACGCATACTTTAGTTGCTTCCTCCACAGCTAGACAAAGATGTGCAAAAATGGCAGTAATCGCTCTACTGCTGTGACGTCAAAGGAAAAAGGGGAATGGAAATAAAGAAAAAAAAAATTGAACACTAAGTAAAAACAACATGGCCATTATTTTAAGTGTAAACATGTTGGAAAATGTATTCTAATCATTTTTTTTTTCCGTTCACCTCTCCTTAGCGCGATTAATAGTGCATGTTCAAAACCTGTTTGTTTACGCATCACCGGCTGATACAAACATTAAACACTCTGACTCGCACGCTGCTCGTGTTGGTTACGTCTTGCAAAGGTCTACTCATTTTTCATCCGACAGCATTTAGTAAATCACGTCAGTGGCTCGTTTAAATCCAACGCACATGAATAAATAACAACACGCATTTAAAAAAAAGAAAATCACCGCTTTGGAATCATTTGTTGTGACATCATTTAACAGAAAGAGGACAGCCGTTTTCCAAATATAGATAATATAGGAAATTGAATAAAGTTGGAAATAAAGGCATAAGGTCAACGCAACAATGAAAACATTTACTATCTTGCAGAAAGAGGAGTCCGTGGACGTGCCGCTGTTGGGAACCGCATGTCGCCTACAAAGACAGCAGGGTCACGCGACAGAGGGTGTGTGCGCGGGTGGCTCTGCTGTGCGCCTTACACTTGGCTTGCGTGATATCGTCACTCAGCCGGGCCTTGATGCGGTAGAGACTGTACGAGGGCATCACCAAGGCCAGGCTGCGGGCACACAGAGGGGGGAGGGGGGGGACAGGGCAGCCAGAGCGCGCCACTCACCGACGACACACTGCATATGTTGAACGTCTTTTGCACCGTTCACGTTGATTCGCAGTTTCGTTAAAAAAGCAGATACTCTAAACAAAGCCGATGTGATTTCCCTGCTCAAAAGGTCCACATTCCTAGAGCGGGTCCAACCGTGTTGACTTCGCCACTAAGTGGTAATCATATTATTAACCCCAGGAGAATGATGGGGCTGAGTCAAGCCCCAACCGGGAGTTTTAACCTGCAACCTTCCGATTGTGCTGCTAACTACCACCGAGCCAACAGGCCGGGTAAGACCCCAACATCAACGTGCTCATCATCAACGGCTGCGCAGTTTCCCAGTGGGGTATTTTGATTAAAAAGAAGGGGTACCTGTAGTCTGTCTCCCGCACTCGCTTCCACGTGTACGTCCTCAAACCTTTATCCACGTATCTCTGTAAAAGAACCGGGGGTCACGTTAAGGCCTTCTGTTGCACACAGGAACTGGCCTTTGCTTTGATGTGCACAGTACTCGAGACAGATAATTCACGCTCATACCCATTCCCACAGAGGATTCAAAAAAACTCTTTGTTAAGCTTCTGGATAAGAAACATAGACAAATCGATGGTTTAATCATTGGAATGTATCCTTCATGCCACTGCTCCACCCATAACAACAATTCAAGATATTAAATCATCTATATAAAAGGATCTGTAGATAACGTACGTAAGAAGTAATGCGGCCTTCGCAATTGCTTGCTCACGCCGCTGCCAGCGGGATAACATCCATGACGGCGAGCTCTGGAGGGTATTTTGGCCTACTCTTCCTCATTGACCAAAGGCGTTGGAAGGAGTGGGCGTACTCACACTCTAGCCCCACAGCACGTGGCCGAACGATCAACCAGCCGTGACGTACCCACGAATATTGCTAAAGTGGACAGAGGTGGCAGCATTAAAAAAAAAAAACTCGTACCTTTGTTTCAACTGTCACGCCGAGCATAAATCGGGGGGAAAGGGGTGGAAATTCAATTGGATGTAGAAGGTTGGAGAGGCACGGAAATTTAGGAATATTATTAAGGGAAGTGACTTGTCAATGGCAGAGGACAGAAGGATAAAAAAAATAGTAAATATTTATTTAAATAATTATTCACTATTTTTTTATTTTACCAGGTAAGGCCCACACTGAGCTCTGTAGCTCTTTTTCACAAGCAACCTGGCCATCACAAATGATAGCTCAACGAAGTGGCTCTTAACGTGGAAATTCATAGCAGCCGCATATACTCTACTAAACGCCCGTTTCTAAACGCGGAGGGGAAAGAAAAAAAAAACCTGACGATTACGACGACGTTGAAAATGCTAAAGACGACGGTGATGTTGACGACGGTTGGGGTAACGCACGCGGTTCCGCGGAGCGGTGCACAATGAAGGAGCGAGCGTACACGCGTTTTTAGGTCTGGATCTAAAGAAAGGAATGGGATCGGTAGAGTGGACGATGACCAATGGGAGGGAATTCTGAATGACGGGGTGGGGTTGGGGGGGGGGAGCAAAAGTGAGGGAGAAAAAAAATCATCTTGCCTCATCCAATGACTTGATTAGCGTTTCAAACGTCTTTGTGCCAGACTCTCCTTTGATCATGAGCTCTCTAATCTGAAAAGAAAAAAAAGACAAAACAGACCGATGCACATCGTCAAAGCTGCGAATCAAAGGTGTCCCTGAGAATGGTGATCGATGCGCCTCTGCTCATGGATTCACTCGAGTTGGCGTTGTTCCATCGCTTCCCTACAATTCGTTTAGATCACAGTGTTGAGTCTATGGGCAGTGTTGAGTCTATGGGCAGTGTTGAGTCTATGGGCAGTGTTGAGTCTATGGGCAGTGTTGAGTCTATGGGCAGTGTTGAGTCTATGGGCAGTGTTGAGTCTATTGGCAGTGCTGAGTCTATGGGGCAGTGCTGAGTCTATGGGCAGTGTTGAGTCTATGGGCAGTGTTGAGTCTATGGACAGTGTTGAGTCTATGGGCAGTGCTGAGTCTATGGGGATAGTTGAGTCTATGAGCAGTGTTGAGTTTATAGGCAGTGTTAAGTCTATGGGGAGTGCTGAGTCTATGGGCAGTGTTGAGTCTATGGGCAGTGTTAAGTCTATGGGTAGTGTTGAGTCTATGGGCAGTGTTGAGTCTATGGGCAGTGTTGAGTCTATGGGCAGTGTTGAATCTATGAGCAGTGTTGAGTCTATGGGCAGTGTTGAGTCTATGGGCAGTGTTGAGTCTATGGGCAGTGTTGAATCTATGGGCAGTGTTGAGTCTATGGGCAGTGTTGAATCTATGGGCAGTGTTGAGTCTATGGGCAGTGTTGAATATATGGGGAGTGTTGAGTCTATGGGCAGTGTTGAGTCTATGGGCAGTGTTAAAATAATCATCATAATCATTATCGTGAACTTGACACGGAGACGCCTTCAACGTTAAGGACTCGCCGTTCGACTAGATTAACAAATGCATACCGTGTTCAACAGCCTCATTTCATGACGGAACACTTCTCTCCCCTCACACTCCTTCCCACAGTCTCTTTTTTCAACTTTCCCAATCTTACTCGATTCAAATAAAACACTTTCGTTCTCATCTGCTGTACGATCGTTATTACTCTCTTCGGCTGGCTGCTTTGCATCATGGGTCCTCCTTGAGCCTGTTCTCAGCAATTGTGATAAAAAAAATCATCATAATCAATTAACAGCTTACCCATGGTGCCAGTGAAAGAGGCAGAGAGAAAGGAACGTACCCCCAAGTCATCATTATGCAGGAGTTGGCTTTTAAACATATCAAAGACACTCACTAATTGACAGCCAGTAAGATCCGTCAGTCCGCGGCATTGGGTACGCGATGTACTTGCACACGTGATTCGCAGGAGCCACGTGTGATTGGCCAAACACTTTCACAGACAGTACTCCCATAATTGAAGCCAAGATACCTAATTTCCATCAAAACTGTCAACCAGGCTTTGCTAACCAAGGAACAACTCAGGAACAACCGCATGATAAGGCCTTGATCCACACACTCAATATATAAAATGGCTCCATGGTGTTAGGCTCTGTTGCTCCATCGCTGCTCACGCTTGCTCCTTGGCAGATGGTGATGGTCTGGATGTATGTTGAACTTCTTATGCACTGCACGTAGCCAACCGTGCTAATTGGAGGTGCGGTGTTGAGTCTATGGGCAGTGTTGAGTCTATGGGCAGTGTTGAGTCTATGGGTAGTGTTGAGTCTATGGGTAGTGTTGAGTCTATGGGCAGTGTTAAGTCTATGGTTGATATCGATCATCAGGGATAGATGTGATGATGTTGAGTCTATGGGCAGTGTTAAGTCTATGGGTAGTGTTGAGTCTCCTGGTTATGACTGCGGCGTGTGTTAACCAGTGCACGTTCACCATTACGTGACGTCATTTTACTCAATGTGAATCTGTAAAGCCATCGTCACCTCCCCCTCGGACCCCCCCCCCCTGAAAAGAAGCCATCAGACTCATTGTGGCTTTCCTGGGTAAAATAAGCACATAAGAGAAACATACAGTGAGCTGATGTTTCAGGCAACAACTCTGTCATACATGCACAATTTATTTTACTTTCTCAAGATTTATTTGATGATCGATGTCAACCAACAGAAAACTGATTATTAAGTCAATTCCAATCGGTTGTTTTTGTTTTCAACTTCATTAATATGTTCATAATATAACTTTTGTTGGGTTAGATCGCATAAATATAAATGTGTTGTTAAACCCGCCATCACCCGACACAGCCAATTAGTAAGGTTCGTCACGTAAACAGAACATGCCAATGAGTCACTATTACAGCACACCGGTGTGTTGGAGAGCCAGGCCACAACATTTATAATCTGAGTATGACGTTTCAAAAGTAATTACAATTAGCTTCATCAGGCAGACACCCAGATTTGTGGAAAAATCCTCCTCTTTCCTTCCTTGAATAGAGGGATAGATGTGATGACGTCACTTGTGAGCCCTTCATGTGCGAAGGGGGGGGGGGATTAATGAATGCATATAAATTCCAATGGGTATCCATTACCGGTTGGATTATTCATATGGTAATCAACATAGATTATACGCATTTATTAATATGTCCTAGGTTTCCCAGGGAACCCAACGAGTAATAATGTCCAACTGTTAAGTCGGTCACCCTTTCCGCTCTCTCTCTGCTCTGAAGAAGAACAACAGCGGGACAAACCACCAGCAGTGCTGCTCCTGGAATGGCTCGGCACGGCTTGGGCGCGCGTATCGACGGTCATGGAAACGCAGCATAAAGGAACCACATTTGGGGGGGGAGTATAGTTGGGGGGCAAGCAGTTTTTGATGGGCCAACTCGGAGCACCGGAAGTTAGGAAAAATCGTCGCGCGTTTTTTACCTCCACTTTGATGTCATTCTCCAGCTCGGCGTCCAGGAAGTCGAGCGTCACTGGCTCAGAAAAGCTCGCGAGCTTGAGTCGAGGGGGACAAACGAGAACGTGCGTTAAAAAAAAAACGTCCAGTAGCTTGCGAGGAGTGTCCATCTCCCGATCCTTGTTCCAATAACACGATCTGCTCAAGCAGGCCAACTGGGGTGGAACAACCAGGCCGGATGGATGAGCAGCCACTTCCACCAATTTTTTTGTAATCGCATTTAGGATCGAAGCTTTTTGCGAGTCGTGCGATTGCTCACTCAAGCCACTGCTGGCAGGAGGGCCTCCCCCTTCAGGGAGCTCTAGTGAGCACCTCTATATCGTTTGGATTTTGGCCTACTCTTCCACGCTGACCAGACGTCATCATCGCACTCCACTGCAAGTGACGTGCCGATCGAGTAACGGCAGTGAACCCGTATATACTGCTGGGAATGAAAAATGTCGCCCTTTGTTCAACTTCTGCATCGGAAGATTGCAACCAGCAGCCTCTGGATTGCGAGTCCAGTGTGCTGACCGTGGCACCACGTGGGCAGCATTCCACTTTCGAATTGCTGTAATCAAATCGGCAAGGAATGTTGCAAAAACTTCAAGCCACTTGCTTTGGAGCAGTGGTTCTTAACATGGGCTGAATGCATCCCCTGGGGGTGCGAGATGCCCATTCTGGGGGTGCGAGACATGGCCACATTTTTTTAGAAGGTAAATCATCGAAACACAAATTAAGCATGGGCACGTAAGCACAACTACTTTGTTTCACCAAACCCACGTATTTATTCACATTGTACATTTTTTTACGATTGAGAACCAAAGGGGGTGTAAGTCTGCAGTCAAGGTTAAGAACCCTTAGGCTATGTTAAATGAACAGTGCAGTCTCCTGTCATTAACAACACTCGTCTGGTCAATGTAGATTGAAAACAACGAATGTAATACAAATGCCGATTGCACTTTTTGTTTTCAAAATAAGCCTTGCCAAGTGGGATTTTTACTGGAATCAACGCGTTGTTAAATCCAGAGCACAACCGAGGCAATTCAAATTAAACTCTGTTACTTTGTAAACCACATCTGACCGATGACTTTGTTCCAGGAAATAATTAAACAAATCCCCGTGCACGAACCACTAAATAGCACTGGGAAACAGTTGAAGCAGCAAAGAGAAAGCGTTATGCAATAACATTTTAAATAAACACCAAAGCAATGGTGCTTTGCTTTTGTTTAAATAGGGTTAAACAGAGTAGTGCACCACCGAACTAACCGGTGCAAAAATATATAATTACACACTCTATTATAAATCGGGAAAACACGAACTCACAGCCACAACATGATTTATTTTTTTAAACAAATATAGAAAGTATACAGATTTTTTTCTCTTTGCACAGCATTTCAAATTGTTTACGTTCATGAGTATTCATGTGATGGGTTCTTAGGGTGGCAGATTTGTGGCAGAAAGGCCCCACGCGTTTAAGCAAAAACAAAATTGACTTAATGCTAGTGATGGCAATAGTGGTTCACAGTAGATGGGTTTTCAGCCAAGCGTCGGTAATTAAACACTGTGATCATGTCATGTGCGAATGAATACCTTGGGCAGCAAGTTGGGGTGCAGAAACACGTATCCGTTGGGATCGATAGCAAAGAAGTACCCATTTGCGCCGAGCTGCAACGCAAAATACCCACACAATACACCCATCTGTCAAAATAATCATCAGCATTACCAGCATCGCCGTCATTATCGTGATCAACTTTGCTGCTATTCTGGCCCAGAGGAGACTCTTTCTGCCGAGTAAGCAGGTGTTCTCACCGCACGAAGAAGTCACAATGGGGCCATCCGATAATTCAGCAGTTGTTGGTATTTGTCCAAGTTGTGCCCAAAGCTGCTGGTGAAATTAATCAACGCTATAACGGCACGGTTGTTCACACCCTCCCGAATCAGCAGCCAGTGTATTCTTTCGTAGGGATTCTCGTGCGCATTCAAAGTAGAGATTCCTAACAGCAGTCTCCAGAGATAGTCCATGAAACACGAAAGTCTAGCCAACTCGGCAAACACTGCCAAACGTGTTCACCAAACACACGTGAACGTGAGAGAAAAAAAGATAGCTTTCACCAAGGAATTTTAAATCTCGACATTAATTCTGTGCTGTTGCGGTGGGTCTTGGGTTTTGAAATTCATGAATAATAAGCTCACAAATTCTGGACCAGTCAACGGAAAGCACATGTTAAAACGAATGCTGTTGAAAAACGTTGTTATAGAAGACCCATGGTCTGAAAGCCGAGCATTTTATTGTGTTATTACGCAGTGAGGCATTATCTTTTCTGTTGAACTTAATAAACAGAAGGCAGTTGTCTTAAAGCCCCTGAGGAACAAGACAGCAGGAGGCAATGGCGGCTGGCCATAACTGCACTGACAGTTTCCATGCGTCTCATTGTCCCTGTTCCTCTGATGAGCGTACATTGTGTCCTGCTCTTCCAAATCGCACCTCGGATTCGCACGGTTGCCTACGCAGGAAAGCAGGTTCAACATATCTAAATATGTTATCATCATATAATATGGCCACAACTTTGACCCTTTTGAGTTGGTGGTTAACATCAAGGCTGTGTGCGTTATACACGCAGTGTGGTGATGTCAGGCGACAGCCAAGGCATGATTTGGAGGACCAAGCAAATTCACATTCGTGCCTTTCGTCGCCTAGAAATTCTCTTTTTGCCTGTACTATTACTCTGCTACACACTCTTCCGTCGTTTATTAAAAAACGTGTGAGGATATGAGACGGATCCGTGCATATGTGTAACAACTCCGATGACAAAGTAATAAGAAGAGCCACTTTTATTGAAAGACTTCTAAAATAAGGAACCCAACTAAAGACCTCCATAAAAAGGGACCCGAAGCTTCGTTCTTGTCTTCCCTGCTTGTACCTTCATCCGAGCGTCCCCACTCCTCGTGCTCTCCCCTTATATACCCCCTTAGCCCCCTTACTCGAACCTTCTTGTCTTTGTTTTCTACCTTTATACAATCCCTGTCCGTTCCCTCTAACGGATCCTTTCTGTTTTCCCGTTTTCTCGTTTAACCCTTATTCTCCAATCCCTTTAAAAGTCTGCCTCCTGACCAATCACCATGGAGGCCTCTTTCTTCTAATCATACACCTTTGTTTATTTGTAAATAGCAGTTAGGCTGCATATGGCGGCTTGAGGTCATTTTTCGGTCATTACACACATGCATTACACACATGCATGAATCATGTCACAACCCACATGGCTGGCGCACATCCAGTTTTGCACAATTTCACTGTTTGGCCCCTGATGGTCCCCACGGTGTGTTCCACGCAGTGCCTTTGGCCCAAATCATCAAAGTGACCAACAACATTTGATTGAAATGTCAAAAAAAAATTCCCCCCTCCACGTTTGTTTGCATCCGTATGCAAAACACTTCCGATGATCCATAACGGGAGAACTTCTCCACAAATGTGGCTGTCGCCTGATGATGCTAGTTGTAATTACTGGCGAAACGTCGTACTCGAATTGTAAATGTTGTGGGTTTACTTTCCAACACACCGGCCTGCTGTACTAGTAATTGGCAACGTTCTGTTTACGTGACAAACCCCTCGATGTTCACGTGACCTTCGAGCCAAGGTCACAAGACGTTTCGGTGACAACGAGAGACGTGAAACTCGACCGACGGTCGGATCGAATTGCGCACCGAGATCTCGCATTGATTACCAGTGAATAGTTACATGCCTAAGGGTTTGATCAAGAGTCAAGTTTGCTTTAACACGTAGGCTTTCGCCACCAATATCATCCATAATAAGTTTTTTTTGGTTAGAGCGCTTAAATATATAAATGACCCTTGACCCTTACTTGTTGGCTGCATCGGGTGGTGGCGGGTTTAATTACTCATTTATATTCACGCGATCTAACCCAAAAAACCTTTGCTATGGATAATATTGGTCGCGAAAGCCTACATGTCAAACTGACTTCCAATTATTCCAACGTTGACACATGTAGCATACCCGCTGCTGCTCAGCACAGATTACAAGTGGCATTACAGAAGTTCGAGCAGATTAACGCGCAGGCAACCGAAGCTGCAGCAAGCGGACGACTCGCGACTTACAATGTACTCCTTGGTGAGTCTCTTTACATCCTCCAGAGACACGTCGACACCCATCACACCTAGGATCAGCTGATTCTGGAAACCACAGGGAACGAATTAGCAAGAGGCGCTGACCACTAAAACCACGAGCACGATAAGATACACGCACGCGTTTTTAAATGCTTGTCAACGTCGGTGCAAAGTGTGAACGCATTAGTTCTGTCTGGCCGTCTGTCGTTGTCGTGAGCCACGACAACTCTCATGACAATGATCTGATATAAATAACAAATTAATTGAAAGTAAACACATTCCTGCGGAGGGAGCTGGTAGGAACGTTGGGTTGCTCGGTCAATGGCCAGGGTCAACGGCGGCGTGGTGTATTCCGCAAATATGGCTGACTGCGAGGGCGGGCACAAGCCGGCGTGAGTAGGTTAAACGTTGAGTTTTATAAGGGCACCACGGGGTGACCAGCCCCTCCCCACCCAGCCCCACCCCTCCCACCCCCCACCCAGCCCCTCCCCACCCAGCCCCTCCCCACCCAGCCCCACCCTCCCCTCCCAGCCCCTCCCCACCCTCCCCTCCCAACCCTCCCCACCCAGCCCCACCTCTTCCATTTTTGGATGCACGACGGACGGACGGACACAATAATCCCCTGTAGGCTGGTGGAACCAGGTGGTTCCTACCAGTATCAAGGACTTAGAACGTACGCGAGTGGCGCCTCCGTGTGAAGGACCGTGGGTCATTGCCCCAAAACGTCGCCGACTAATTATTTTCAACGCGTTATTTTAATGACACGGAATGTGTTCGCTTGTTCTTGTGATTTGTGCTCGTGCGCCACTGCCAATGCAGAATCCGAATATTTATTGAGACTGGCGGAGGAATCTGATGAACTGCGAAGCTCTTTTTCACAGATGTCCAGCAGGGGGGTGGGGGGTCAGCAAGTTACAACCAAAAAAACTAAACAAATAAAGAAGCAGCAGCACCATTCATATAGTGTGTACAGTAAAACCTTGGATTGCGAGTAATTTGGTCTGCGAGCGTTTTGCAAGACAAGCATTTTTTTTTAGTAAATATTAATTTTATAAACGAGTGAGGTCTTGCAATACGAGTAGTACGTGTCTACGCTTTGTCTGCCGAGCATCACGTGATCACAACTGATATACGAGTGCTTTGGATTACAAACACGTTTCCGGAACGAATAATGCTCGCAATCCAAGGTTTTACTGTACCCACAGTGGTACCAGTGTCTGACCCCACATCAGAGGCGAGACGCTCTTAACCCTTTCCCGGAAGAAATGTTTTAATAACTTGATTGGTACACCGAAGCTAACACAAAGGCCATGAGGGAGGATGTGTGGCACAGTTTGGCGCCAGCTACCGTAGAATGCGGTCGTGTCGCTACAGTTCTCTGCTGTAAGTGCAATGTTTTTTAAAACAACGGGGCAACTACGCCTCTCTAAATAAAATCAATGCCGAAAACGCTTGCGCGTTCCGAGATCCAGCGGTGAACTGGACACCCACCCTGCAACTCGCAGATGTCTCGGAACGGGAAAGGGTCAACAACGTTTTACAGTTGCCACAACGCTTCCGTGACTCCCTGCTCTGACAAGGCTAGAGAGGTGCTGCCTCTCTAAGTTCACACAGGCTGCGCGCTCAGCTACCGCCGCCACATCCCGAGCCGACGTCTCCTCTCACCTGTTTGTCCCCCTGCATGCTTGTGTTGAACACCGGCATCGTACCTGTGATGACCAGACCCAGCCCCTGTTGAAATAATAGACATGTTCACGTGACCGCAATCTATGTCCATGAACACGCACGGCCCTTTCGCCAATCCACTGCCGGACAGGGGCATACCCATGCCACGCCAGGTCGTGGTGGCGCACGTCTGTAATCCAGAACTGTGGAGTTCAGCAAGGGTTGGTGGATCATCGCACAGACATCGAGAAACTGCCTTCGCGTTGGCGTCAATATGCAATATTCTGGGCTTTCCAGGAGAAGGCAGGACAGCCAATGCATGTTCCCTCCATGCACGTGTGTGTTGGCCAAAGTGCCGAGATGTTAACTACCTTGCCAGGGAAACGGGAGGTCGTGGGTACGATCCCAACCCTGATGCAAATATATTTGGAGTTGGCATGTCTCTCTCCCCGTGGTCGCCTTAATTTTTCTTCGGATCCTCTGCTTATTTCCTCCACACTTAGAAACATGCGTTTAAGAGTATTTGGCTGCTATAAATTCTACATGATAAGCCACTTCTTTGAGCTATAATTTGTGGTCAGGTTGCTTCTAAAAAAGAGCTACATAGCTCAGTGGGCCTTAGCCTGCTAAAATAAAATAAATTGCTTAGTGACAATAGTTTTTAACAATCGGTCCGTTTTAAGAGAGAGAGAGAGCAAACAATCTCTTGCAGCATCAACATTGATTCCGGTGACGGCACCGCTAATGTAATATCCGCCTTGGAGAATGAAATAAACACATTACAAGTCCGGGATAACGCAGGCGTGTCGTTAAACCTGCCACCACCCGTGCGGCCGCTTTATACAACAGCCTCTCAAACCGTGTGCACGTGGAGCGTGAATGATAATGCACCCCGTGGCTCTGCACTGAGAAGACGCGCATTAGGAAATGCCATCAGCGTGTTCGGCACCTAGGGACCCACGTCATTGGACTCAATGCTGCGATGCAGTTGTCACATCGCGGCTTTAATGCCGCGTCTCTCCTCCCGTGCCGCATTAGGCCCGCAAGCAGCCCCCGAGGCTTCATCCGTTACAAAAACCGAGCTATCACACGTGACGTCTTATCGCGCTGGAAGTAAACGTGGCAAGCCACGCGGCGATTCGTAAATTTTAAATAAATGTTTTGATTCAAATCAGTTCCTACGGCCACAATACAAGCCCGGCAGCGATAATTTTCGTTTCGTGTAGAACTCTATGCGATATTTTTTTTCACCTTTTGGCTAATGGGCAGAATGAACAAGATAAAGACTAAAAACGAAAACCGTACAGATGACGCAGACCATACAGGTGGGACGGAATGAACGAGACAGACATTGTCAGACAGCACAAGGCAAACACAAATGAGACGGACAGGCGTGGGACGATTTGCGAATTAAAATCAAAATCTATTTCTGCGTGTAGAGAAACGCTCGTTATTTTCAACGTATGTAAGTGTTGCATAATGTTTTTTTCATTGGGCTGATAATCTTCACGAATGAGGCGGAACAAATGAAAATAACCCATGAGAAATACAGCACAGATGAAACAGACGGAGCTTATGAGGAAGTACAGAGGAGACAGACAGCACAAATGAGATAGCCAATAACAAGGGAGGCAGCTTAGACAGCTTATAACGATAAAGAAAGCACAAATGATAAGCGGTGCAAACGAGACTTCATAACATCGCAATACAAGGACGAACGCACAGGCAGCATGAACGAGAAAAATAGCACGAATGAGAGTGCAAACAAGGCATTTTAACAGAGGAGCCATGCAGTACAAACGGCACAGGCAGCTGATGGCACATTATAATCAAAACCGTTCGGACGAGACAATCGGCACAGACAAGACCGTACAAATAAGACAGAATCGTTGCTAGCCGAGGCATCAGCAGCCAAGTGGCTGGTGGGATTTAACTCCGTTTGGCTGCGTGTACTTACGTGCCTTGAACTTCTTTCGCACCGTACGTGGCCAAACCGTGCTGGACGGAGGTGCAGTTTGACACCCGCACAGCTCACTCAGAGGGCTTCAACCGACAACGCGAGCACAAAACCCAGTGGGGGGGGGGGCTAATGGGAGCCTCGCGAACGGAGGCGTGGTGGAGATGCGGGCACTCACCAGGGCATCCTGGTAAACGTTGGTCCACTGCACCTGCTTGGCAGTAGGCCCTTTCAGCACCATGGGGCGGCTGAGGACATCCAGGTACTCCTACGCAGGAGGGAGGGTTGGGGACGATCAGAGACTCTGCGTGCCGATAGCACGTATCGCCAATCTAAATTGCGTGTCGTTAATTCGTCGGCCTCTGCGTTGCGCGCGTGTAACAAATTGACACCTCTGTTCACAAGAGAAGTGCACATATAACGTATTCGTTTGTCATTGCCTCCCCCCGCATTAAGTGACATCTAATCCACAGCCATCGGCACTTACGCATGCGCAGCACATTCGATGAACGATAAAGGTGCAGCCCTGCAAATTCTCACTCACGCCAATGCTGGCGGAAGCGCCTCTCCACGAGAGGAGGCTCCAGAGAGCCTCTCTATAGATATTCTATTTTGGCCGACTCGTCCGCACTGGCCAGATGTTTCGGAAAAGGTGGAAGTAGCCACACTTTACTCCACCACACGCGACCCACCGATTGAGTAATTTGGAGTACCCATTATACTTCAGGGGCACGTACAATATATATACGGTCACAAAAACCGTTCTCAAACTCTTTATACATTTGCATATCGGCAACATAATTTAATTTACAAATACATATTCACGGATATTTGGTGTCTGACAGTATACTCTTTGGTTCTTTCGATAAAGTCATGTAGGTAAAAAATAAAAATAAATACAAGTAAATTAAATCACGACGTTTCGATACACAAACAATCATCATCAGGTGTGAGAATCACAGCTTTTTTTCACCTACGTGACTTTACCGAAAGAACCAAAGAGTATGGATCCTTGCAGTCACGAAAGCTTCAATTCTAGGCTGACAGTATGTCTACTTGCTCATGCCAGATAAACATTCATAGGCAGAGATTGTGTGACTGGCAGGCCGGCCTGAGAGGGCAGGTAGTTCGTGACGAGGCGGTCCAGAACAACCAATAACATTCATACCAGGGGACTCCTCACCTGTGTGTTAATCCGAATGGCCCCAATGGAAGGAATCTCAAAGTAGTAACCTACATAAAAAAAAATTAACAACAAACATTTAACAATCGGTGATAAGAAAAGAACACGTTTTTCCCCTCCCAGTAGCAATGTCTGTCTCTCTCGATGCACCACGTCCTTTCCCAAAGATGCTGGCGATCATGGCCTTCTTCCATCGAGCTCTGTCCATGCTATTTACTTGAGGACTCAGAGTTCGATACTCCCAGGTGCACCCAGTTGTTCAAATCGATTAAGTACTTATTTAGCTGTCTTCCCCTGCTTTTTGTACCTAGAAGATTCCAAGTCTAAACATTATATTCAGTCTCGTTTTTCTCATGACATGTCCAAGAACTCTAACTTGCCTCATATTACACGGCATATGAACCTTGTAACAATTTGCCCCACTCACATTTTTAAAAAATGGCAACAGTTCAGAATAATTAATTTTAAAATGCTATTTTAGGTTTACTGTATATTAGCTGCAGGGCCAGCTACCTGGGATCATATCGCTGTAAAGGTCATGTGATGCCATTGCATACAACATATAGGAATCGAAAAATACCAATAAAGTCAGACATTTGGAATATGCAGAGATTTCCTTTGGGATTCAGAGGCAAGGGAAAAGACAGACTGGCAAGGAAGGCAGCCAAGTCTGGTACCAACAATTTCCAAGGTTCCATGGCCCTACATTGGGATGCTTGGCCAACTCCGTAAGTATACAGAGGGAGAAAACTGGAGTACCCGAAGACAACCCGTGCATGGCAGGGGCGGAGGGGGGAAACACTCAATCCCCAGACAGATGGAGATGAGCCCGCTTGCTGTACTGCCATCTCCGGGCGAGCTTAAGGGTATGGCCATCTCGACGGGAGATTCACAATATTTGTTCGAACCACCAATCTTAACTGCCTCGACAGTGGCGGATTACAGGTGTGCGTCACCCACCGCCCAGCTATCAATTGTTACACAATTTGTTTAGTTTATGCTCAGCGTATGAATGTATTTAATTTGTTTAACTTATGCGTAGCTACATGCCTGGTTAATATATATATACACACACACACACTTAAAAATGTTGGCCTTGTTGCACATAAACCACACTGAATTCTGAACCATCAACATTCACATGCTATCAATGTTAACCAACTCACACATTCTAATTAAAGACGTGAACACAACACAGATCCCTCATTTACCTTTAGATGTACAAGGAAAGTGGTGTAAGAAAATACTTTACAAAGGCCAGAAAAGCACCTGAACAGTTGCTGTGGCTTGTACTTAGTCCGCACACCTTTGTCTCCCGAGTGCCGATGTTTACGACTTTGCAACAGGTACTCATTTAAAAACGGAGCTAACCTAAGAGAGACCCAGGAAAGGTTCGGATACCACTCACCACTGCTGTTAGCTTTGGCCGGAAGTCGAACTTGAGTCGCTGGCTCTGTAGCACAGTGCGCTAATACTGCGCCACTGCTATGAACGCATGCGCACGCACGCAAGTGTAATAGTATGAATGGCCGTCTCACCTTTATTGGCACACGCCATCCACTGGATGGGCGTGACGTCATAGTTGTGTTGCCCGACTGAGAATGTGAACACGCGTACCTGCGAGAGAGAGAGTGCACAAGGGCCGTCAGAGTCCATGGGCTTGCTGCATTAAAAAGGCTTCAAGACACGAAGGCTCCAATCTGCTCGCAGTCATCCTATGACTGGCACCGTTTGGCAATAAGCACATCGTAAAAGGAAGATGTAATGTACCTAGGGCTGTCTGACATGATTAAATCAAGCAACGCTGCGCCGTTGGACTCGATTTCAGGAGGGTCCTGCTTTGCCTTTAAATTTTAAAGTTTTCAGGCAATTAATGATGAGTGTCCGTACAAGTGTGGGATGAAACCGGAGCGCCCGGAGAAAACCCACACATGCAAGAGGAGGCAACGCACTATTCCCATAAAGATGGAAACAGATGGCAATTAGTCCGCTTGCTCTATCGCCAGGGTTATGGCACTTCAACGCCCACGGAGAGTTTCGGAACATTTGTGCGATCCACAAACCCTCACTGCCTCCTCCAGTGCTGGGATTTCAGACGTGCACAGCCACCACCGCTCCGTGAATGAGAAAAACAAACATTTAAAGTTAAGGTCAAGAGCGGTGACATGACGTCACTACAGTGGCAAAGCAATTGAAAGCACGGCAGGTGCTCATGATTCGGGCTGAAACGGATGTGTCCGTTCATCAACGAACAACGATTGTTACGCTCACGATACGTGCCATCAAATTGCACGTGTAACAAGTGATAGTGTTCGATTTGTGTGTTGTATGTAAATGGGGTTACTGTACCCTTGCAGCCACCAGAGGCGCTGCCCATCACACGACTGTACAAACATACTTTTTGTCACAAATCACGACAACTCATGACATCACAGTCGAGGAGGGGAGGTCATGTCTACTCTTATGCAAACGTTGACTGTATTTGTTTTTTATCAATTAAAAAAGCTTCAAATGTGCAGCAGGCAGCCCAAGATTTTTTGCATTGCCTTCCTTGAATTGGAATTAAACACGAATATACGTTTATGCATGCAATATACAAACGCATGCACTTACGGGTGTGCATATAAAATTGCAATCAGATCTCCAGTTCCATATCATTCGCTCAACAGCAACGCAGCTGGACTAGAAAAACACCTTGCACCATTCCCGGTTGTGAATCGGCATCGTTGCTTCGGAAATTTGTCTTTTAAAAAAATATATTATTCGTTAATACGTTTAATGACCAGTTCCTCTGCCCTCCTACTTTCCTCTCCCACTCATATACATATGCAAGTAGTGGCACGTGTGCTATTTTGCCTGGCTTCATTCTCGTCACGTGTCCAAACCGATGCACCATTCTAAAACACTGCAGCCTTTTTACGTAACGTTGCAATCAGGTATACACTGATACAATTCGACAAGTTGACAGATAAAGCCCATTATTGTGAAAAGCTATATTTAAACACAGCACATAATTGTAGGTAGGACCGCAGCAGATACTATATAATCTACACAAACAAGGGATTCTAAAAAAAGGGCCCAAATGGCCTGGAAGGTAAAAGATGGATGTCATTAGTATTATTTATTCATCTTGGTGCACGCTTGCAATGCCAGTCTCACGGGGTCCTTTTCGCCACAAAGACAGACATAATACATGAACGTCTATAATTACAGCAGAATGAGAGACGCAATTAGCGCGGCGTCCCGCGTCACAGCCGCCACCAGCGGCGTGATGTTGGCACGAGCACACAGCTGCACACAGTTATTTACACACGCCTTCACACGGTCATTACGTCGTACTATGCGGTTGTGTTTTTATTATATATCTCGTATGCAAACATAGGGAGGCACGTACATATGTACGGCCAACGCTGGGCAATCCACTGCGGCTTGTGGGCATCCTGATGCCGTGCGGGTAGCGAGGGCTATTAGACCATGCTTCATGATGCTGCTCAGTGCAGGTTGGTGAATGTGGGGAGCACAGACGCGGCAGCACAGAAGTGCGGTACAACAACATATTGTTCTTCACTGCCTCCTTGTTGACAAACGAACGTAGTGTGGCCCCCTCGGACGCTTATGACAACCTGGCGTGCATGGTGGCCGCCCAATCCAAGCTCAACTTAGGGCTCAACCCTGCTTAGCTTCTCAGATGTGACGAGATCGGGCGCATGTCGGGGCGACTTTGACCACAGGGAAGAAAGTACAAGCGGGACAAATGTAATCGATACTTGAATTTAATCGTGACCCTAAATCACGACAACTCCTCGGATCGTGGGGGAAGGCGAGGGTGAATGATGATGTGCCTGCAACGGATATACACATTCTCCGCCATACAACCACAGCGCTACCAAAAGGAATAGAAATTTGTCGCCATGGCAACGGCAGGCTCCGGAATTCATGGTGAACGTACATTAATTTTGCAAACTGCTGACTGTTCTACTTCCCGCATGCTCACCATCACTGCTGTTTAAAGACCGCCCCAACCCCCCTTAGGGGGCCCTCAGCACTCAAGGGGCAGATGAGATGCCCTACATTATTTTTTACGAGTCAAGCCCGGATTCTAAATTCAAAGTAATTGAATAAGTTACTCATCAACTTCAATCCACATTTTTGCTATCGCCTTCGGGTAAGCTCGTCTCGGGAGAAACACGAGACTGCTCTATTAAGCGCCGTGCAGCATCCGCAAGCCCTGACCCTGCATGCACAGCAAAAGCTTTGCTCTAGGTGACTCCTCGTGGCTTTAATGTTATTTTTTAATAGCCTTTTGTTCCCGTAAATGTATTCGGAACGTGCGTCACGCAACAATACGACTTGTCCCTGTGGAACTCTCGCGGAGCGTTTTATTGCCTGAGTGCGTTGGAGAACGACCCGCAGAAGCATGTTTCGGAGAACTACTACCGATACCCCTTCAAAAGTGATCACTCTTATCTACACACGAAAGGATGCCATTTCCCACATGCCCTGCCGCGGATATATGTTCATCGCATGGCAATCAAACACATTGGGGTTTTTTTTTTCACCCATTCTCAGAGCTGGAATTTAGTCAAATTAAGTGAAAACACAAATTTAATCGTCCGTCTTTTTTTTGTGAAATCACAGGTGACTAATCTGAGACTCATCATCCTGGATTTGAACTCAGAATCACAGAAGTTCTAGCTCAGCGCTCTGACCTCTGAGCTGTACTGCCCTTTGCTGCCCCACAAGGTAGCACAGGCTTGCACAGCTACCTACAACAATGTGGCACGCAAAGCGGTCCCCCCATCGCAGCACAATTCAGGATCGACCCCGACCAATCATCTTCCGAGATCCGAAGACATCGGGTGAATTCCTAGCCATCGAACAAAGACGGTCGCCGCATTGCACGCTTTCAGATTCGCTTCTGCGGTCGTCTGGAACGCTCTTCCTTCCGACACTAGGAAGCTACTGGAGCTAAGGAATTTTAAATCATTTAGATTGAAAACTCATTTCTTTAGAACTGCTTCCTCCGCAACCTCCAATTAGCACGGTTGGCTACGCACAGTGCGAAAGAAGTTCAACATACATAACTACGTATGAATATTATTATGATTATCATTATACATAGTATATTATTCGTGGCATATGGTCAGTGGGGGATGGACAGCCACTCACGGTTTTGTTGGGCCAGTTGTACTTCTCAAAGATGTCCTGGGCGCGGTCTTCCCCGCCGTCAGTGAACAGCATGATCATCTTGTTGCAGAAAGCGCGCGATATGTTGTTGAACTGCTCCGGCAGGGACAACAACAACATGCCCAGCGAGAGCTTCAGCTGGGACACTTTAAAAATGCATCTGGCGATTCGATGAATTGCCGATATGTGATGGTTACCATTTAATTTCGGAATGGGTTACTAATCATAATTAGCTCTGTGGCGATTATAGTGGCCACTCACGGCTGCAGGTGGTCCCAGGGTCCCACACATACAATATACGTCAATGTATTAACACATCTGTTTGGTCGTTGGGGTACGACGTAGTGATGACTTACGAGAAAGGGTGAGTGGGTTAACATTAGCACATTACACCTAAACAAGTTGTACATTTACAGTCCTTTGTCAGCCAACTACTGAATGACGGCCTTCTCACACCGTGCGAGTTTACAGGGGTTACTTGACTGTACTTCACCACGACGGTCAGTGTGCGCGTTTGTGAAGGCGGGGGAGCAATAACGCGGGAGCAAATAATCACGTTAAAACAATGGATTTTTCTACACTACCCTCTGTAGATCACCACGGAGGACCACATCCACCTGCGACAGCCAATCCAAAGCAGGCTCAACATCTGAGAAACGCGGTGTTGCCAGCTAAAAAAATAATCCCGTCTAGTACTCGATTGGTACAGCTAAGATGCTTGCAGTGACGGGTAACTATCATTTGTGGGCCGAATTTAAGTGGTAGGGCTCCATGTGCTCACGGGTCATTGTTACAGCAGCGGCTTTTGGCTAACCATTGAACAAGGACGGTGGTCACCGCATCGCGCGCTTCCAGATGCGCTTTTGCGGCCGTCTGGAATGCTCCTCTTTCCAATATTAGGAAGCCACTTGAGCTAAGCACTTTTAAAAAGAGATTGCAAACTCGTTTCTTTAGCCATAATACAGGTTTTTTTCTGGGTTACATTGCATAAATATAAATGTGTCGTTAAACCCGTTGCTTTAAAACTGCTCTTTGTGTTTCGTTTGCGGTCCATCCCCCGCGGACCTCCGATTAGCACGGCTGGCTACGTACGGTGCGGAAAAAGTTCAACACACATACATACATACGGGTCCTATAAACTGAAGTCGTGGGCCGTATCTGCCTCGTCGGCCGTAGGTTCCCCCAGCCCCTGCTCTACGGTGAGGCGAGCCAGAGGAACACCGGGCCTTCCCCTTACATTGAGCAACTGGTTGAACGCAAACTCCAGGCCCGCCGTGTAGTTGGTGACCCCTTTGGCCAACATCTTGTTCACGGCGGCCTTCAGAACGTTCTTGTTGCGAACGTTGGCTTGGACCAGGTGGTTGAAGCACGCCACCGAGTTAGCCGTGTTGTTGAACTGCGCAGCGGGAAGTGGCGAATGGTGGGGAAAGAGAAAACGGAACAGATTAAACATCCCATCCTTAGCGTCCACGTGGCAATCACACGCTCGCTGGAAGCCGGCATTAACTCGGCAATTACTCCATACGCTCCTGTTCCAATGCTGTGCACATAATTGCTCGATCTATTTTAAGCCTCGCGCAGCCATTCCAGTTCGGCGCTTCATTAAAATAACCCACTCATTAGAAAATGAGAAGTAAACGACAACGGATGAAGCGTCACGCACGTGCACCGTATTGCACCCCGACATTAGAATGTGAGAGAATCTTTAAAGCACACACCTTGCTCTCACGGATCGAGACATCTGATTTTGGCCACTGCTGCTGCTGTATTAGATTTGTGTGCATTATTTTACATTTTCCCAAGCTAAATTGGAAGAGGGAGGCTCTTTTTAGCTTGCCTTTGACACTGTATTCACTTGCTTTTGTACATGCCTGCAATTGCAATCTATCGTCAAGGGCCAATGTTCAGCTGATGAGCTTTGCATACGGTAGCGACGTAATTATTTCAGCGGCAACGTCAAATAGGGGTTGACAGACGTACTTTCCATTTGCAGTGAATTTATTTGTTTCCTTTCAAATCAGGATATATCGTTTATGAAAATTAGCCTCTTAATTGTTCTCCCAAACGTTGCAGAAAATTACGAGCTCGAAAATGAAATGGGTTTCTAAGCGCACTGCCAACAGCGTTAATTGGATTTGCGTTGCGAGTTTGGTGGAGACGCCGCACTTTTGCCGTCGCCACAGAGGCGACCGACAGACAATTAAAAGCATTGGCCTCCGAAACGCCTAATTAGAACGGCCACATTCACGCAACAATAACACTATGAGTGGCCTTGTCCACCTTCAATCAAGTGGGTGGACAGTTTAGGAAATTACATGACATTATTTATTCATAAGAGATCAAATGTAATCGTGTGCAGCCCTATGTGAGAAAACGTGTGGAGGATGGCCTCCCCATTCTGTGTTCGCCATGGGTGTTTTTTTAGACCATACTTCACCACAGTGGTCAGTGCGGGTGCATGAAACGAGTTGGGACCAGAACCAGACGTGATATCATTTGCCGCTGACGATAGCCGTGGCCGGGAATCTAACTCAGATTTCCCGGTCCCCAGTGCACTCCTCAAAGCAATCTGGAAATATCACTGGGACAATGTGGGGATCGCGATGAGATTCAAGAATCAATTCTATTTTGTGGTACGATGAACTTAACACACATTGACAGGTTCGCTCACCGACACAACATTCACGAAGTCGTCATCGGCCAGTGTTTCAAGCATGTTCAGGACGGACGTCTTGATCAAATTGAGCGTGAGGCCGCTGACACTGCCGCTCCTGGCACGGGGGTGAGCGTGGAGAAACGCAACAGAGCAATGCATCATCTCTCCGTTGAGTTACCAAACCGTCCTGATTCATCCAGGACAATGCCAGTTTTAGAAATACTGTCCCCGTGTCCCCCCACCCCCTGCCCCCCCACCACCACCCCAAGGCATTTTTTTTGTTTAAATCACAGTTACTGAGCAGGCCCAAATGCGCATAGCGCCAAGAACAAACAATACTCTTGAGGGCATTATAGATAACAGTGCAACACATTCCTTGAGTTAAGCAAAGGTTGTAAGGACTTGGGAAAAGAGACGATGGGAGGAAATTTGCGAGATTTGGAATTTTGTTTCCGTTTAAAATGTTCTGACCTTGTGCTCGGCTCGTGATATGGGCAAAGAGCAGGGCTACCTGGCTCTTGGGCAGTACTGGCAGAGGAGTGGGTGGGGCCTTATGAACAGTAGGCAGGGCAAATATCAGAAAGGGCCAAGGCCACTCAACGTGCAGGCAGAGCACAGGGTTCAGTTCCTGGTTGAGCCTCCAAGAAATGTGGTAGCTTTATCACCGCATGAATACCAGCGCTTCCGTTAACAGCAGAACCCTTTGGGTGCTGTGCTAAATCATCCGGGTGACCTTTAAACATGCCTTTACTCTAATTTCATTGTGTTCTGAGATTTGGGGACGCGTGAATAGGATGAAGAGGGCTTAACTGTGATAACATTCACGGCGAGTGACAGTAATACATTTTACTTCTACGCTCATTGCGAAAGCTTTGCAACCGCTGTCAAAACAAACATTGGCCTACAACAACAAATCTTCTTATAATAAATCAGCCAATCAAAACGGATTCTTTATATTTGACTACTGTAAGCTTCAGATGCTCTATAGGTGGCGATGTGCAGCGAAAAAAGTGGCAGCTCTTCGAATGTTCCTACTCTCTGTTGCTCGCAGAGCTGAAACGCTGGATTCGCTCGCAGTGCGACAGCGAGTGCCAGGGAGAGTCTTCTTGGTTCTTTCGGTAAAGTCACGTAGAAGGGAAGTAATAAAATAATAAAAGTAATAAAAATAAAACATAATAGAGAATATACAGGGACTCCTCTACTTATGAACGAGTTAGGATCCATGTCTGTTCGTAAGTCGATCACAATTTTACTCCTGTCCATTCCAAACAGGTTGTACGGCATGTACACTAAACATGGGGAATGGCTTTAAAAGTTGTATAATCTCCTGCAGATGCCACTGGTTCTTCATGTTCTGCAGATGTAGGTGCCACCACCGCCATCCATTGCACAGCAGTTGAACTTAAGACTCTCGGCCCGAACAGGCAACCGGACAAACGAACAGGTTTGTTCGTATCTTTTAAAGTTCCTAAATCGAATGTTCATAAGTACAGGAGTGTCTGCATTCACTTACAGATACACGATTACGAGACAAAGGTGCAGCCCTGCAATTGCTTGCTCGCGTCACCGCTGGGGGAAGGGCCTCCACTGGAAGACGCTCTACAGAACTCCTAAAGAGGTCCACACTCTTCCACCTCTCGGAAGAGGTGGGCGTACCCACACTTTATCCCCACCACACGTGACCTGCTGACCGACTAACTGCTAGGTGGACAGAGGTGGTGGGGTGGGGGGAATGGGCGGGCGGGGAGGGTCTTGAAGAAGCATGCTCGTCATTTCAACTGCCGTGCAGAGAGATGGAACCGGCGACCACGGGGTGGAAAGCCTCTCATGCCACGGACACACCAGGGTGCCGGGCGTTAATGCACGTCGAACGTCTTTCGCGCCGTACGTGGCCAAACCTTGCTACTCGGAGGTTTATGCAGAAACTCTACAGTGCAGCACGCGCAAGAAATGTCCAACATCCTGAGCTGCTAATGCAGAGAATTACAACAACACTTACACGTCAACAAGTATGAGCATGTCTTTTGGAGAGGCTGCTCCTTGGATGTACCTGCATCGCACACCACACACATTCAAGTGTTGTCACGTTTTTTTCTACGTTTTCAAAGAATTTAAAAGCAGCAACCTCTTATGCAATGAGTGCAACCGAGGATCATTCTATTCAGATGCATCTCACAGAGTGATTCCACACTTCACATTACAGGATCACACATTGGAAGCCGGACACCACGAGCTTCCTCCTCCTTTCAGGCAGCCTCTGTTCTCGCACTGCAGTAGGGCGGCACTTTCCCACCCACTCTGCCACCGACGGTAATGGTCATCGCATGAGAGCCAACCCCAACGCGATTCATTCTCGGAGCAGAAATAAGTCGGATTAAGTGACAAACGCACAGGTTGGCCATCTTGTGCGGTCATTAGTGTCTGAGCTGATACCATCCTAGTGGACATCTGTGAAAAAGAGCTTTGTAACTCATCAGATTCCTCCGGTATAAATAAATATTGAGATTCTGATCAACGAGCTGCACTTTAGAACCTGGTTTAATCATAGAGGGCCGCCTGGATTCGGGTCCAGGATATCAGCGGTGCCGGCCCAATGCTCTGACATGGTAATGTAATCCACACAGTAGCATGAATAGAGAAGCAATGGAATATATTTGTGGCCGTACAGTGGAGGGAAAGGTCCTAGCTGCCATTGTGTTTCAGTCTCTCAGCCTCTCTGCTCGTGTGCGGATATTTAAATTACCCAAAATCCTGACTGACAGATCGAGCTGTTTAGCCCAGAAAAAAATGCAGTACACAATCCTGTATTTACGTGGTAAATACTACACCCGAAATATCAATTTTAGGAGTGTAACGAGATGAACGTCTGAAGCCAAAGAGATAAACAGGAGATTGCCACGAGCTTTGTTGAAAATGAGTGTCAAAATCATTGCCGCTTAGACAACATTATGTCAAGAATATGGTATTACTTTTCTCTAGTCACAGAATTGGCTTATTTTCTTAGCAAATCACGTGGTGATACTGCTGCTGCATTTGGCAGTGGCGCACAAGCAACAATAAACAAAAATAACCTCACGTTCATCATTAATACTGCTTTAAATATGTATGTATATATCTGGTGGCATTTTGAAGAAAATGCCCCCCTCTTGATAACGCACGATGTGCTATGAAGAAGAGCCATTGCCCCGAAACGTCGCCCGATTATGTTTTCTCTTCTCACCAAGGTCGTCTTCGCACATCGTACATGTCCACCCCTTTGCCTTCCTTGTTCCATTCAGACGCTGCGTGGGTGGGGAGGGGGGGTAACGAAAATGATTTGTCAACATCGGCGACTCTGTGCCACACGGCCACCAAGAGCCGCCAAAATTGCAACGCAAAACTCTTTGGGCAGAGTTATTTTGGCTTTGTGGGAAAAAATATGCCTGTTCCAATTTGAATCCAAAGATTGTATTCCACCTTAGAGTTGTCTGTTGATGATCTATGGTTTAGAGTCAAACATACTGCGCCGTTGCTTGTAATGCTTACCTTTGTGTAAGTGGTATTCATATGTTTGTGTGTCCATGTGTGTGGGAGCAGAAGTGTGGTGGTTGGCGCACTGCACTATAAATTCGGTGACTAAAATTCGATTCCCGCTCACAGCTAACATCGGGAAGGAATAATTGAACCGGTCCCAGAGCATCCCCTAGGTCGACTCAGCCTTAAATGAGCACCCGATGCAATGTGTAAATATCACCGGTCATTGTACTGGCCACTTGGCTGAAATGTTGACGTATTTATCATTCATCCACCAAAAGTGAAAACTTTGTCAATCCACTGCTGGATGAAGGCCTCCTGCCATGTCGGGCACACTGAAGCCTGCTGATTGCACAAGGCCAGTGAAGATATTACTGACCACTGACGGTAGCTGTGGCACTTCACTTCCAACCCCGCAGCGAGGTGCTTTATCCACTATGCCATTGTTCCCCATTCAAAGCTTCAAAGCTCCCTCGTATAGCCTTAAAAGAGACTCTTGAAGCAAGTACTGTTAGCGAGTAGCACCTACGAAGGCCGGCACGGCACATGAAAGGGGTGAGTAGCCAGCACCACGCCCGGCCACCTTTGTCACCCGAGTGGCAATGATTACAACGCACCGGACTCATTTAAGGCCGAGTCGACCTAGGGGAGGCCCAGGACCAGTTCAGATATTTGCCACTGTTTATTGGTCGGGAGCTGAAATTCAACTCGGGTCGCCAGGTTCGTAGCGCCGTGCCGCTAATCACTGCGCCACAGCTTCCCCACTCCATTGGACATAGACACACACATGCATTATACAATGTTTCGTGACATAGTGCGCATAAGCATTCATGTAAAAATCGCTGCATAAAAAAACCCTAGGAATGTGGTGATGACTGCACCATTTGTAAAAAGGTACATTCAAACATTCAATGTAAAACGTTTTCTTTTCCCACAAACTGTGCCCGTTCGTCGATCTACATTACATTTCGGTATAGATTTTTTACTCCCCTCTCCATATTGCCTGTTATATGAAAAAGTAAAGAATGCATTATTTATTAGCTCACGGAGTGGTATTATGCAACATTCGGCTTCATTGTGTCCTCTCTCATGAGGATTTATTGCTTGACCCAATGGCAGGAACAACACCCTCAGCACTCGGAACCATAAACACGACCACGGTACTACGGACTAGGGTCGTTAAAACGACAAAACCGGTAAACATTTAGCAAATCGATTACCAGATCAAAAGAAGCTGTGAAACATTGTTTCCAGTGGAATGTCAGTGAAGAATGCACCGATCTAAGAGACGTTACGCCGTTGTTTCAACTGTCAAGAGATGGAAACGAATCGGCGACGTCTGGATTCGCAAGTCCGGTCTGATGACCGTTACCCTTGTTACTCAGTTAAAAAGGTAACGGGGATGTGTGTGTCTTTGTTGCCAAACATGTCGACGTGCGATTCGTAAGTAGTTTATTTTGGGTTCGATCATCGTAAAGGCATGATGTCAATAATTTTACGAGAACCCTCCATCACCCGACAGAGTCAATCCAATCGAGTTCTCACGTCATGGGCAAACAGGCCAATAGATTTTGTGCATCGGCAAAACCGGAGCGATGTTGAAAAGCAAGCAAAGTTCGACCATTTTGTACGATATACATAAGATTAGTCGTGAAAGCCTACGTACATAACACGTCTGTGTTGCGTGGCAAATCGGAAACCATGTTTTCGTATGTTAATATCAAAACGACAATGCTAGCATGGACCCACAAAAGTTCGACACGTCAACCTTTAAAGTAGAGAACGCAAATGCACTCCACACGGAGTCGTAATGATTGACGATTACAAGCTGACGTTCCCTATTCCTGCAACACGTAAAGCATGTACCGACTCTCGGCGTTTTTGTCGCAACCTACGTGGCCACGATTGAGACTAAGAGTGGACCTGAATGACGTCTGTACCGTCGCAGGACACCTATGACACACAGCCTTGTGGCCTATTTATCGGGCCTTAATCTTAATTTGAAATCTGAATTAAGAAAATCAGCATGTGCAAGTTAAATAGGACAAGTCATAAATATCACTTCATTATCAGCATGCACAACTGTTAATATGCCACCGTAAGTATCACACTATTTCGACAATTATCGGCACAGCAGCTGATGCTTTTGTATTCCATGAAAAAAATACATTGACCCATTTAGGTATATATTTCGATTTAAAGTTTTCGTGACTGCAGGGATCCATATTCTTGTTTCTTTTGGTAAAGTCACGTAGAAGGGAAATAATAAAATATAAAAATAAAACAATAAAATTCTCACGACGTTTCAATTGCAACACAAGCAATCATCATCAGGTGTGAAACCAGAGCAAGAAAATTTGAAATAAGTGGCGGTTTATTTTGTCTTGTAAGGAAAAGGGGGAAATGTAGAATACTTTCCATACATTTTAAACTGGTTAAAAATCCAGAGCAGATATTTACTGTAATGTTGTGTTATGTTGTCAAAATTTGAGATGCGGATGAATGAGTGGACTGAAATCCATATCATTGTTTGATGTAGAAATGCACATCGAGAGCAATGCCAATACCCTAAAGCCGTTTTGTGTAATCTTCAAATAAGCAATTACGAAGCTAAATAATTGAAACCATATAACAATTGGTTTATGCCATATAATAAAAAAAAAATCTGTTATTGCAGTTGCAAGCTGAGGCAAATATTTATAATCCTACGAACAAAACACTCGGAATGCACCGGATCTCATCGTATCTGGCAAGCCAAGCAGTCTTTTTGAACCTGAAACACGCTTGGATGGGTGGCCACCGTGCATAAAACAGGTGCCACAGTTCCACTCTGGGTCTACATCGTGGGCAGCAAAGGGCGATGCGGCAAAACGACATTGTTGTCTTGCACTTCTATGCCCCCCGCCCGTCAGTCTACGCTCCCCGCCTTCTCCAACCCACACCGAGCAATGCGCGCAGACGGTGAAGTGCGGTGAAAAATAACCCTCATGGCCAGCGCGGCGTGGAGGGAGGCCTTCGTTAAGCAGTGGAATGGACACAGAGGCTTGGAAATGCTCCACCCCATCCCAACGCCTCGAATGTGGCAGCATCAGTGTCAAACCGCACACGTCCCGTCGATTCGGCTTTATCCTCCGATGGCAAATTCCACCCAGCAAACGCACCGCATGTGGCACGTGGGCTGGCTCACCAGCAGCGCTTTCCAGACAGCGCCTTCGTCGTGACTGGACGGCGCTCGAACGTCATCGGCCGACGCGCGCACCACACGGGCACGACACGCCCACCACCCACCCCTCGCCGCCAAAATTATGCACGGCCGGAAATTAAACATTTCCGGGGTTACGTGAAGCTGCTGTTGTCATTTCAAGCAGCCCCATGCGAGGGAATGAGTACAGGATGTCCCCCCCCCCCCACCCGCCCACCTCCCCACGACCAAGTGAGAGTAACAATCCAATCCCAGTGCAACCTTGGACAACGTTCGAGATGACGCTCGGAGTCTTCGAGATCATCCACGGGCTCTATCCCACTGGCCTCCCTCTCAGCTCACTCTACGCCACCCCCCCCCCCCCACCCTTCGTGTGTTCTCTGCTCTGGCAACCAAGGACCTCTGTTCAAGGCCCCGATCAACGTTCACTCAGTGAGAGGTCACTCCTTCTCCTCTGCTGTCCCACATGCCTGGACATCCGAGCTGTCAACTCCACATCCCAGATTTAACCCCTGGGCTTAAAGACCTGTGCATATTCCCGTCTAGTTTTTCCAAACAATATCTATGCATATTGATATCATTCCCCCCCCCCCCCATGAAGACAATGTCCCCAAGGTTTAATGGACAACACAACCCCATGTAGGTAGATGTTAAGTAATTATTGAAGGCGTACCAGGATTATGCTGATGAGCTAAAGAAGTGAGCAAGCAAAGAGCTGGATGGGATGCTTTTGGAAATTAATATTTGATCATTATAAGCCATGTGCCTGCGTGCTTAAAGGTGAACGTTTTCAACGAGTGAATATTACCAGCCGCGGAATACGGATTGGAAACACAGAACAAAAGCTGAAACGTTCCCAAAGAAACACGGAGAGGATGCATGCGGTGAATCACAACCGAGAGACGCAGTGACAAATGAACCAGAGAGACACCCTCTTGACCATCAAGAAAAGTAGCCGTGCACAAATGCGATACCCGAGATCGCGACCACCACGGAGATGGAGCAGTGAGCCCGGCGCGCGCGCGCGGTCGCCAGGAGGGATCGCGGCATCGTCTCTCCAGTAGTGGCGTTTACTCGGTGCACCGTGCACTCGTCTCACGCGGAGTTCACCTCTGGGGGCCCAGGATTCGTTTCGATAGCACCCTATTAACTGCGGGCGTCAGCCATGGCCGGGATTGGAACCCACGTGAGCAGGATTACGGTGCACTCACCGCCGCACTATGGCAGTGGATGGATGACTGCCAAAGACGACGAACGGAAATTGGAATTGCAAAACAGAGGCGCGGCTGTCCGTGCGTCGCAGGCGCCGCGGTTTACCTGGGTAGTAGCGCGTGAGCCCCGTGGCGCTGCCAAACACTTGCCACATCAGTGTGGGGTCCTCCTTCTTGTTGTTTATGAACACCTCATCCAGCCCCGCCGTCCAGTTCAGCTCGTTCAGAATTATCGTCGCTGTGGGCGACAAGAGGAGGTTAAAAGGCGCGTCTGTGCATGCGGCACGACAAAACACGCAACGCTCGAATAGGTACCAAGATAGGGCCAAAAGATGGCCAAAAGATGGCCAAAAGATGGCCAAAAGATGGCCAAAAGATGGCCAAAAGATGGCCAAAAGATGGCCCTATCTATCGCTTCTGGTTGCACCGAGTCCTGCTCGGCGCAACGTCAGAACGCTTACGTCCGCATGGTCGGACGATTCTTCAGGAAATAAAGGAGCTCCAAATTTCGGGGAGCTCCTTCAGGTCCTGAAACGTCGGACGTCGTGCCGATCGACACTCGGTACACGTCCCCAAAGCACGTCGGAGGGCTGCAGAAGGACGATTGCGAGAACCTACGCACCAATACGGAGGTCCCCTGTCTCGCTTTGCAAACCGTCGAGGAAAGTGCTGTTAGCGTGCACTTATTAAGAGCACCGCGGGACATGGCAGTGTGTTCAACGCCGCACCAATCCGCCTCTCAACTGCGGGAGTTAGCCGTGGCCAGGATTGGAAACCATGTGACGAGGATTACGGTGCAGTGCACTAACCACTTCCATGCTTCAAACACAGACACACACATATATATAAACAACAAAGCAAAGAACCCCTGTATAGCCTTAAAAGACTACTGAGCCAAGTGCTGTTAGCGAGCACCTAAGAAGGCCGACACAGCGCCTGAAGGGGTGGGGGGGGGGCAGCAGCAAGCCCGGCCACCTTTGTCTCCCTCGTGGCGATGCTTAGACATCGCACCAGGTACTCATTTCAGGCCAGCTCGATCTAGGGAAGGCCCAGGACTGGTGCAGATAATCATCACTGGGGTGTTGGCCGTGATCGGGAATCCAACTCTGGTCGCCGGGTTCATAGCGCAGTGGGCTAACCGCTGTACTGCTGCTTCCCACACACATATGCACATGCAAAATACATAGTGCGTGAAACACTGCATCACCACATACGCACGAGAAACACTTATACCTGTGAGAAGCCCATTACCTTTTTTAGGAATTATCTCTGTAACTTGAGCGTGACATTGATTGGGCGACATTGATTTGACAGCAAAAGGTCAAAATGCACTTGCGCTAACAATTGGGTCCTTTACAAATGAGACTCGCGCGTATCATTATGTCGAGCATCGTAGTTCCCACTCAGTCTGAGATACAAATTGCATGGCTGGGAATGAAGTCTGCATCACCAGCACCATACATGAGCGCATCAGTCAGGGTACCATCACTCCCCACGCAATATAAATGAACACACACATTCGATATTCGTGCACACAAGTGAATAAATTACACCCGCACGCACGCCAACACACACACACACACACCAGCCAAACATAATTAACCTGTTCTCCAATATATGTCTGGCCGAGGTCTCCAAATTGGATTCTTGATTGGGAGCTGTTAAAGGTGCACATGTCTTGTATATTCAATTGTTGAATTGTCCTACGTGCTATTCACAGGCCACGGCAGACCCAACAGAACTGGGTGGCCAGTCGGTAAGAGTAAATGTCAGTCGAAGTAATTCATAAAGGTCGGAGCAAAGCTGCGCAATGGATGAGCTTCCATGTCCTCGGTGGATCAACCGTGATTACCGAGCACCCAGACAGGGGCGCAGAATGTCACTCAACGAGTTGAAATAGAAGGGTCGGTTACGAAGCTTTGACTATGTACGGGATTAGACCACGCACTCGAAATGGCAGGCATTGGGGGACAGACTAAAATTAATCTCACCGTCTCCGTGACTTGCACTGCTTTATAATAGAAAAAATATATTATATATAATCAGGCTAATATTTGAGCAATAGCCCTTTCTTCAGAGTATGGAGAGGTTACAAAGATTATGCAAATTACAGTAGGAGATCGTAATAATAAACGTAAGTACATAACAAGTACATAACAACTTTACGTTGTGGCCTTGTTCATTTCGGATCATCTTTACGAGGTCTATAGTGCCCCCCTCTGCTGTTAGGGACAGGGCTAGTGCATAAACCCTTTCAACAACCTTGGTTGTAAAGCATTAAACAAATGCCCCGTGGAGGGGGGTGGGTGGGTGGAGGGGGCGAGAGCGTGAGCGCGGAGCGAACTCCTCCATCCCAGCTGGAGCGAGCGGCAGCAGCTTGAGAGACTTTGGCGAACCGGCAACTCACAGCCCCGGTAGATGTCCGTGGGAATGTGCACGGCCGTGTAGCTGTCATTGACGGGACGCTTGAACGCCGGGTCGGTTTCGAACTTGGCGTCTATCTGGTTCGGGAACACCTCCTCCTCCCCCTCGTCCTCGCCTTCGTTTGTCATCTGCCCGTCGCAGAGATATGGGGGGGAGCGCGCACGAGTGCACGGTCAGCCTGAGCAAGTAAACCACACACCGCTGCTAGCGGCGGAGTGCAACAAACAAAAAATGCACAAACTCCAAACTGCAAGCAAATCTACAGCGGGCCTCTTGCATGTCAATCATGGATTTACTCTGGAGATTCTACGGCACTTATTTAACCATGCCCATTAAAAGACGGCGGGAAGGGCCTGTGTTGTTTGCGAGTTCTGTGTTTTATGGACGAAACGCAGCGTGGGCCCCTTTTGCTGTGCCCAGCAGGCACAAGGGGGTCTCTGTTCATCAAGAGTTAAATTTGAAGTTGATTGAGCCAAGATCTGTGAGTTGAATGGGTTGAATGGGTTTAAAAGCCAAGATGAAGCAGATGGAGAAATACGGATGATGAAGGTTCAAGCCAAGATTTCTTTGCCATGCCCAGCAGTGGCAAAAGGGAGCTGTGAACCAGGAGTTAAGATCTCGAGTTGAACGAGCATGGATCTGCAAAGATGAAGGCTTGGAGTGGGTTTAAAAGCCAAAATGAAGCAGCGGAAAAAAAGAATGAGGCTTAAAGTAAGGCCTTCTGAGCTCTGAGAACAGATTGTGGTTATGGATAACCACATCACGGTTTGCTTACTGGCAAACTGAAGCAAATAAATGTTCCAAGAGGGGCAATGTCAAAGCAGGCGAGGCAGATGTAATAATGCAGGGAATGAGGAAGAGTATTTTAGTTTGTTTGTTCCATTACCACACGTTAAAGGGGAAGGTTGCTTTGTTAATCGTCACCTCTAGCATTGTTATAAAAATCGTGTGAGTGTTTCACTTCATTCTGTAGAGGGAAAAAAAAAGAAACTTTGGGAGGAATAAATAAAACACTACAAGGAAGGAAAACCATGGGTAATTTATATTCCACGAAAAAAATCATGCCACAAGTTTGTTTTTGATCCAGGAAAGATCATGGACTCAAAATAATACCAACATCACCTGCTAATAGAGTAACTAATGTGATACAACAAAAAATCGACCGAATAATGTTAATAGGTTTTAAACATTAAACACGAATGCACCTGACATTTATGTTTTTAAAAGGAAGTGATCTTCGGCAGCATCACAGGAGCTCTTAATGCTGCTGCCGATAACATCTGCTTATCTGGGAGCATTTCCTTAACGAGTCTGACTGCGCTGCTGATGAGTCCCAGAAGGTCGAAACAGGTCCAGAGTTCGCATGCTTAAACAAATACTGCCCAATAATATTGGACTGGAAAGTCAATAGGTCGACAACTGAAACGTATTTATTTGTATGTGGAGATACAGAATCCAGTTTCGCTTACATTCGATTTTTACGGAGTATGTGGGCTAAATGCACGCAATTACTGGAAATCTCAGTGATTAAAAACAAATTAAGTACGCAATACCAAATAACGCCAATACACCATCTTCTGCTACATTACCCTTAATGATGGCAGGGGGGAGGGGGAGAAATTGTGTACCCCCACATCCATGCATAGTGGAAGAGTGGTCTGGAGGTCCCTTGAAAGAAGGGGGGCACTCGGTCTGAAGAGAAGTGACACCACTGCCCATGGCTGCCTGCTGCCGATGCGCTACGGTACACTTAAGTTTTCTCGACTGACCCGCGGGAAGAGATCCCAATATTTGGGAGGCACTCACTGTCCCCCGATATTAGCAGTCCAGCGCTTGCACAGTGACACCGATCAACAGACGTGCATCATTTTTGCCACTGGCCAATTTATATATATATATACACCAACGGCATCTAAAATGTGCATATTAATGAATTATTTGAATATCGACGAGAGCTAACTGGCGTACGTGTAAATTGATGGCGTGTGCGCGGTCACCCCGCACCAAGTCGGTGGGATTTTAATGCCGTCGAGCCGAGTGCCAATAGACGTTTAAAAAAAAAATCTAAATGGAGGAGTTGTGCTCCGGATGGCAACGACTCAGAGCCAGTTTCATTCACTCCATCGCCTGCTTGGCTCCTTTCGCAACCAACCAGCAGCGGCGGCGCTTCATTCGCGCGGACGGAAATCCCAACGGCCAAAACGCACCTCCGCGGGCAGTTTGGATCGGCGCCCAATGTCACCGACGATGGGCAAACGGGCGATGCAAGGGGCAATGGCCAGCCGTGGCCTTTTTTGACACTCAACTTGGGTACCGGGAGCTCTAGGCGCTCGCCCGCCTCCCTCTAGAGAAGGCCCCTTCCGCCAGCCGTGGTGTGGGCAAGCAATTGCCAGGGCTACGCCTTTACCCTTTCTGGGCACCCCAGTAACAAATAGCGGATATTTAATGTAATAGTCGAGTGGATCTACAGAAACCTGGGTTAAAAATAAAAGTTATTGTCTTATTTATTATAGGCCTAACTGAACATTACAAAGACATTTAAAACTTATTTTTTGCTTATTTAAAAAGCCACTTTGTCACCGCAAATTCCGTCACTTTTGGATATCGCCAGCAAAAAAACATTCCAATTTAATACAAGTTACGTAAAGTTTGCTTTCTTAAATATTTAAACTAAATTTTCCATGGCATATCATTGACGTTTTCTTTGAATTATAACAAAAGAATGAAAATCAAATATACATACTTCATGATATGAATTGTAAATAGATCATTAATTGGTGTGATAATTACAAATACATTATATTCTTGGGTCTTTCGGTAAAGTCACGTAGATAGGTTCAAAGAAAAGAATAAAAAATAACAGATTATTTTCTTTGAACCTATTTACGTGACTTTACCGAAAGACCCAAGAATATGAATTCCTGCAGTCACGAAAGCTTTAAGTCAAGTTACAAACACAGTACGCACTGTGTACCGCTGTATAAAAAACGCTAGTCCAAATCTGGAAGTACCACTTACAATATCTGTAAAACATGAATTTATTTACATAAAAATTAGATGAAAAATCAGCATAATAATTATGATAAAGATACATGAATAAATAATCTGACAATGTTTGCATGCCAATCTATGCAACTATTGTATTTGAAATGTGCCTGAAATTTACATACAGGAACATCTTAATTTCAGGATAACAAACAAGCCTATGCTTTACAAAAAAATTTGGTTTTGAAAACTCAATCTATCCCTGATGCACGCTGCAAAGTGCTGCCTTTAATGAAAATTTCAAATTGGAAAACTTTGTCCACATTTAATTATTCATACAAAATTTCACAAACTCCTGGGAGCAAATTAACATAAGGCATCGCCGCTGTTCACCCTCACTCTAATAAACGTGTGGACTACCAATAAGTGAGGCTCTAATAATAATAACAACAATAACAATGGCAATAACAATGACATATGAGAGGTGACGTGGTAGTATTTGCGAGAGTTCATGATCAAGGTCCCCTTTATATTTTCAGATCGGATGACAAACTGTTCAGAATCCGGGTAAAAGGAAAGAGAGGATTAGTTCCGATACACAACTTTCCACTGGCACATCCGTCAAACCTTGGGGAACTGCACATAGGGCTTAACGTCGAGCTGAGAAAAATCCAACCATTTTAATTAAAACGCGAACACAACAGCAGAATAACACAATAAAGTAGTTTCATTTCAAACTGCAGTTTAATTAATTTAATGTAATATGTAAACTACGGTCATGCATTAAATGTCAATGCTTGAACATGAAGTCATTTTGAAGACTTCTTGCCACTGTATTTCAATGTTTTGTAACAATTAATTAAATACATTTTTCAAATCCATTTTAGCCATGGATGAGTTTCAAATTCGTGAGAATGTAATGGCAATACTAATTTTATAAGAGTTAAATATAGCATTCTCGTAGGAAATAGGATTGCATTATTTGTACTTACATATAATCCTAAGAGCTTATGTATCAGTATATTTTAATATACATGATATGTAATTACCCACAGAGAGTCTCATCGAGTCTCAATACTCTTTGTTAAATTGGGATGTTTGGCCAATTACATTCATAAAATGTTTTCAGGCAATTAATGATGAGTGTTTATACAAGTGTGGGAGGAAACCGGAGTGCCCGGAGAAAACCCAACAAAACTAGAGGTGTAAAGTTCGAAGCTTCACACAGATTTAAAACAATTCAAAAACGGAGGGATCCAGTCTAGCCAATCATCTGTGGACTGCACCAATTTGCCATGCTGCCGCATCCTGACCACCTTTCACAGGCCCTTGTTTACAACACCTGGGTACTGCTCTTGGTGCGAGTCGCTCATTTGAGCACGAACCAGACTCGGCGCCAACTTGGATTCCAAGATCTGACGAGACCGGGCTTATTCCGAGTGAAAGTAGACCATTCATTATCAAAACGTGAGGACATTGACAAGAAACAAAAATATCCTTTGTAGACACGGTGCGTTTTATGATGAACAGACATTTTTTAATTGGACATTTAAAAATGCGGTGCCATGATATTGTAAGATATTTGTCAAACTAAAAAAACTGCACTGTTGAGTAATTAACGTACCCGTAACATACGTGAAAATGCTTAAACCGTCGCTTACCTTAATGTGTTGTTTTGCATTAAAATAGGTGACATTTTCTTCCTAAAAAAGAAAACAACAAAAAGGGTCTCGGTGAATCAGTCTTGATATAAATAATACAGCAAAGAGCAAGGCAGTAAAAAGAACCTGTTTCAACTCCTACTGACAGGAGAATTCTCTGGGATGTGTGTGGGTATATCCTGCGCACAGCCAGTGCCTTGCTGTGCCGTCTAAAACAGATGTGCGGGGAAAGGATAACTATTGCCACCATCAGTTGCCATGAATCCCCGACACTGCACCGGTGTCACCGCACCGTCGTGCGCGCCCCGTAAGTTCGATTTCTTTCGGGGCCAGAAAATAAATCTCGATTCCTCGGGGGCCTGTTCCAACATGCATCTTTTTCCCAGTTGCAACCTCTCCCTGTGCCATTCCTTTCCATTCGCCGAATCAGAAATCCAAAATCAAAATTCTGGTAGCAGGCACGACTCGTGTGGTTAACAAAATAAGTGTGGCTACCCAAACTTTTAATCGCGCGGTATTAATCAAGCGTCAATTGCTACGCATTAATCACCGATTAACCAAGTAATTACAACGTCACAATTAATCAAGTCAGGGAAATTTAGAAAAGATACTCATAATGCCTCAATACAAATGGGACATTTTGAAGGCCTTAAGGTCTTAACATTCTTACCGAGGAATCTTTCTAAGCATTCTGATTGATTCCAGTCTGCCATCAACTGCAGAATGGGTTTGGCGTCAATCAATGCCCGAACGACGGTTGGGACTTTATATTCCAGGCACACGTGCTAACAATCATGCGATGCCAAACATACGTCGACGTTTATTCAAGTGAGCGCCGCACATTCATCTTTTGTGAATCGCATGATCAATTTGCACGTTCAACGATTAATCGAATATTTCATAAAATATTGAAAGTTACTTTTAAACTCGGAGTCGGCTTGGGGGGGCGACAGGAGGAGGTTCAGTACAGTTCGGTTAAATTGGGATCAAAGTTGATACACCGAGCCTTGGCTTGTGGTAGTTTGGCCAAATTATACAACTGCCTCTGCGGTTCACTATGGCAGGGGGTTTAACAAGTAGCTCGTTGCAGCCAATATGATGATTAATCGTTGATTTTAGCTGGTGAGGCCACGAAATTACGTGACCAAAATTGCATCCATAAGACCCTCCTCTACCCAATAGTCTTCAATTATGAATACGAGAGAGCGTTTGTTCTTTGGGAGATCTGCAAAATGCTGTCCGCTGCACAATGGGGCTCGTGGTGGGTTGATTAATTCATAGAGCCAGTATGGGGCGATTGAACCCGGGAAAAGGCCTGTGACCGTGCATGTGTGTCTGTGTATTAACCATAACCTGTATTGTCATTTACACAGTGGGGGGGGGGGGGAAACCCTAAACAATTGAATTTGGCAGGAGAACAATCGCCCAGGACATCAGATGGGGATAATTAACAACAGGACGGAGAGAAATGGAAAGGAAGACGAAAGAAAGGTTGACAGAAAATAAGATGGCGGCGGGAAGAGATGGTAAGATGTGGAGCAGCGCACTGGATGGAGGTGACAAGCGATGGTGCAGAGCGGAAGGCATTGGGGGGGGCAAGTCTCTTGCCCAGCAGTGGGATGTTAATGGTTCCTGAAAGAAGAACTAAACAAATAACACACCTTGATGTCATCATTCCACTGGTGATTTTTCTGTAATGTTTCTGCCGTTTCCGTTAGCTTCTGCAAAGGGCACACAGCGCACAAAGATACAGCGTTATATTACAAGTGGTGATTACGTTTAGACTTTAAGTATACGAGTGGCGAGATGCAACCATTAAATGGAATTAATATTGTTTGGATTTATAATGCCACGGCTCTTGCATCGCGTGGCAGCGGTTGTTTTTAAGATGTCGTATTATCAATCTTTTTAACGAGCTTGAATTTGACACCGTTTAGTTCAGCTGAAACCGTAATTGTTGTTAGCTTCTAGTGCACGGTATTTCAAGAATCATTACCTTGTTAATGCCATAGTATGCCTTAACTGTTGCCCCCTAATGCACATTATGCTATTTTTTTAATGAAAATAATATGTTAAGAATTAAAAACTGGTGTAGACGTCGTTTTAAAGCAATCGTTGTTGAATTGAGATAAAAAAATAACTCGACAGCACATGCTTAAAGAAGAAGTCTTCTCTAATTGTGCTCATAATATATAATTCTCTTTATTGCAATCTATTACTGATACCATTTCCAACACTGGAATACCAGTCCCCAAATAACTCTCTCTATTGTACTTTAAAAACAATGTCAATGCATTGCTGTCACATTTCACGTAGGGGCTTCATCCCATCAAGAAGGGCAGTAGCAACAAAGCAAAGTGTCCTCAAAGACATCTGGGGTATTCTCATAAACAATACACAACAACTATGCCGTTGGTGTTCACATCGGATCTCAAGCCCAGCAGAGAAGACCAATCATCTGTACTTGCCTTTAGTGCTATCACTTTGTTCGTCAACAGCTTCTCAATTTCGGCCGACACGTTCTCCACCAGTTTCTTATCTTCATTTTCCTCAATATCAAAGTCGTTCTTTTGTTCTTTGTATAGCTGCGGGAGAGGGCGGGAGAGGAAGACGTGTCATCGGGTTTACGAATGGCTCTGGGCAAAAGGGTGTTCTGCCAGAAGCATCTTTTTCACTCAAATAAGCAAGTCTTGGCAAAAATAGCAATTTCGAATGAACGGCACGGGTCAGCAAAAGTGCCATGACAACACGATACATCTCCTGCACAGCCAGGGAAACCGGGGGTGTTAATATGAACCTGCTGACAATAGCGCGATGTACATATTTGCCTTTGTATCAGTAACAGTTCGCTGGCAAAGTATACAGAGAGAACCGATGTAAAACGCAGCCGGCCTTTCAGTCGCCCTTAAGTCAACGGCCCGCGTGGTTGAGACGACAGGTGTCGGGCGGCAGACGCTCTCGTGCCGCGCTCTGCGCTACCTCTCGAACGACACGCTATCGGAGACGCACACCAACAACAGTGACGAGCGCACATGGTCATGTACGATACGGACAGCCAAAAGCAAAGTTACATTCTCGGTAATAATGTCTCGTTTGGGTTGCGCAACCCTTCAGACCGTGTGTGACCCCCACCTCCTCCACTGCTTTAATCATCGTGGCCAGAACGCCCAACATCGCAGACTCGATTTAAAAAAAAATCTGTCCTGTCAATCAACTGCTGGATAAAGGGCTCCTCGCACAACATCAGTCATGGGGGGTTACGTGATGACGGTTCACCACGCTGCACAGTGCGGGTTGTGAAGCAAGAGCCCAGGACCGGTTGGGAATCCGGAAATCGAAGTTGGATCGGCCCCGTTCGTAGTGCAGCGTATGTACGTGTATGTACGTTGAACTTCTGTCGCACCGTACGTAGCCAACCGTGCAAATAAGAGGTGTGGGGAGTGTGGTGAAGACTTAGCCACCGCTCCCCCATTAAAAGTGTCAGACAATTAAGAACGGTCGTCGCGCACTTGGCACTTGCTGTACCCGTTTCGGTTAAACATTTGACAATGATCGTGCTGTCGAAAGCCTTGGAGAGCAAATCAAAAGTGCCAGCGGCTTGAAAGCGTCACTCCAAGGAAGCCAGTGTGCACTTTGATCAATCCTCCTGCGGAGGCTATTTCCAATTAATTTCTACACACCTTTCAACCGACAGCGCTGGCTGAGCAGAGGGATTTTTCCTTCTGCTTATTAATTCAACTTATTTATCTTCTCGGCAGACGGCCCGGGCCCCTCGGACCGATGCCCGCCACGAAGAGGAGGAGGGTGTTCAGTCACCCGGGCGGACGCGTCCCAGCGCGCGTCCTTCAATCCCACGGCGAGGGCTCCCCGTCCGGCACACGGCGAAGGGGCCGGCGCTCTCGCGGCATTAGTGACCGTCGGAGGTGCTGCCCCCCCCCCCCACCGCAGAACTGCTGCCCCCGACCCCCCCCCGCCAACCCACACCCCTCTGCCGCCCCCCCCCCCCAGCTCCCTCCACCGCCCCCACTCCCGCTCCCAACCATCCGCCTTTCCCACCCCCAACCCGATCGTTAGGAACTCTCAATTATTCATGCGCACGAAAGAAAACAGCGCAAGCCGGCGTCGCCATGGCCACGCGCAGCCGGCACACTCTTTCAGGTCTCCTGCCATTTCCGCTGCGGAGCCCATAAAGCCCGCCACGTGTGGGGGGGGGGGGGGGGGGGGGGTCTTAGCATTTGGCGATGGCATATGGTGCGTCTACAGGGTTCCTCCGTGCCATATTCCCAAAGTCGGCTCCGCGCACATTATCATATTACGGTTCTTCTTCTTGCATGTCATCGCTCCTTTCTCACCTCCCCCCCGCCCCCCCCCAGTTCGGATGTTTACAAGCGTACTGTAATGTTACGAGTGTAGCGGGATAAACGTATGAACATCGATTTCTTCACCTAGAAAATGCTTATTGAGTCTCGGGACTCCTCCGTCCCCTCTCTCGCTGTAAGAATGGCGTCTTGCAGATTGCATTTTGGACGCGAGAGACAAAAACCTGGGCGGCCAGAGAAAGCGGCCGCACGCCAGGAATTAACTCCAACGCCGCGGTCACAGCCAACGATCTACTTGTTGTGCTGCCTAATCCAGGTGCCTATTTGCCCCCGAAGGTGGATTATCTCCAATACAATTGCTTAATCTCTACGAAACCATGGAGTGATATAAACCTTTCCCAAAATGATTTGATTTACATAATTTTGAGACAAGGCCCAATTCAAGTCGCGATTAAAATTTCAAGTCGCGATTAAATATTCATTAAAGGAGGAAGGGATCGGAGATTTTTTTTTTATTAAGGCTTTGCCAAGGTGGCTCAAAGCTGAGCAACGTTGTATTAATTTCCCTAAAAAACTGTAATCTTATCCAAGCGAGTGGAGGCGTCTCTGCTTTCCAAGCAACATTACTTGAATCTTGATTTGAAGCTCCTGTGACTGCAGGAATCCATACTCTTTGGTTCTTTCGGTAAAAAATTTCACTTCAATTGAAAATCAGTCACAGCAATCGTCACTCCTCGACTGGCAAGAGCCGGTGTGCCCGGGTCTCCTTGTTCCGCACGGGGACCCCGCTGCTGCCGCCAGGGCGGGTTGCCACTTTCTAATGTGCCGAGGACGAGAGGCGATGTAAAGTGATCCGAGACGCCCCAGCGCGTATGAGCGAGAGGGGGGTGCGTGATATCGACAACAAATCAGTCAGTCGTTAAGTGTCACACCTGTGGACCAATTCACCCAGGAATTTGTCTGGCCTCAGCACATCCTGGAAGTTAGGCAAGCTTGGATAGTGCCTAAATGGGTGACCACCATACGTAACAGCGTAACAGGTGGTGTAGGTGACACGGGGGGGAGGGGGGGGGGGGCTTTGTTGTGGGCATAAGGGGAGCAGTGCAGCAAAATCCAATGTTGCACTGCGCTTTTGCACTTCACCGACCGGCACGGTGACGTGTGGTCAGACAACCCCCCTACAACCTGCACAGCGTGGCGAGGGTCTCATCCAGCAGTGGATTGACAAAAGGTCCGAGCATGTTGCGTGCAGTGTGTCCATGCTTCCACGAGCAACACGCTTGCTCAAGGTACCAAAGTGGCTTTGGCAAAGGCCAGCAGTGTGGTACCGAATGCGACCGAACACGAGATCACATTTTCCAGTGCAGAGATCGTTCAATAACATTCGTTGCCGATATTTAATGGACATGGCATACTTGCGGATTTGCGAACGGAGCGGTGGGAAAAAACGCCATTCAAGTCGCTGCGCATTCTTGTTGTGCATACAACAGCCGGGAGACATGCTGGCTTTAAAGAAGTTGAATAATATACGTCACAGGTGGGAGAGATTGGGGGGTGGGGGGGGGAAATAAAAATAAAAACATGACAACCCTCCCGCAGACAACGGGAAAGGTGCCTTTGATGTACAAAGGATTCCGTATGCACATTAAGAGTTAAACACCCCCCACCCCTATTCCGGATGGCCAAATGCCAAAACTGTGGCTCATAGCATTGAACTATATAATTACAGCCCACCCTGTGGCACTTTACTCACGGCCGTCATCTCTGAGCCCATATAAACTTTAGAATTGAGCAGGCTTACACGAGTGAGCTGTTTTGTTGGTTTCCTTTACGACGTAGGGCCTGGCACTTCCGGGAACCCGTTGCCACACCGCTCGAGGCCCATCCTGCTGCTCGCGAACGACGAGCACAGAGTCGGACTGAGATCCTACAAAGCCGTAGCCACCAGGACTCAATTAGCTCTCAGCCAGAGTGTGCAGCTGCCCATGGGCTCGACATAGTACGGGTGGAGAATGCGTAAATGATGCTGGCTCATGACCCACAGCACCCTCAATCCGGGCCTGAATATCTCAGCAGGTGGAATTCTCTAGGCACCATCGGCAGCGGCGGCAACAGCAGCAGCACAACAGCTACCGCAGCAACACAAGTCAGACGTGCAAGAGGCATTCAAGTGCAGAGTTCTCGTGCATGATATACAGGCCGAGCACGAGATGAACACGGCACTGCACTCGCGTGCGCGGCAGGTTCTGCCTTGACACCTTGGGCGATCACTCCGGCTTATTGTCGTGTGATCTACGTCCTCCACCCCCTCCACTGCTCCTGCATGTAATGAACGTTGCCTCATTCGCTGGGACATCACGCGGCACGCGACATTATTCCACGGTAGACACCAAAGCCTGGTGCGATCGGGTAACGCATTTAAATTGAGCGGAATATAAATAGACAGGTGAACGGGCAAAGTGGGAGCAAATCGACAACTGTTTGGCAGATGGATATACAGTACATGAAAGTGGAGGGCTGGGGCTGTGGCTTGCGCAGTTGCTGCGCTATGAAACTGGTGACCCGAGTTGGATTACCACGCATGGCTAACATCAGCGGTGGAATGATATCGGAAGCGGTCCTGGGTCCATCTCCCCTTCACCAACTCGCACCGAACCAGCGTGCGGTGAAACACGGGTCAACGAACTTCCACTGTCGATGTCATGGGCAGGCCTTCATCTAGCAGTGAATTGAAAAAGGAGTTGTCAATTATTCATGATGACATATTTCGCACGAAAAAACAAAAAAATCGCTTAACAAGATAAGTGTAGAATTAGACAACTCACAAAAAAACATTGACACAACCAAAGAAATAACAGAGACACTATTCTAAGCCAGGCACAAGATAATGTGGCCAAGTTCGTGTCCTTATGGCCCTCCACCACCCAACACGGCCAATCAAATCGAATCACCTCGTTTGCCCCCATATAATTGCGGCGTCGCGTTATTCACTTACGGTTCAACGGGTCGAGTCCCAAATAACACAAACTCACGACAAAAATTTGGTACCGGATACGCTATTTTTCCACTTCTGCAAGGACGGCAAGGCAACGCAAGGCTCGTGGCCGAGCGCGAAGTTGGATACCCTCACAATGAGCGCGGTCATAATGAACGCGGTCGTAACGACCCAACGGTGATGCGCGTCGGAGATTGCTCGGCATTTAGGGGAACGCCGGCGATAATGAAACCCCTGCGTCGTGGCGTGGTTGCCTCATTTATCAGGGTCA